TTAAACGGGGATCCACCGGAACCACCCAAGAACAAAGCGCCCGCTGTGGCGGACCTCACAAGAGGTAATAGACAGAAATTGGAGTTTTAATCAGAATCAGCTGCTGTCCGCAAGCAAGAGGGCAACGGATCATCTGAGTGTTACATAAATACATAAATGTACGTTTAGTTGGCAGCCTGCTGATATTGGCATTAAGCCTGACTGCGTATATACTTGTGTTGGCGTTAAGCCGTAAGCTTTCCCGCCAGTACAGAACCGACAATATTCTCTTGTATTATAATAAAATCTTTATTAGTCAAAGAAGGTATGTATAAGAATATGCCAATTGTTCCAACAGAAACTACAGTCGTATACTGAAGCTATTATTATACTATCAGCAAGGGTATACAAAGTAAAGTAGCCACTTACGAAACAAATCAGTTACCCAGTTGAATTTATTTATTATTGTTTACCAGACATTCAGACTCAATCGCACATATAAATGTAGGTACATACAATACATATAGGAGAAATACAAAACTGATCTCCCCTTCCAAATGAGTTAATTACTTTTCCAGAATTTTCGAATACTAACCGATCTTGAACCCAAAACATGATGGATGAGTGTAAGAACGACGATAATTATTCCTCTTAACGAGCAAACGTATTAGTTTAAGTGTAAAATGGATTTTAAATAATTTGGTTATTCCCGAGTGCGTTAAATTGTTTTATTATTGATATATTTCACAAATTATATTTCATAATGTTCAATATATATACATATATTAATGTTCATATTATTTTTCCGTCTTCGTTGTAAGTAAGAAAAATAAAATCAGTCTATTATTGAATAATAATGATAAAACATAAAATATAATTTAAAGAGATGAATCGCACCAAGAAAACGACTTTCAACATAACATTACAAAAAAAAATAAAATATTAAAATTATCATTAAAGTTATATCTTATTAGTAATAGATTAAAAGTGTTGGATGTTAAAGGTCATGACTTTTTTACTTCATTAGTAGGTGTGTTGGATTTATTATGATTAGTTTTGAAGTACTTCATATAATTGAATTAAGATCTACAAATTTAACAACAAATATCGTTATATTTTGTTTCATTTCCCTTAGAGCATAGTTAATACAAACACAAAAAGAGGAGGATCTTGGGTTAAATAATTTTTGAAGGTGTTTTCATCTACATATCTCTACACCGCCAAAAAACAGCGAAACCGGAAATGCCAGATGCCAAGACTACCCGACAACCAAACGGGGGGATGGGTTGAGGGCGGGAGGTGTGTGTGCCTAGATCGTTATCCGCATTTCTGGTTTGCTTTTCATTTTAGGCAGAACTCAAAACCATGCGACACGATGCGATCTGCGAATACCCCGGACCTCGAGAACTGTTCTGCAGTCACGTAGCCCCACTAATTGAGCGAGATCAATAAGGGTGATTGTGTGTGAAAGTATGTATATTTGTATTTACCTGAACAATTCGAATAGCTTGTGGCCAGTCGCTCATTATCCAAAATCCACGGGTGATTGACAGCTTTGTGCTCCTTTTTTAAAGATAAGTACCGAAAAGAGTCCTATCTAAACGGTCTTTGTAAAATAGAGCACGGATGGCTGAATTTTCAATCAACAACTGTTAAAAACAGCAAGCGGCTAACATCGGCTATCGGTATCGGTATGCTATCGACGACGGGCAGCAGGGTGTGGGTGGAGTTTAACGTTCCGGCAAAACGCAGGCAGAGCGCCTCACATTAAAAACAACGAACGGGCCAGGATGGCGATTAACAAGCCAAAACTTTCGAGTATTTTGATTAAATTCTGACAGGTAACACCCTAATTACTTGGCTACCGTTACTTTTGGTTTTTAATACCGTTGCACTGCACACTCACACTGAGAAACACATTCCCTAACAAAACACACGCGTTCACTCACTTAACTCCCAACGTTTGATTTTAGATTTTCAATTTCACTTTTTTCGCTTGCTTTTTGGCGTATATTCTTCGTTTTTACAGGCCACGCGTTTCGATCCGATGGCGGAAACTTGCCGAAAAGCTTCGAGAATGTGGTTTTTGGATTTGACAGCTAAAAGGGCTGATAAAGGTTGCACTCGCACTTGGCTTATATAGCTCAATAAACGGTTGGGGAATTGTCGGTTGGTCTAACTGTTAGAGAGTTGCTATACTCGATAGTCTGTCTAACGGTTGATTAGTGCTCGATCGGATTTCGTTTGGCACTATACTGCTGGGCTCTTGGTCTACTTGAGTGTCGAACATGTGACGAGCAACTGATGGCGCTGGTCCGCGAAGCGAAGACGACCGCCAAGCGACGTTGTTCGCGCTTGTCGATACAGTAAGACCTGCCTACGGTCAAATTTACAATTCAATCAAATCCAAAAACAATATTGGTTCAAAACCTTAAATATTAAAAAACAATTTAGATTTGAAATTTCTTTTGATTAACACATTAGTTGTTGATGTTTTGAAAGCTGAATTGTTAAAATACTTAAGTATTTGATACCGAGTAATTTTTTAAATAATTACCAATTTATTTCGATTTTCTAAATGTATAACTTTCTTCCCTCTTAAAAAGTATGCAGAATACAAAAAACTATATTTTTAACTACGAATTTTTCGTGATTCATGGCGCTAAAGTAACTAAAGTAAAGTAAAGTAAAATGTTCAAGTAACGGTAGAAAAACTTATTAAGTGAATTTTGTTCAAGCTAAGAACTTTTTTATTTGGTTGTTCTTTGATATCCAAGAAAAGCCATTTCTTTAATTTTTAATCGAAGCTCTACTGTCGTTAGTGGGAGCAAAGCGGAGGCCCCGACGTTTCTAGAGAGTGCCAACCAAAAAGTTCGCGAAATGGATTTAGCAACAACAATTAAGTGGCGCTCGCTCTTTCTCTCTATCACTGTCTTACGCTCCCCCTCATTCGCTGTGACCATGTAGTTTTCTACCTTCGATTTCATTTCCTCACACTGTTTCGTTAGTCAAATCTTCTCCAAAAGCCTGTGAGCTTTTGAGTAGTAGGTCAAGAAATGGCTTGAAGCTATTGTTTTTTACGGTTTTCACTTTCTAAGCCTTGTTTTGCACAGAGCTGTTTTATCGGTGCTTACGAGAGAGGTAGAGATAAACAAGGGATAAGAGTCTGAGGGGGAGGAGGAGGAGGAAGAGAAAAAGCTTTTGTTCAATCAGCTTGTTGTTGTAATGAAATACCGGCCGGCGTTGACGTTTAAAATCGAAAAAGCGCAGACCTTGTGCTCTCTTTCCCAACCACCCATTCCTCTCCCCAGAGGGGGTAGGGGTGCGGTTAAAAGATCGAGAGGGTTGGGGTGGCAACCAAATGCTAATTAATCGAAAGCTGTATTCCCCCTCTGTCACCCCAAAAAAGCTTTCCGATCACTGGGCTATGACCATTTATGCATATGGATTATAGGCTTTATATAGTGTACATATTCAAGTGATCCTTTAAAGGGGACAAAAAACTAATGCAACATCCGTATGTTTGGGGATCTCGATCACGTGACCAAGGCTGCAAAACTGCGACCAGAAATAATTGATGAAATATGTAGCTAAAATCACATTGTCAGGGCGGTATTTTTGGCTGTCGCCGCCTCAATAGCTAAAGCGACAAAACAAACCCAAAAATATCTATACATCCACAGGTTGATAGTCCCACAGACCAAATGAGATGCGTAGTAGCCACGCGGCCAACAAAAAATTTCAATTATTTTGCCAACAAACGAAATCGGGCATACATACATATGTATTTATAAGACCTGCGTGAATCCACAGTAAACAATAGTTTATCAGTTTTTTATACCCTTGCAGAGGGTATTATAATTTTGGTCAAAAGTGTGCAACGCAGTGAAGGAGACATCTCCGACCCTATAAAGTATATATATTCTTGATCAGGATCACCTCCTGAGTTGATATAGCCATGTCCGTCTGTCCGTCTGTCCGTCTGTCTGTCCGTCTGTCTGTTTCTACGCGAACTAGTCTCTCAGTTTTAAAGATATCGAATTCAAACTTTGCACACACCCTTCTTTCCTTTGCACGCAGTATATAAGTCGGAACGGCCGGGATCGGCCGACTATATCCTATAGCTGCCATATAACTGATTGATCGGAAATGCCATAACTTTGGTGTTTGTCAAGTTAGGAAGTTGGGACTTTCTATGGATTTTATATTTGGCCAATCAATCCGACGTACCAAATTTCATAAGGATCGGCCGACTATATCTTATAGCTGCCATATAACTGATTGATCGGAAATGCCATAACTTTGGTGTTTGTCAAGTTAGAAAGTTGTGATTTTCTATGGGTTTTATTTTTGCCCAATCAATCCGACATATCAAATTTCATAAGGATCGGCCGACTATATCCTATAGCCGCCATATAACTGATTGATCGGAACCATCATAACTTGGGTGTTTGTAAAGTTCGAAAGTTGGGATTTCCTATGGGTTTTATTTTTGCAAATTAATCCGACCTACCAAATTTCATATGAATCGGCCGACTATATCCTGTAGCTTCCATATAACTGAACGATTGGAAATGCCATAACTTTGGTGTTTTTAAAGTTAGGAAGGTGGGATTTTTTATGAGTATTAAGAATGGATCATATGAATAATTTTGGAGAATATATCTTGCAGAATATTCTGCAAGGGTATTTCAACTTCGGCTCCGCCCGAAGTTAGCTTTCCTTTCTTGTTTGTTTTCAAGTTCGTCCAACGCATTTGATTTTTTATTGAAAGAAGGCCTATCTCTAAACGTGAAAACAAGTTAAGCGTCGTCAAGTTAAACTCCCCTTAACTCATTTCAAAAATTGGGAGTAACTTTTTAAGTAAATTTAATAGGAACAGTTTTTATGTCTGTAAACTTAAGAAATTTATGTATATGAGTCATAATGACAAACATTTTCATTGAAAACTTTTCCATTCACAAGGGGAAACCCAGAAAAGTTTTTTTGTGAAAAAATTAAAATTAGCAATGGCAACATTTAAAGTGCAACTTTTTCTCCCGTGAACTTAAATTTCTAAGTACACTTTTGTCGTTTTTAATTTGCTTACCAAATTTCTTAAGTAATAAATTTAATTTACTGGTTGAAAAGTTTATAAATGGATGATATTTATTAAAGCATAAATAACGTTATAAGGCGTAAACAATATTTTTAAAGTACACTCTGCCTGATTTTAACTTTTTCAGATATGTAGGTAAGGTGATTTGGATATTTAAAATTATTTTATATGAAACGCTGTGCGAAAACAACTCCTCCTGCCAGGATTGCAGCTAATAAGGTGGCGCCGGTAACACGCTTCAACAGCTGGTCCTGCCATTTCCTGTTTGCAATGCACTGGGCATAAGGCATACTGGAAAAGGAGACGCTGTTGTAGAGTGGAATCCAGCCGGGAAAATATCGAAATAGCAGGGTGTCCAGCCATTTTCGTATCCGGAATGACCAGCGTTTGGTCAAGTCGCGCATCTAAAAGTGAAACGCCGGAAAATAAAAAAACAAAATAAATTAAAAACACAAAATGATAAATATATCAAAACACCCACCTCTACATAGTTATACATGGCCAGATCACAAATGGCAAAGGCGTCCTGCCAGCGGGACTCGGTAAACTGAGCCAACGCCTCGTCCAGCGGCAACTGCTTTCCCAAAATTCCGGTGAGCAGCGTCACATCCTCCATTCCGGCATTCATTCCCTGACCGTAATACGGAACCATGGCGTGTGCTGCATCGCCCAGGATGAGGGCCTTATCAGCGTAGTGATAGGGTCTGCACTTGATGGAAACCAAATGCTGTGGTCGGGTTTTGAAGAAGTCCTTAAGCAGCTGTTGCTCCCCAATAAGGGGCAGGGCATCACGAAAGTTCAGCTTAAAGAAATCCAGCAGATCGTTCTGGGTCCGAATTTTAGCAAAGACCTCAAAAGGCATGGACAGGGTCACCGTGAAAGACTTATCCTGATTCGGTAAGGCGATCATCATAAAGGAGTTACGGGGCCAGATGTGCAGGTAATTGGCGGGCATCTGGAAATCTCCCGATTTCGAGGGTATACAAAGCTCCAGGTAACCTGTTTCTATATACTCCTGGGAATAATTAAAGCCCGGCAAGCGGACCAATTGCTGGCGTACGCTACTAAAGGCTCCGTCACAGCCCACTATAAGATCCGCACTGGCAGCTACAACTTCTTTACTAACATTCCGGAACTCCATGGATCCCTCTCTGAGGTTGGCGCTCGTCAACTTGTGCTCGAAGTGGCAGCGAACATTTGGTAATTTATCGCAAGCATCCAATAGGACTTCGTTTAGCTGACGGCGACCCACAGAGTACAGACATTGTTTGGTGCAAGGATCATATAGGACCACACTGGTGTTTCCCCTGATATCGTGCAGCATTCGACCCCTCATGGGTATGGCGGTGGCCAGGACCTTCTCCTCCAGACCCACGGCGGCCAGAGCCTTGCGGCCCCGCTGGGAAAGTGCCAGGTTAATACTCCTGCCCTGAACCACCACAGCCTGGCGGATATCCTCCCGGTACTCGTACAAATCCACGAGGTTGCCCATGCGGGCAAAGTTTATCGCCGCCAAAGAACCCACCTTTTGAAGAAATTTAAATAGAGAAAATAGAAGGCTTACAAAAATCTCGATAAGATGAGTTTTATCTAAAGCCGGGGATTAAGGGACCCTAGAGATAAGAAGCATTCAGATGAGAGCCGCACATAGTTATGCCAACGAAAACAAAAATGAGTAGCATAAGATGAAAATCTTGGTCAGAGTAATTCTGGAAAGTTTATAAAAATGTAGGTCTACTAGGAAGATTTTCGAATAAAAAAGAATATTGAATGAAACTAATTTGAACAGTTAAAGCTAGGTATTAATTACACTAAATTTGGAATTAAGTTCTGTTATAATTGGACACCTTTATAAAAAAAACAATAATTTTGAAAGCTTTACAATTATTTACTTATACATTTTAAAACCAAAGTAAAAGTTGACCTTTATAGAAATTATATTTTATTTTTAAAAGCAGGATAACACAAATACATTTTAAAACTTTGCCTCTATTAAAAAATCGATAAAATTTTCTGGAAGTTTTTTTAAGCTTTGACTATTTTAAAAACAACTTACCAGTCCCGCTCCAACTATCGCCACTCTGCGCCGCCGTCCCTCCTCCCCCGCAGCCTCCGGCGATTCCTGGCGCCCGTTTGCCTTCTGGCTGATGATTTCTTGCCTCATGACCGTTCTGGTGGGTCGCCGTCAGCGAAATGAAGATGGTAGTGGGATGGAAGCCCATCAACTGGCTGGGGAATGTTTAGCTCAAAGATTATGTCGGAGGGGCAGTAAATGCTATCTGTGGTTGTTTAATGTTGCTGCGGGAAGCCAACCAACTGCAGCGGTGTAGTCAGAAACTATTATCTAGGGGTCGCACTATATACATTCATTTCATTTTTCGGCATACGGATTGAATATTTAGAAACAGAAAACCATATATATTTATAGATTTCAATAAAGGATCTTCCTTTAGTATTCAAAACAATACTAAAGGATCTTTATTGGAAAACAACGACCATTTATGTTACAAATCGTAGAAACGGCATAGTTTTCATTTTAGTTTTTTTATGCTAAATTTATAAAATATCATTGTCTCTTGAGGATACATTTGTCTCGATTTATTGGGAGTAAGCAGTATTAACATTATAACGAAACCCATATTAAGGAATATTTAAAAAAACCGCGCACATTTGAAACTGTTTTATGGTTAGCTGACATTAAGAAAGTTGACAGCCCTAGCGACGCGTTGCCAGACGCAAAGCTTTTTAGTATATTTTTCTCGGTCTCCTCGTTTTTTTGACGCTCGCACCACGGTCACACCAAAAGCTGCTGTGGAAAAACTCATGCACAATAGAAAATAGAAAAACCGAAGATTTCCAAAACAACTAAAAATCACCGCCTCAGAAACCTGAGTAGCATATGCAGAATATCTCCCAGTATTGGATTTTAAACGAAACTAAAGGGAAAGCGAGAGTAGAGCGACGCAAACAGGAAAGTTTATTTGCACTCTATAGATAGCACCCAAGGAGAACCACAAAAGGCGAAACCAAAATGGTAATAAAATGCCTCAAATATAGGCGAAGAACAAGTGCAAAAGGGGAAGTGTGAGGTGGAGAAAGGGGAGAACGAGAGAGCGCAGAAAAGGGAGTGAGGGTTTGAGCCGTCATAAAGTCAATTTCCGTTGTTCATCTCCCACTTCCCCCCTCTCCCTTCCACCTGCTGCTGCAATAAATTAAAAGTTCCCAAATATCATATACATTTTTGCTTTGCAGGGAAATGAAACATCACTGCCCATGGAAATGTGTTCCAATTGTAAGTACGAAATTGTTCAGTCAATGTCATTTCAACGAAACGGCAGCTGTTTATGAATATGCAAACATCGGCACATACAAGCGTACATTTAGATTCGGTATATGCGAACATCTAACAAAAAAGGAATGCAAACGAAACGTGGCGTCGAAATTACAATTGCAATTCCCAACCCTTTATTTCGAATCAACAAACAATTTTACCCTTTCTTTGTTTATTTCAAAATTGGCAATCCATAATGTACATATCTTGTTAAACTTTGCTTTATTTGATAATCGAAGTATAAACGATCGCTAAAAATAAATTATAGTGCCACTATCTTAATTTCGTTGTGATCTAATTTTACATCTATAAAAAGAATTTTCGTAATTTGTTGTATTCCGGTTTTGTGCTGACTTACAATAAGTATAAGCTTTTCTTTCCTGTGGTAACAAATTAAACCATTGGTTCACTTTAGACATTTACTCTTGTGAAGAATCTTAAAATATTTTAAATCTCCATTTTATTTAACTTAAGGTATTATTATTAGTATTATTCGAAAGGGAATTCAAACATCAAAGATGGGCATTACAAATTTTGAATTTCGTCAAATCCAACGATATATTGATGCTTCACTGAATGTTCCCAATTTTTTTTGCATTCCCCAGTTGACGCCGATGAAATCCGGCGGTTGGGCAAACGCTTCCGGAAGCTAGATCTGGACAACTCGGGAGCGCTGAGCGTGGACGAGTTCATGTCGCTGCCAGAACTGCAACAGAATCCACTGGTGCAGCGCGTGATTGACATTTTCGACGCGGACGGCAATGGCGAGGTGGACTTTAAGGAGTTCATCCAGGGCGTGTCACAGTTCAGTGTCAAGGGCGACAAGCTATCGAAGCTGCGCTTTGCCTTTCGGATCTACGACATGGACAATGACGGCTACATTTCCAACGGCGAACTATTTCAGGCAAGTCCCACGAGTTTAACATAAAGAATATCCTATATGCAACTCTGTCTTACAGGTGTTAAAGATGATGGTGGGTAATAATCTGAAGGACACGCAGTTGCAGCAGATAGTGGATAAGACGATCGGATTCGCGGATAGGGACGAGGATGGGAAGATATCTTTCGACGAGTTTTGCTCAGTGGTCGGCAATACGGACATTCACAAGAAGATGGTTGTCGACGTCTAAAATAGGTTTACCGAAGATCCTTCTTATTCGCGATTTTATTTATTCTTTTGTACATGCGTCGGCATCCTTTGATTGTCACTATCAACACTATTATTATGGTTATTATTTTTATCAGCGACTCTTTAGTTGAATATTGTTATAAGCCGTTAGCAAGCCAGTTCAGTCAGTCAGTCAGTAAAGCGATGGAACGCTTGGGGAGCAAATCGCGAAAACAATGTTGTTATCCTATGTTAAAAAGTGGAATATTGCGCCTCCTACTTACTTTTTAAATATATCCATCTATATACTTATATATAAATGCATATATAGTCATAATTTATTATACAAATATACTTTTAAAGATTTTACAAACCCTAAAGCAAAACTAATCTAAAACGGAAGCCAACTCTATGCAAGTGAAGGCAAATAAAGCAAACCAAGTTGAACCAATGCTCTTTCGAATCGGTAACTGAGAGTTTTTCACTTTCACTCTATCACATTGATGTGTCATAGCTTACGTTAATTATTTCTAATTCTCCTGTGATTTTGCCAAAAACAAAAGAAAACGAAAAGCAACAAATCGAAAAATAATGAGAAAGGGCACAAGGACGAGGGGCAGCCAAGTAACCTGCCCCTAGGAGCTCTCCTCTATTGACTTAGTCTAATTTACACGTTGTGTACTTTTTATATATTTATACATACCTACTTGTACTAATCGAATGTTATAACCTACGTATTTTTATATATCTTGACTAACTTGAAAACACCAGAAGAAGGGCGAACTTTGCCAAGTTTCTTAACTCTACCTTTACCAGTCTAACGCCACTTAAATTAAATTAACTAATTCTCACACAGAATTACGCCTCGAAAATTATCTAAAATATGCTACATTTAACGGATTATCAAGCGAGTTAACTGAAAATCGAATAATTATACATCAATACATATGAAGCAATGCCATGCGATGCGAAGCGCTATTGCAGTAACATTTTTTTATACTTAATTATACTAGTTAAAAATGCAAGAAAACCAAACAATAAGAATGCATGTTACAAATTTTACAATAAACAAATTTTTGCACACTCGCCACTTAATTTGTTAGCTAATCAATTTCATTGCATTATTCAAAAAAAATCGACTCGAGATCGTAACTCATTGTAAAATGGTGTATCCAACCAGCTGGGACCCCATGGGTGGGCTCAGTTTGCTGGCCAGTCGAAGCAATAAAAAGCAATTCCTTCAATAAAATTATACTTATACACAAACGAACAAAGACTTTACAATTTGGCGATGGGAGAGCGCGACAGATAAGATAAGTCCCACCGCAAAAGTTTGTCCATCGATGCGATAAATACTCTCCCATTCAGTTGTGAAATAATCCTCAAACTGCAAGGTTCATAATTAAGTCGGAAATATGTTGAAGTTGGACACCAAAGGAGGGATCATCTGCTCGGGCGTTTTGTCGATAGCCTTTGCCATTACCTATTTGGCACTGATGGACGATTATTTCTGGAGAAGTATGTATATATATATATATAAATATATATATATTTAGAAATAATCTAAAAGATCTGCACCATATATGCGTAATTATTTCGGATTAGGCGGACTTTACGAACTAGGGATACACATTTCTTCTCTGCAAATATTAGGCAGCGTATGCCTTCTAATAGGAGCTTTTAAGGTGAGTGAAATATTTCAGTTGAACATATGGCACCCTCATAACGAATTATCTTTTTACGAAACTCAGCAAAAATACAAATTCTTGGTGCCTTGGATGATAACCACAGGATTCTTTATGTATCTTATGGTTTATTTAGCCATTGTATTATTAACCACGTCGAACCACTGGATTTTCGTTCCGACGATGGTGCTGCCATTTACAGGTAAGATTATGATATATGTACATATTTCTCCCATTTTAAACACAAATTACACTATTTTTAGTTTATCTTGGCTGTGCTTTATACTCGGTGCAAAAGGCATTCGACAGGATGCGTAGGGACCAGCCACCAGCTTATTCTAATTTGTCCGACAAAAGGGATATAATTAATCATATATAGGCCAAGAAAAGTACTTCAATAATTACAAACGAAAGTTAATTAATTGCTGATAAAATAAATTGAAATTAAAGGCTCATTAATCATTAATCTTTTGTCTTTCCTTTTTTGTTATTTGAAACTGAGAAGTGAATATTTTATTAAATTTAATTTTGTCCCTGCCGCCGACGTAATTAGTTTTTCCACCAAAAAGGGGTTTATTTTGTAAAGTCTTGCTCATACACACATATCGATACTATGAACAAATCAAAAAAAAACCTGATTAGATAAGTATTAAACAAAAGCTTTTTATTTATAAAGCAAGTTTGTGATTTTTCTGAAAGTTAAAAAAAAAATAGAAAAATGTAGGTTCCACATTATGTATTATTTTTCAGCCACTTGATTTTTTTAAGTAAACAAAAAACGAAAAAAAAAAAAATTATATTTGGTTTTTAAAATGCGCTTCTTGTGTTTCTTGATTAAATTAAGGAAGGAAATAAAAATTAAGCCTACTCAAATTTGTTGACCATTCTTTATGATTTTTTTAAAATTAAAAAAACGGATGTTTCTGAGCTCTTAGAAAAAGCACAATTAATCAAAATCTTTAGTACTTTTTTTGTACGGCTGTGTAATTTTTATCGCAATAAGATTATTTTGATGGTCTCTTTCTTGGAAGTTAAGGACGTCATTGATTTGTACACTTAAATAATCATATTCTGAAACATTTTAAAAGAATATTCTTATTTTTTCTTAGCTTGGACCAAGTCTTAAGCGTCATGTTGTACTCAAACATTTTTGTTAAATTGCTGAGAAAATATTAGAAAGGCAATCCCCAAAGGCTTCAAACTAAGATGAGCCATATTTTTGTCAGTTCGCGTAGCTTGAGTGAGCAATTTAACTTATTTTGCGCCCCAAGAAACATTACAATATCTGTGAACTTCTGATTATCAAAAGTATTTGTTTTCCATATTTTTAATGCAATTGTGGCCTCTAAAACTTTATAAATTTTTTTAAAATATATGTTCACTTGATTGTTATCAACAAAAGAGATACCGACTGTGTGCAAATTAAAAATAGGAAATACAGCCTAATATACATTTTTGACGGAAAGACAAACATGTTCGCTGGCCATGTTCAGCACTTTAAATATAACTATTTATATCAGACTCCGTTTTATTTCATTTCGCTTAGCTTTTTAAATAGTCCGCTCTGTGCAGCCCTGGTCGATATAATCGGTTTTATTTTTTGCAGCCAAAAACTTGTGTACATCAAAAATGTACCTTTCAAAGCCACTATGACCTTCCATGACCTTGAGCATACAAAACAAAAAACTTTTGTGTACAAAAATGCAGGTCTATAAATTGCAAGGAAATCCTAAGAAAAAAAACTTTCCGCAAATTGATAATATTATATTATTAAATGTTCTAACAACTAGTTGTTTGCTTTACTGGCCTAAAAATTACGTTTTGGCAGCAAATCGAAGACAAAACAAACAGCATCAACAAAGGTTCTAGACTGCAGCGATAAGAAAATATACAAATGTTTGCATAATCTGAAAATTTCGGATTCCCAGAGTTTGCGATATAAATAGATAGTTGGTCCTCTTTACTTTAACCATTCCGCTGAGTTTGGGGTGGCCCCCACCTGCATTTTATGTATATCTTAGCAAATTTCCCGGCTGTGCCCTGATATAACCTTCCCACGACCTTGAGCTTACACAAGCAACATTCAACTATGCACATGATTTTATTTTTTAAATAGCTGGCAGTTAAATACAGTAACAGAGCAATACTTTATTTAACAGCAATAAATATATTTGTGTAGGTATGGATATTTGTATTTAAATTGCTATGACTCTGGTAACCATCAAAGGATATTAATTGTGCATAGTGCTGAATTACCGGGGCATTTTACCTAGGTTATACAACAGTGATTCCTGATCAACTTGAAGGCCCCGGGTTTTTATGATTGTGGCATTTAGTCCTTGCTCTGCATATACTTGATCAGATCGATGACACGGTTGGAGTAACCGAACTCATTGTCGTACCATGAGATTAACTTGACGAACTTGTCGTTCAGCGAAATGCCAGCCTTGGCGTCGAAGACCGACGAATGGGTGTCGCTGAGGAAATCGGTGGAGACGACCTCCTCGTCGGTGTAGCCCAGGATTCCCTTTAGGGGACCCTTCGAAGCCTCCTCGACCTTAGCCTTGATCTCATCGTAGGATGCTCCCTTGCCCAGACGGACAGTTAGATCCACCACAGAGACGTTGGGCGTGGGCACGCGGAAAGCCATGCCGGTGAGCTTTCCATTGAGGGCCGGGATTACCTTGCCCACAGCCTTGGCAGCTCCGGTGGCGGCCGGGATGATGTTCTGGGCAGCACCACGTCCATCGCGCCACAGCTTACCAGAGGGTCCATCCACGGTCTTCTGGGTGGCGGTGGTGGCGTGAACTGTGGTCATCAGACCCTCGACGATCTCGAAGTTGTCATTGATGACCTTGGCCAGAGGAGCCAGACAGTTGGTGGTGCAAGAGGCGTTCGAGACCACCTTCATGTCGGGGCTGTAGGCATCCAAATTGACGCCGCAGACGAACATGGGCGCATCGGCGGAGGGGGCCGAGATGATGACCTTCTTGGCACCGCCCTTCAAGTGGGTGGACGCCTTGTCGATGGTGGTGAACACTCCGGTCGACTCCACCACATACTCCGCGCCAGCGCTGGCCCAGTTGATGTTGGCCGGGTCGCGTTCGCTGAAAACGGTAATCTTCTGGCCGTTCACCACCAGGAAACCGCCCTCAGCCGCAACGGTGCCCTTGAAACGACCGTGAGTCGAGTCGAATTTAAACAGATACACCATGTAGTTGACATCGATGAAGGGATCGTTAACGGCCACCACGGCGGCGCCCTTTTCGACGGCGGCACGCAGCACCAGACGGCCGATACGGCCAAATCCGTTAATTCCGATCTTCGACATGGTTAAATCTCTGCTTTCTTTTCACTTTTCCTCTCGTTCAGCTTCAGCTCGCTATTACGACTGCCACTTTTTCTGGAGAGGAGCTTTTTTTCGCAAAGTATGTGTGGGGGTGGTGGTGGGGTGTGTGGGGTAGGTTTATTGGTATTTTGCCAGCGAACTGCGAAGGCCACACTTTACAATTTCAACATCTCGTTTGAAAATCATCGATTAAAATCGGGTTTTGAAAAGATAAAGAATTTTTTTTAAGTTTTTTCCGAACAGGTTGTACCGGGACTCCTTAAACTACATATGTATTTACTCTCTGGCTCACGCTGTATGTAAACTAATTACAAAAATTTGTAATTGGTATTAATTTAAGGTTTTAATTTATATTAAATCGAATAAATGTAAACACTTAATGTAATTCAATTAAACTAACTAAGTATATAACAATAAAATTAATTTTGTATTAAAAAAATTTGTTGGCCAGTTTGTCAATTGTAGTAACAAAATTTGTTGACGAGTTTGTCAATTGGTTTTGGTATTCTATATTTGTATAGCATGTATTTAATTTATTTAATTTTTTATTCTTTACTGTCAATACAGTAAAAACAGATGAACTTTTATACTAACGGCTAGCTCCTAAGGCTCCATTAATTACACTCTAATTTTAAAATTATATGTCTTCGGAAAGGTCCGTCTATTCTCTTATAGAATGTACCAATTTGCGAATCGTCAGACCAACGATTTCGTCTCAAGAAATGTATAGGTGATACCAGCTTGTTCAGCGACTCCAAATTAGTCTAAAAAAGTTTTAAGCCGCACATTCTTTGCTGTTAGTCAAATATTTTATTGATATCTTTCAAAAAATTATACTGACCATCCTGCGAATGTATAGCGTTTTCTAAGGCTGTATTTTTTAACCCTCTCTTTTTATACCCTTGCAGAGAGTATTATAATTTCAGTCAAAAGCTTGCAACGCAGTAAAGGACACATTTCCGATTGTATAAAATATATACAATTTTGTCTGCCCGTCTGTCCGTCCGTCCGTCTGCCCGTCCGTCCGTCTGCCCGTCCGTCTGTCTGCCCGTCCGTCCGTCTGTCTGCCCGTCCGTCTGCCCGTCCGTCCGTCTGTCTGCCCGTCCGTCCGTCTGTCTGCCCGTCCGTCCGACTGTTTCTACGCCAACTAGTCCCTCAGTTTTAAAACTATCTGCTTGAAGCTTTTCCAAAAGTTGTTTTTCTATAGCAGGTAGTATATAAGTCGGAACGAGCCCACAGGATTACGGTTTTAATAAAATTAAAATCCTATAGAAAAATCAAAAAAATAAATAAAAACAAAATTTTATTTGTTATTCTTTTGAGATATAATAATTTTTTACTAATAATTTTTTTTCTAAGCGTAGTTCTACGCTTTTAGATTTGTCAAAAGCGGGCAACAAGATCTTATAGCTGTCATAGAAACGATGGCGAAATGCAGCGCTAAATCGAAATAACTTCATTGTTTTTAGTGATATAGGCAAGAAATCGAAATGTAGTCGTTTTGTAAATATTATATTAAATATTATAGTATAGTGGTCATAATTATTTTGACGAAAAACAAATGGTTCAAGTTTTTATTTAACTTGGCAATGCTTTAAATAACTCCATGAATTTTTTTCTGCTTACTTAGTGCGAATACAAATTTAAACTGTTTAAGTTAAACACCTTCGACTTTTTGTTATATGAACTTGAAAAAATATAAGATAGTCATTTTTATGTGGTGGCTTAAGTATTTTGACAGCATCTTTACGGAAATATTTTCACACTTTTAAGCACGAGAGAATCAAAGAACTTCTGTGTTTAACTTTGAGCAATATTAAACGTTGTTATTAAAATATAAAGTTATTAAAAATTTTTAAATAACATGGGTAAAACGGCTGGGCTAAGTTTGGTTACCAGATCTTTAATCGCTGGAACAGCAGTCAAAGACATTGCCAATGAGTTTAATGTGTCGCGTCCAACTGTACACTACCAAATTAAAAAGTTTAAAAAGCATAAAAACAAGCGCAAAACAGATCTCAGTAAAGACCGAGTCCTTGTACGGGAATTTAAAAAAAAATGTTTTTCTAAAGCCCCAATCCGCAGCAGATAAATTTAATTCGATGATTAAGAGAATGTGATTTTAAGACTTATAGGATAACGCCCCATGCCACAAAGCCAAGATGATTACAACATTTTTGAAGGATGTTGGTGTTACATTTTGGACTGGCCACCTCAAAGTCCAGATTTAAATATACACTCGGCCCTCGCCTAACACGGACTCTTTTAGCACGAACTCGGTCTTACACGGTTACAAATTTGCTCCCATCCCCTTACTGATTTTTTTTTGATAAGGAGCCACCAAAAAAGAAAACATGTTAAAACAAAACATGTTTTTAACATTTTTAAGTTTCTATAAAGCTTAACCCGTTAATTAATTATATGAAGCAACTTTTTTAATTTAACACCAACTTTTCATTTTGATAATATGAATGTTATGTATGTATGTATGTATGTACATAATAATTTTGGTTAATTTTGAACAAACTTTTTTTTTGAAATTTTAATAAACAAAATTTGAACAATAAAAAATCTTTTTTGCTGCCGATTTTGAATTTTGAGAACTTAACCCCTTATTTTGTACTGAATCCATGTTTCACTTAACACGATTTCGATTAACACGAGGATTTCTAGGAACGTAACCCCCGTGTTAAGCGAGGGCCAAGTGTAATTGAAAACTTCTGGTCTCTTATGGAACGTAAAAGAACAGTATCGTTAAATAAAACCAGAGATGAGACAATTTCTGAGGTCACGTCCCTTTGGGAAGAGATATCTCCAGAGATCATCCAAAATTTAAAGTTACTAAAAACTTGAAGCATTTGTTTTTCTTCAAAATAATTATGCCGTCTAGTGTATATATTTAAACTTTAACCAACAACTTAAAATTTGTGTTTCAACTATTCAGAAATTTTACAGTTTATGGAATACCCTTGATGTGTCGATTGTGAAATCGATTATGATTACAAGTCCATGGTCACTCTGATTTGAATCAAATTGAATCCTCCGCTAAAAGAACTACATAAATGCATGTCCGTGAAAAATGGCAGCTGCAGCAGACGGAATTGATGGCGTCTACTCCGTGCGACTGGTAATCGCGGATTTCTACTTGGAAAAGCCGCAGTTCGGCTTGGATCCCTGCTATTCAGAGCTGCGCGGCAAAGAGATCAAGCGAGTGAGTACTATTTCATCACTATTGGTGATAAGCTGGGATAACGATTCCGTCCCCCAACAGGTTCCTGTGATTCGGGTTTTTGGCGGCAATTCAAGTGGCCAGAAGACCTGTATGCATGTGCACGGAGTGTTCCCTTACTTCTACATCCCGTACGACAGGAAGGACTTTGAGTCCCTGGAGCGGGGCATTTTGCAGATAGCCATGCACCTGGACAAGGCTATCAATATATCCCTGGGCCAGGGCAGTTCAAATGCTCAGCATGTGTTCAAAATCCAGCTGGTCAAGGGCATGTAAGTGCTGCCAGATATTTTCCTTGATTTGAATCTCTAGAGGAGTGTCATTTGCAGACCGTTCTATGGCTACCATCGCGTGGAGCATCAGTTTCTTAAGATTTACATGTTCAATCCCCGCTTCGTACGCCGCGCCGCCAATCTTCTTCAGAGTGGCGCTATTCTGAGCAAGAACTTCAGTCCGCACGAGTCGCATGTTCCCTACATCCTGCAGTTCATGATCGACTACAACTTGTATGGGATGAGCTACCTTCATGTGCCGCTGGAGGTGCTCAAGTTTCGACGCAGCCACGACGATGAAGGCAAGTTGGCTTGAAAACCTTCTTATCCTCCTTATCTAAACCCTTATTTTAGTAATACCCTATGCGAATGTTAAGCCGGCTCAGCTTCTGGACACAATAAGCGTGAGAAAAGTGGCCTGCAGTGCCTTGGAGGTGGATGTCAGCTCTAACTTCATACTGAACCGCTTCCAGCTGGTTGCCAAGAGCAAAGGCAATCACACCAATCCAGGCATTGAAGCCATCTGGAATGATGAGAACCTGCGTCGTCAGAAACTGGTCGAAAAACACACCGCTGCTAATGATGCAGAGATGGTTCAAGCGGTACTACGGCTATCCTTATTTCTAAGCTATAACTTATATCCTTTTTGAATCATAGGTTCCAGTTTTAAAATTGCCGCCTACACAAGAACGCCACCTTATTGAGATCGCCGAGAGTGATGTCTTCTACCGCACAGCCCTGGAAAGCAAGCTGTTGACCTTGGAGCAGTCCACATTGTCCGACCAAACACTGTCGGATCAGACGACACTAGCCAATGCCACTATGCAGACCACAATACCCGGCACTAAAGAACAGAAGCGCACTTTTAACTTGCAAAAACTGCTGGCCAATGCTGTTTATCCTGAGGAATGCTCACAGGATCAGCAGCAACTGCTGGTTAATGCTTCTTTTATACAAAACCATGTGACCTGCAGCAACAGTAGCAATGATACTCTACCAGTTCCAAAAGATGAGTCCGATTACATGGACGAAACAATGGTGGATGAGGAGCTAATCCTGAGCCTCACACAGCCGCATGGAGCAATGCCCCACGATGCCACCTGTGGGTAAACGCTTGTCCAACACTAAACTTCCTTTTTGTGCACATAACAATTTCATTTTATGCAGTGAGGGAGGAGGACTTGGAACTTTTGGATGCGTTGCAGCTGCTAGAAGAACAGAATGAAAGTGAATCGCATGTGGATTTGGACAGTTCATTGGCTCCCTTGTCGCAGCACCACAAAAGGGACTGTAGGTGAAACTGAATACTCACTATTAAGATAAGATAATACCATTGTGGTCTCTTAGTCGAACTGACCCCGGAGCTTTTGGACAAAGAAACAATAGCTGCTGCTGTAGGATCGCATGTGATTTCCGACGAAGATTGTGAGTCCGATGAGGATGCAGAGCAAGGAAACCGACATGACTTTTCTTCCGCCCTCGATGAGATTAATGATCTACTACTTAAGCTAACCCAAAGTCAGCCTGAGCCAGTGGAGGCCAAAAAGCAGGACCTCTCAACAAAAATGCCACAACTCGACGGCTCTGATGATCACTTACAGCGAACACCAAAAAAAAACAGCTCCAAGCTAAAGTCAAGTCCTTCAAAGACACCCTCCAGTCCGAAAGGACAGGCAAGCCTGTTAAAGTCGCCGCGTACACCAAAAGCTAGTACGGCCAAGAAGTATGCCCCACTGCCTTTGACGATCGGAAGCAGTTCAGCAAAGAGTGTGTAGAATTGATTGCAGAAGTCTATGTATATATAAATATTTCCAATCAATTGCAGAAAAAAATGAGGAAATCAAAGGAAAAGCCCCTCACCCCCGATTTAGATTGCAGCTTGACCAAGGACCAGAAACAGAAACTCTAAAATCACCTGGGTAATTAAATGGTTTATGTTTTTTTTATTCCCATTTTCAGATATGCTGCCCTTGGATTTTAATTTTAGACAAGTGCAGTAAATGAGACAATTCCGGTCCTATAAACTACATATTATTATCAGCATCACCAGACCAGTCGATCTAGCCATATCCGTCTGCCCTTGCATTTTTAAGTTAACAAGTCTCTGAGTTTTATAGCTATCTGGATGAAACTCTTAAAAGTTTTCTTTTTATACCCTTGCAGAGGGTATTATAATTTCAGTCAAAAGTTTGCAACGCAGTGAAGGAGATATTTCCGACCCTATAAAGTATATATATTCTTGATCAGCATCACCAGGAGAGTCGATCTAGCCATGTCCGTCCGTCCGTCCGTCTGTCCGTCCGTCCGTCCGTTTCTACGCAAACTAGTCCCTCAGTTTTAAAGATATCTGCTTTAAACTTTCCCAAAAGTTGTCTTTCTATTGCAGGTAGTATATAAGTCGGAACGAGCCGGATCGGCCGACTATATCCTATAGCTGCCATATAACTGAACGATCGGAAAGGCCATAACTTTGGTATTTTTAAAGGTTTTATGGGTTTTATATTTGGCCAATCAATCCGACCTACCAAATTTTATAAGGATCGGTCGACTGTATCCTATAGCTGCCATATAACTGAATGATCGGAAATGCCATAACTTTGGTGTTTGTAAAGTTAGGAAGTTGTGATTTTCTATGGGTTTTATTTTTGGCCAATCAATCCGACCTTCTAAGTTTCATAAGGATCGGCCGACTATATGCTATAGCTGCCATATAACTGAACGATTGGTGTTTTTAATGTTAGGAAGTTGGGATTTTTTATGATTATTAAGAATGCATCATATGAATAATTTTGGAGAATATAATTTACAGAATATTCTGCAAGGGTATATCAACTTTGGCTCCGCCCGAAGTTAGCTTTCCTTTCTTGTTATTAGTAGAAATATAGAATAGCTGAAACGGAACTTATCGGACGACTATGTCATAAAGCCACCATAGAAACAGTTAAAAAATAATTTAACTTAACTTTGTTGTTTTTCAAGATATAGCTGTTTTTTACGATTAACATAACAGATTCTAAATTTTACAATACTCGAAGGACTACATCATAACTGCCATAGAAATAATAATAACAAAAAGTATCGGAAAATCGATATGAAGAATAGAATATAATTTAAATGTTGTGTTGCAGCTGCAAGGGTAAAAAACTTCGGCTTGCCGAAGTTTGCATTCTATTCAGTTTAAAAATAATTTTTTTTTTGTAGGCCAGAGCTGTCTCTTCGCAAGAAATTAGCCATGACGGAAATTCGACGAAAAAGTACAGAGGAATCAAACAGTTTCGTCCGCTTGCAGAACGAGTAGGATTACTTATACTATTTGTACTATCCTATACTAAACCTTTAAGCTAATATAACCCTTGTTTATCCGACAGTTGTACACCACTCCGCAGTACCAGGCGATCGAAACGCAATCTGGACAAGACACATGTTATTTGCTCCCTGACGCCTAGGGATAGGAATCCAAGTTTCTTTGACATGTTTGAAACTGCGGAATGCGGGGAAATAGCGCCGTCGGAAGAGGTAACAATGCCAGAAGATAGTATTCGTCACCAAGCTATGGATAGATTAGGGATAAACCAATGTAAAGAACCCAAATATTGCAACGAAAGCCCACTTAAACCAGAAGAAAACGCCTTGAAAGTGATAAAACCAAGGCGAAGTTTACGACATCAGAAGAACTTAATTAACCCAAATGAGTTCTTTAGTGACACAGAAAAAACACAAAAGAAACACAGATTTGAAAAAAGCTCAAAGGTTACAAATAATATCTGCTTAACGGAAAGTCACAAAAAAAGTCCTTATAAAAATGCAAAATCAATGGAGTGTTCCCTCTCTAGGTCAGAAACTTCCGAGAACAGTGCTGAAAGGGCACAAAATGAACTATTTCCACATGAGCCATCTGCTCATTCCTCTGGGGATAAAGGAAATCCCAGCGAGAAACGACAAATTGCTCCAAGCGATGATGAGGCCATTGAATCCGACACGGAGAGCGATACTATGCCCACCAAACTACGTAAAACACCTAACTTGAGGCGACTGCGAAGAAGCTTTCGTTCGGAGATTCTAACCAAGCAGTTAACTCCAAGTACAGGCAAAGCACAACCTGAGATTCAGACCACTCCTCATTTGAGCCCCAAAAGCAATGAAAGTCACTCACCGGAGCAAATGAGAAGTTTCTACGAGCAGTCGCTGATTGTTAACAGTCCGTCGGTCTTTAGTGACATGTTGGATAGTCCCATGATGTCTAAGTCCATTGTGATTTCTCCCTTGGAGCTGCCTCCATCCTACGATGAAGTTGTTCATGGTTGTCGCAAGATGGATATACCAGAGCACGAGTTCCAGAAGCCTTTCTATAGCAATCCCGCTGATGTGAGCAAGGTAACGGAGGTGGGCTTTCTGGTCCTTCACATTCCAGGAAACAAGCTTAATGACTGCGAGCCCTTTCAAAGCGTAATGGGCAATGACCGTGGGTTGGCTTCCTGGCGACGTCAACAACTGATAGCTATCGGTGGCCCGGCAATGCTGCAAAGACATCGAGGGGAACAAAGGATGCGGGAGTACTTCAGCAGTGGGCAAAGAGTAGAAATCGAACCCGTACAGCTTCCACCCGCTTGGCAAGATGCCAAGGTCTGGCTGAAGGCTAAGGAACTGATTCGTCAGCGGGAGGAATCAGCCAAGTCTTCAGACGACATAGACAGTCCTATTAAAATCAAACGCCAGAAGATCACAATGATGCTCCAGGCTGAGGTGGGCGATGCTGCTAGTGGCGACGAAGATGCAGGTGAGGATTTCGATTGCAGCCTGAGCCTCACTCCCCTATCTCAAGCTAAGGATAAATCGAAGACATCCCCAATAAGTAGCAAGGCTAAAGGAGCGACGAGGAATCTCCTTAAACGAGGAACCAAACTGAACTTCAAAGAATCACAGGAGGATAAACAAACCAGCTCACAGTCCAGCGAGCAGAGCGTCAGTAGTGCTGCCCAGGCGGTGCTAGAGCGGAGTTCCTTTCTACGCCAGTTGGAGGGTAGCCAGCTGCAACACGACCTCAGCTTTGGACTAAGTCACGCCACATTGGACAACACTTTCGGGTTTAAGGTTAACTTGGAGAACCTGCAGCAGGCTAAGGCCGACATTGATTGCAACCACCTGACCATATTGACATTGGAAGTGTTTGTGTCCACGCGTGGTGAGCTACAACCAGATCCAATGCACGACGATATTCGCTGTTTGTTCTACGCGATTGAGCATAGTTTGGAGGATGCAAGTCTTCCGAGCAAAGCCTGTGGCTACATTATGGTCAATAATGACCAAGATTTGCTAAGCGAAGGCTCAATCCATGGTCTGGATCGGGATATTGAAGGGCAAGTGGTGGCCAGTGAAGCTGAAGCGTTTGAGGCACTGCTGGTCCTGTGCGGACGGTGGGATGCGGATATATACGCCGGTTACGAGATCGAGATGTCCTCATGGGGCTATGTGATCGATCGGGCCAAACATCTGTGCTTCAATATCTCTCCTTTGCTGTCACGAGTGCCCACCCAAAAGGTGCGGGATTTCGTGGACGAGGATCGGGAGCAGTTTACCGACCTGGATGTGGAAATGAAACTCTGCGGCCGCATTCTGTTAGACGTGTGGCGTCTGATGCGCTCGGAGATTGCCTTGACGTCGTACACCTTCGAGAACGTAATGTACCATATCCTGCATAAGAGGTGTCCCTGGCATTCTCCGAAGACGCTCAGCGAATGGTTTTCCTCGCCCTGCACTCGTTGGATAGTAATGGAATATTTTTTGGAACGGGTGCGAGGCACTTTGTCTCTGTTGGATCAGTTGGACTTACTGGGACGCACCAGCGAAATGGCCAAGCTTATCGGCATCCAGTTCTACGAGGTATTGTCGCGCGGATCTCAGTTTCGCGTGGAAAGCATGATGCTAAGGTGAGTTTTTTCCTTCAGAGGAAGTATATCCTATTGTGTTCAACAATTTCACAGAATTGCCAAGCCAAAGAACCTGGTGCCTCTCTCGCCTAGCGTCCAGGCTCGAGCACATATGCGGGCGCCCGAGTATCTGGCTCTCATCATGGAACCGCAGTCGCGCTTCTACGCTGATCCGCTGATCGTGCTCGACTTTCAGAGTTTGTACCCCAGCATGATTATCGCCTATAACTACTGCTTCTCCACTTGCTTGGGTAGAGTTGAGCACCTGGGCTCGAGCGCGCCCTTTGAGTTTGGAGCCTCGCAGCTACGGGTTTCCAGACAGATGCTCCAAAAGTTGTTGGAGCACGATCTAGTCACCGTCTCGCCTTGCGGCGTGGTATTCGTAAAGCGCGAAGTGCGCGAGGGCATCCTGCCGCGCATGCTTACCGAGATTCTGGACACGCGCCAGATGGTTAAGCAGTCGATGAAGCTGCACAAGGATAGCTCCGCCCTACAACGGATTCTCCATTCCAGACAGTTGGGTCTGAAACTGATGGCCAATGTCACTTATGGGTACACGGCAGCTAATTTTAGTGGCAGAATGCCTGCGGTGGAAGTGGGTGATTCGGTGGTGTCCAAAGGACGGGAGACATTGGAGCGGGCCATTAAACTAGTGGAGGCCAATGATAAGTGGAATGTGCGTGTCGTCTATGGCGATACGGACTCTATGTTCGTTCTTGTCCCGGGTCGAAATCGTGCAGAAGCCTTTCGAATTGGCGAGGAGATCGCTCAAGCCGTCACCGATATGAATCCCCAGCCGGTGAAGCTAAAGCTGGAGAAAGTCTACCAACCGTGTTTATTGCAGACCAAGAAGCGCTATGTGGGTTACATGTACGAGACGGCCGACCAGGGACAACCTGTCTACGAGGCCAAGGGCATTGAGACAGTGCGGCGGGATGGCTGTCCGGCGGTGGCAAAGATGCTGGAAAAGGTGTTGCGCCTCTTGTTTGAGACACAGGACGTCAGTCAGATAAAGCAGTACGTGTGCCGGCAGTTCACCAAGCTGCTCTCCGGCAAAGCCAATCTGCAGGACCTAATATTTGCTAAGGAGTTCCGCGGTCTCAACGGCTACAAGCCCACAGCCTGTGTGCCGGCACTAGAACTGACTCGGTGAGTTGTTTTATAGTTATTGTTTACAATTCCGGTTTCTACATTTTTCCTTTTCAGAAAATGGATGCAGAAGGATCCTCGGCATGTACCACGTCGCGGAGAGCGCGTGCCCTTTATAATAGTCAACGGACCGCCGGGCATGCAGCTCATTCGCCTGGTCCGCAGTCCTCACGATATTCTGGCCAACGAGGGTCACAAGATCAACGCCATTTACTACATCACCAAGGCGATTATCCCACCGCTGAATCGCTGCCTGCTGCTTATCGGAGCCAATGTCCACGATTGGTTTGCTAGTTTGCCACGGAAGTTGCTCATGACGCCAGCTGTGGGAACGGCCAACGAGTTGGCCGGTGCAAGAGTCGCCAAGTCCACTATTTCCCAGTATTTCTCCACCACCAGCTGTGTGATTGATTGTGGCCGCCAAACGAAGGCGGGCATTTGTCAAGAGTGCCTACGGGATGCCACCAAATGTGTAGTAATGCTCTCTGATAAGACCGCGCGTTTGGAAAGAGGCTACCAGCTCACCAGACAGATATGCCAGGCCTGTTGCGGCCGACTGGGTAGCCTTCAGTGCGATTCTCTCGACTGCCCAGTACTTTATGTTTTGGAAGGAAAGCGAAGGGAGCTTCAGCAAATTGAACACTTTCACAAGCTACTGGAGGTTCACTTCTAGTGCCAACATACACAAATTCTCTTTCATAAGGGATGTATATATATTTCAACTTTCAGCTTGCTTACAAAAGTTAAAATTACATTTATTGATTTAGCCAGTGTTTCTAAACATGTACATAGCTTAGACACTACTTTTGCAATTGGGTGATTCTGTTGCCTGTATAATACTAGAGAAATTGTTAACTATTGATATTGTTTAATATTATTGTGTTGTGATTGTTTTGTGAGCTATGAGCATGCAGCCAATAAATGAATGTTTATCTTAAACTTAAAGTTTGCAAACTTGTTTCGCAATATGAATGAACATGATTATTTTTAATCTATAATAATAGGGTTTTCAGTTCAGCGTAGGATTTAATCTTTCGTTTTAACAATTTCAATGAGTAACCGAATTACATAACAATTAGTACATGATGTAATGAATATTTTGATTTTTGTTTTACCCCTGATTCTTGTTGCCTAAACAAAATTCTTCTATATATTTCCAATTGAACAATTTGCTTGGATAAAAAACAAATTGCAGTATACATATTACAAAAAAAAAACATCGTTTTTTAATTTATAAGTAGCATAAAAATGTTGAAAACATGCCTCTAAAACACTCAAAAAATATGAATATATTTCTGGTTTAAATAACATCATCCTCATCATCCATTTCAAACATCATAGTGTTCTTGGCATCCAATTCGATGTTGCTGCCGCGCGCACCTGCTGATCCAGTGAGATCCAGTCCGCTGTCGTGGAGCAAGGACTCGCTCTTGGGTTTGCTATTATTTTTTTTTGGATTCTCTTGTTGCTGTAAAGAAAAATAAAGTCATTATTATTGTGTTAGGGATGATATTTTTCAACTCATTAATTATCCTTTAGCACTTAGATGAAGTTTTATAATTTATTTTACTTTGACAAGCAAATTAGCAATTTTATCTTTTTATACGGTGCCGAAATTTAAAAAACAAGTCAATTTTTTTTTCTTTAAAATAGTGAAAGCAAATAAAAGAATTTCAAACACAGCAATTTGTAGAGGGGATTGTTCATTTTAATTTAAGTTAAAGAACGTTCTTAAAACTGCATTGCTGTTTAAGGATCAAAGTCTAAATATAGAATATTTAATTTTTGTAACCGTTGCAAGGGTTTATATACGTCGCTTCGCCAAAGCTGTTTCTTTTTTTGTTAAGAAGGCAAACTTCCACTAATGTATAAATTCCATTCTTTGCTTAGTCTTCTCCAGCTATTTATCAATTAACATACTTTAATTAATAAAAATGGTTGCTATAAATAATGCCCACTCTAGATTTCGCACGCAGGTAATACAATTTCCTAAACAAAGAGTTGACTAATATTTATGTCTGGCGAAAGGCAAATCAAGCCAAACTGCCCGTTTTCGCTGGTGATCACTAATTCAATTAACAAGCTAACAACCTAACAGCCTCCTAACCAGCCGTAATATTCGCTCAATTAACGAGACCAGATAAATATAGAGATATAGAACTAGATCGGCCACCCCCAGCTCACCTTGAGGGCAGTGCCACGGGTCTCCTCATAATCAACGGAATCACCTTCGCTGAGGCGACGCTGCTGGGCCCGCAGCTTGAGATCGCGTCGCTTCTGGTTCTTCTTGCGCTGCCCTAGGATGCTTGAATCGAGTCTGGAGAAATGAGAAAATTATTAGATTACTGGCAACTTTTAGTGGTCAGAATTGGTACTCACCGAAACACTTGTTTCATGATGTGATCATTAAACCTAACAGTCTTCTTGCAGCTCTCCGAGAGCCCGGCATCGGATCGATCCTCCTCGGGAATGCCGCCAAACGAGTGCGAGTAAAGCGAGGTGCCGGAGGCGTCTACGGAGCACGAATATGAGGAGCAGTCGTCGATGGATGAGCAGCTGTCTGACATGGAAGGTCGCGGACCATAGCGGCTGAACCGCTTGAGGATACCGCGATGAGAGCCACCGCTGCTGTCGTTGCACTCCGAGTAGCTGCGTTGCTTGCGCTGCGGCATTAGCTTAAGCATGGCCTTTCGCTGGGGATCAGGGTTTCCGTCCAGTGGCTCTTGGGCGAGTATATCCTCGCAAGCCGACTCAGAGAGGGAGCGCTCCTTCTTATTCCGTTTGCGTTGCTTCTTGCCGGGCTTCTTGTTCTGAATCTGCTGATGGTCCTGCGGCTCGCTTTCGTGCTCCAGACATGGCTGGTCATCGTCCTGCTCACCCTCCGTGGTGTTTGACACCGGGCGAATGGTAACCTTTAGGGCTTGACCTTCCTGGTTGTGCTCGAACTTGACATTCAGCGAATCATTCTCATTTTTTGTATAAGCTCTCCCTTTGCTCTTCACATTATACTGCCCGTTAACTGGGTACTCCTTGAGATCCTTGGCATCTAGTCCGGCCAGATAGTTAGCCGGAGCCTCGCTCTGCGAGCTTAGGCACAACTTGAGCACCACATTGTTGTCCCAGGCCTCCGCCTCCACGCTTTCGATGGCGGAATCTTCGTCTTCCGCCGGCAGCTCTACATAAAAAGCATAGTGGGTGGGATAGTAGCCACTGCCGATGGTGGCAAACTGCAGATGCAGGCTCCGCTGCTCTTTCAACTGCACAATGGAGTCCGGCTGAACGTTGGGCACGTGAAGCACAAAGGCCATAACATTATCCAGGACGTTGCAGTCGAACTTGTTGGGCAGTTGGTAGAGAACGGAGCTCTTAAGGAACGGGCTATTGGCGTTGCGCACGGGCGTGGCAGTGGGCGTGGCTAAGAAGAGCAGACAAAAATAATTACGGATTAATCGATAGCCTCAGCACTAACAGACTAATATTGAAACGGATACAAACAGTTAATCACAATTATAAAGTAACACATAATATATACTCTACAAATGTATATACAGTGGAGGAAAAAATAATAGGAACGCCCAGGTTGCGTTCGTTAACCTAATATTTCGTGAAAAACGAACATATACTAAAGCATGTTTAATTTTAAGAAACATAATAATTATTAAAAAATTAATTATGTAAAAAATGAGAAAAAATGTTTGAACTGATTTTTTGAACTGGCCCATCCATAACAGTCATTTGCAGGTCGTTTCAATATATTTGTCCAGAACTGTATATGGCAATTCATTTTTCCCTCAATTCTACTTACCAGTTTCGGATGTTTCCGCCTTGGAATCGCTCAGTTCGCCATCAGGATCCTCCTCAACAGGCGACTCGCTGTTGGAATGCAGCTCCACGCCGCTATCCTCGCGGCTAAAGTGCCGCAAGGTGTCATGCATCTGGGCCTGCTCTCGTCCGCTCTTTCGAACCACGGGCAATGTGATGCTCAAACGACGTAGATCCGTGTCAAAGCGGGCACTGCCAGCCTTGTCGTTCACGGTGAAGGGAAGGTCCAGCTTCAGGCGGTATTTTGCGCCCTGCCGCTCGCTGAAAAGATATACGGACTTCGAGGTGACATCCAATTGGCACTCTGCTGTGGACCGGAGCAGCGGCAGCTCGATCTCGACGACAAGGGAGCGTGGCACCGTTACATGCAGCTTGGCGTCCAGCTCGTCAGTGTATTCCGACAAGTCAACATCGTGGCTGTGCTTGATCGAATACCTGGGCACAGTGAACTCCGGTACCGGAGTGGGACGTGTCTTCATGGGCAGGACGCGGGGCTCCACTTTTTCGGAGGAGGGTGGGTTTGTGGGGTACATGTGCGCCAGGGGATGCGGCTCTTGTTCCTCGGCAGTGGGATTCTTTGCCAGCTTTCGTATCACAGTGGGTCGGGCGATGCCCTTGTAGTCCAGCTTGGGGAATTTTAGATTGGCGCGATCCAGAGCGACCTCGAACTCGCGTTCAATTGCGTCCAGCGCCGTGTCGATGAGGCACTGCCGAAACTGCTTGTTCCGTTTGGCCAGGTGCAGTGCGTCCGGATGGAAGACCACGTCGAACACCTTACAGTGATTGTTCCTGGCATCGCAGTCATCTCGCGATGAAGTCTGGGCCATGGGAATGGACCAACTCAGGCCACGGCTGCCATTTGACGGATCCGTGGCCACCTCATTCTTGGGCCTCTCAATCTCCGTAGAGCTGGCGATGTTGATGAAGCACTTGAGCTCGCCATCCAGCGCCGTCTTGATCACAAATCCAGGCTGGGGATGGATGAACCTCACCTCCACACCGCGCTCTTTTTCAAGCTGAGTGATCTCCTCCTCGTAGATCTTGCGGTTTTCGGGGTCCTGGATCTCCTCGACGTACTCGAAGAAAAGCTTGCGGAACTCCTCCTGGCTGAGGGCCTCCCGGATCCGGTTAAACTCCTCCTTGCTTATGTCGAGCTGCTCATCATTACGGATCTTTGAGTGTTTATTACGCGAACCGGTAGCAGATGCGGACATAGCGCTCTCAGGGGGACACTTCACTCACGGAGAGATCTCTTCGGTTCTCTTGTCGGCACTTTCAACAACAATTTTTTTGTATCACTTTTAGGGGTTTAATTTTTTGTTTGTTATGTTTGGGTTGCCAAGTTTTTAGCACGTTGCTTTAGATTTTTTTTTGTTTCTGAAAAGTTTTGAAAGGAAAAAATGATTAGTGGAATTTTTTTAATAATACAAATTCCAGAGGTCTGGGCGTTCATACAAGCGGAGGGACGAACCCGATTCGATTGGCTATTGATTCCAAACAAGATTACATATATACTTTATAGGGTCGAAAACGCTTCATTAACTTTCTTACATAAAATATACAAATACCCCATTAATCCTCTAGAAACGAGTTGATCATTTTTGCCATTTTTAAGCCATGTTTACGATTATTTAATTTCTTATTTATTATTTTTTAAACTTGAAAAGGAAACCCTTCAGCGTATTATCTATTATTAAAAATTTCGAATCCCTTTAAAAAGTCATTGAAAACTTTCCAATCGAAACACTGATAAGCTAATGAATTTCCAAGGTTGCCCTAGGTCCTGACCAATTCGAAACCAAGCATTTAAATTACGAATTTCTAATCAGTCGATAATCAAACAAACATTTAATCAATGACGCAGTAAGGTCGTTGCCAAAAATCGCCGGTATTATGCAAGTAAGAATAAGCTGACAACGCGCTATTTCATTTGTCGGCCAATAAATAAATGAACTGCGTAGTTTTTAAAATTCTAGGGGAACGCGCTTTACCTACGTGTATTTTTATTTTGTTTTTGGGACCGATGCTTTCCCGACGAGCGTGTTTATAAGAATGAGAGCGCACCGCCTGAAACGCCGGCAAATATTGGAGGTTCTTTCAGAGCGGAAGAGAGCGGTATCTGCGCAGAGGGTCTCTTGATAAGCGCGAAAAAACCACTTGCCCCCAATTGTTTTTGTTTAGCGAGATTCTTCCCCCACCTCCCCTATTTCCTTCGACCCTACACAATACGATTTCTGTCGCAACCCAACTAATTGTACAATAAACTATTATATCTTCACATACCTACAGACAATGATAATAATTGTAATGTTTACCGACTGTCGACTGATACACTTGTACTTGGTGGGCGGTAAATGGAAGTCCACATAGTATTCCCTACTGCGTATGTATCTCCTCTCCGAGGAAAACGAGGAAAATTATAACAGTTACGTGACCGAACACATGTTTGCGGTGGGGGAGGGGAAAACTCTCGTTTGATCGATACGAACTGAAAATAATTGATTTCGGCACAAACCGGTCGATGTAAAGTGGAAAGCCCTTACTGAATTTAAATTATATTGGATCAGAAAACTATTTATATACCTCTCATGGGCACCTCCATTGGAGGTTCCATGTAAGACAACAACTTACATGCCCCTTAAAACAGCTCGATTTATGGTTTCCTATTTAATAACACACACACCACTCACCTGTTTATAAATATTTGTTCTATTATTGTTTCAATAGCACGAAATTAAATGTTTATTAAAACACTCGGCTGCTATTGAATAGATTTTTTAATGGAGTTCGAGTTTGACGTTCTAGAAACTTTTCCGCTGGACCGGCTGCTCGTGTTTGTGTGTGTGCAACGCTTTGGTATATTTATGCAATTAAATTGGGAAAATTATACCCATAGTATTTTAGGTACATGTATGTCAACGTTCTCTTTTGTAACCCCATCTGGTCACACTGTACCCAAGAAACGGAATGGAGCAATGGAGTCCCATTTATTTTTAGTTTTTCTATTGTCGTTTTCAATATACAAAAATGCAAAAGGTTGGATTTTATTAGTGTTACTCAATAAATGAGCGTTTTTTGTTGAAAGTGTATATAGGCACCCGGATTGCGAAGGGTTTTAAAGCCCCAACGAAGTGATTGAAAAGTGGAAGAGTGCTTTGAACGGCCCTGATTTGTTTTCGAATTCTGCAGTTCTTCTAAATTGTGCTGTTTATTTAGCGGGGATAGATGTGAAAAGGTGGTATCGGGATGCTCATCAGTGGAAACCCCATATAGAGGAGCACTTGGAACGCATTATGTAAACGGATTCGTGGGCGTTCAAAGCATAAGTGCATTTTCCTAATGATTTACCCACGCACACCAAAGTTCCGTGTGTATACACAGAACTCGATGCGGCGCATGTGTGAGTGGTGGGGCCTTGCATGTATGTATGTTTAATGTGTTTTTGTTTCTTTTTCTAGCTGAAATCAGCGATCATTTGTTGGAGGACAATCAGGATATAGACATGGAGCCCTCCGCCCATCCCAATGGCAAAGAGTTTCCGTCCGTTCCACAGAACTCGGTGCAGACGCATCCCAGGTGATCAAATTTTTATCCTAAATTTTAGCTTATAAACCCCGTTTTTGCCAGTTGAAATATTGCTAACCTCTATTACCACTCTATTGCCATGCTGCTTATCCTTGATTAGGAGACACATTAAGAGTAAGCGCCGCATGAAAAGAAGGTAACATTAACACTATTCAGATATCGGGGTTGGCCAAAAAATGTTGTCCAACCAAAAATCAAATTTAAAACCAACCAAGTCTGATTTTAGAAATATTGTTTACGATTTCTGGGGCACCTCTGTTCAATTTGCTTTATTTCCGTCGCACTCTTAACAAAAATACATTTTTAAAATAATATAACAGAAATTGTGTAACAAATATATTTTGTAGATATAAGCTGCTTTTTTCCTGTGTACGATTTCTTGAATCTCTCGTGAAATCTTATTAAACCTTTGAATCTTTAAACAGATACAAGTGCTATTCCTGCGAGCCGCCTTGTCTGGATCCGTATGAATTTTCCCACACCTGCCAGAATGCCATTCAGGTGAGTAATATTCTTTGAGAGCCTCAGAATCTATAACGAATCCAACCCGACAGTGCTGGAAATCACGCACCCGCAACGCCGATGGACAGGAACACGTGTCTCGCGGATGCAGCACCTCGCCGGAACAACTGCCTCTGATCTGCAGCCAGAACTCGCTCAAGCTCAATGGGCCCAGCAAGCGCAATACGGCCAAGTTCGTCAATGTGGCTTGTTGTGCCGGCGACTACTGCAACAGTGGAGAGTTCCCCGAATTGCTGCCTTTCGCTAGTAATGATGTGACGGTAATAACGGCCGATACCAGTAGTATAAGCAAGATGGCGGCCGCCATTCTGGGTCCCTTTCTAGTAATCACGCTGTTGGGAGCCGTGGCCATTTTCTTTATCCGTCGCAGCCATCGCAAACGCCTTGTTGCCTCGCGCACCAAACAAGATCCGGAGGCGTATCTGGTCAATGATGAGTTGCTGCGCGCTACCAGCGCCGGTGACAGTACGTTGAGGGAATACCTCCAGCACTCTGTAACCTCGGGATCGGGCAGTGGACTGCCCCTGCTGGTACAGCGAACTCTGGCCAAACAGGTCACATTGATCGAGTGCATAGGACGGGGTAAATACGGCGAGGTGTGGCGCGGTCACTGGCACGGCGAGAGCATCGCCGTCAAAATATTCTTCAGTCGCGACGAAGAGTCCTGGAAGCGGGAGACGGAGATCTACAGGTGAGGCTAATTAAAACATTTTTAAGCAGCACTCCTTAGGAGTATCTCTGCAGTTTTTCACATTAAACAAAACTCGATGTTGATTAGTAATATCAATCAAACATATAGATTTCATTATGTTTTCTCTTTAAATCTCTGTTAATAAAATACATGATTATTGGGATATACAGCAATTCAAAGAAGTTTGATCAACATTAGATTACAATTATTACATAATTTAGGAAAACCAACGCAGTTGTCTAATTAAAGGGTGTCGTTTAAATGGCGAAATCTTAGTGTATTCCATTTCATTTAGCTACGTTTAAAACTAGTCATCATTACCAGTTGCTCCATGAATCATCAATAATCCGCCGTATTTTTCAGCACTGTTTTGCTCCGCCATGAAAACATACTCGGCTTTATTGGCTCTGACATGACGTCGCGCAACTCGTGCACCCAACTTTGGCTAATGACGCACTACTACCCACTGGGCTCGCTCTTCGATCACCTGAACCGCAACGCTCTGAGCCACAACGACATGGTATGGATTTGCCTATCGATAGCCAATGGACTGGTGCACCTGCACACGGAGATATTCGGCAAGCAAGGAAAGCCTGCAATGGCTCATCGCGATTTGAAGTCTAAAAATATTCTGGTCACCTCAAACGGGTCCTGCGTGATAGCCGATTTTGGATTGGCCGTCACTCATTCGCATGTCACAGGACAACTGGATCTAGGCAACAATCCCAAGGTGGGCACTAAGCGCTACATGGCTCCTGAGGTTCTGGATGAGAGGTTTGTGTTTAATGTCAGGATACCGAGGGAAGATTTGATATACAAATATTTGTTTCCCTTGCAGCATTGATTTGGAATGCTTCGAGGCACTGCGCCGCACGGATATTTACGCTTTTGGACTGGTACTGTGGGAGGTTTGTCGACGCACTATCTCGTGCGGCATCGCCGAGGAGTACAAGGTTCCCTTCTACGATGTGGTGCCCATGGATCCCAGCTTTGAAGACATGCGCAAGGTGGTCTGCATTGACAACTACAGGCCCTCCATTCCAAATCGCTGGAGCTCAGATTCGGTAAGTCGATCCTGAAGCTTATCGTAATAACTTAAAATCTATAGTTTACTTTCTGCAGTTACTGGCTGGCATGTCCAAGCTCATGAAGGAGTGCTGGCACCAAAACCCCAACGTGCGCTTGCCAGCGCTGCGCATCAAAAAGACTATACATAAACTAGCTTCCGCTGACGAGAAGATACGCCTTGACTTTGACGAGGTCTGCGTTTAGTGGTTGTAGACGAGCCTTAGCTATAAGCAATAATTTAGTTTACCGTCTAGCTAGTTTAAGATTCATTCATTGACATTTTCCCTTGCATTTTCATACTATCAGTCAGTACATGTATTATTCAGAGTTAAGCCCACGTGTTGAATGAGGAACTAAGCCAAGTACAAGACCCTTGACAGTTTCTAACTAGAAGACTATAACTTATTTGCAATGCAAATTTTGAATTGTTTGGATTGACTTTATCGTTTCCATTTCACCGCGAACTAAGCTCGACTAGAATGCCTTTGAAATTGCCTTAAATTAAATTTAGCAGCAACTATATATATTCTTGGGATATCATCCTGTATAGTTATCATTTCACTATTAACCATTGTTCATCGTTCATCAAGTGCCATTTGCAATTGAGAATTGTAAGCGCGTTAACTGTAAGCTCACTCTTTGAACTCTACACTAAATTCTTCACCCTAGAACTTGTCCATGCTATGATAGAACCATAAGCCACACCACCAACTGACTTGCTCTCCTAGTTAGTTGTTTAGCACTAAGTTCCCCACGCATAGAAGCATACACACCTACTTGTATATTGTACAAATTACAAGCTATTTAAGTTTTGTATAGTCTAAACGAAATGAAATACACGAATAAGCATTAAGCATTAGGCAATCATGTTTATTAATTGATTTTCGTCAATTGTCTGCCGTCAGAAGCCGGAAGCAGTCGTCGTTGTCTTCGTCCAGAAAAAGCAGCCGAAAGATGTCGTTGAAAAAGTCGGGATAGTAGTCGCAGGCCCGTTTGCAGTCGGGAGTCCAGTTGATCTCCAGCAACTGCGGCTCGATCTCCTTCTCCTCATCATCTTTCCACCGGAGCATAATGTCAGCAGCGTACAGAGCTCGGGATTGGGCACAGGGTGCCAGTCCGCAGGGCGGATCTGCTTGTCTGGCGCACTGCAGCACCTCTTCCAGCATTTTACAGATCTGCAGCTCTAGAGCCGACCAATCGCTATTAGGATACTGCTCCTGCCAGAGAGTCAAAAAGTCGTCGCACTTGACATGATGTAGCTGCGCCTCTTCCTGGTAGTTCATTACCGTGTAGTGCTTTTCGTAGTCATCGAAATGATCAAGCGAGAACGGATGATTGGCAAAGCGCAGGAAGAACTTGCGGTATACATACGCCTTAAGGGGGTTAACGCTCTTTAGGAGTATTACATAGCGAATATCGAACTTGACGCTTCCCTCCAGTTCCTCTCGCTTAAAGAGAACTGGTCGCTCAATGTACTTCTGGGCAATCTTTGGTCCAGTGGCCGGCAGACGCACAATCTGCTTGATGTTGTCCGTGATGTGAGTGTCCAGACCGCGGGCCAGGTTCCAGGGCTTGACGATCCAGTGGTTGTCCAGGCCCTTAACTGCTCTTGCTTGGTAATAAGCTGCGAACTCCTTGAGTTCCGTGGATAAGTTATAGGTGGTGGGGAGCCAACTCGGGTATGTTTCCAAGGTGAGGCCATTGTGGTGCTCCTTCGCCGCCCGACGACCCACAATGCTTAGCAGATCCTTAATGGTGATCACGTACTCGAAAGGAAACTGATTGATGAACTTGCCAGGCGACTGGGCGGCGAACTCCTCAAAGTTCTTGAAGTGGTGCGTAAGCCACAGGACATCCGCCTCGTCTTCGTTGCTCACCAAGATAAACTCAGGCGAAGTGAGATGCTGTCGCACCACTTCATACTGGGCATAAACCTTCAGGGGATCGCAGCGTAACCTAGCGGGCAGAGGATCCGTGTTATTTTTGGGATAAGTCTCAGGGGTGTGACCACTGGTGAAGTAATCGGATTGGGGCTCAACCTGTAGAAAACTCTCGCCAGTGAGATCGGCGTCGCGCCAGGGGAGAAGAAGGGCAGCCCGCTGCGGCGCCTCCTTGGCCACGTATTCCACCACATCGCGGGTGACCTGATCTCCGGCCTCGCAATCCCGAATAGGAAAAAGTACACTGTACGTAGTCTGGGTGTTTAGGTAGAGCAGCGGTACAAGCCGAAAGTTCGGATCATCGGAGTGGTTTACCGCCGAGCCCACCTCGTCCATTACATACCAGATGGGCTGGCGGTCCTCATCCGACAGTCCCTCGCTGCCGATGGAGTAGGCTTGGCAGTATTTCCACAGGCGGCGCAGTATCTTTTCGATCCGATCCTCGAGCTCTAGATCCACGCCGGTGATGGCCGACATTCGGTCCGCCAGTTGCGGATGCTGCTCCAATTGCTGCCGAGCGCTGTTCAGCCGAAACGTCCAGGCATGATCCACCAAATAGATGGCCTGCGGATCACCCGCCTTAACGCCTTGCTCCCGGACCACACCCAGTGCGAACACCGGATTGGGACTGTCGTCGTCCTGGGCGGGATCTTGCTCCTCATCCTCATCGTAGTCGATCAACATCAACTGCAGTGCCTCTCCGGCATCGAAGATGTCCGTGGACAGTTTCCGGTAAAGAGCTGGCCAAAAGTGCACCGGAATCGCTGATGATTCCAGTTGCGTCCTGTGCAGCGCCGCAAATTCGTTGAACTTGTTAATGCCGTCCATGTGTAAAGCGCAAATGAAACTTTAATTTATTAATTAATTATTAAATAAAAATATTCTTAAAGCACGTCCCAGTTAGAGTGACCCTATGCGAAGGAGGAAGATCTTATTCCGTTTATATTGGGCTTCCAGCTGCGAAAGACTTATTTTAGGACGTTGTTCATGTTTTTATGTTTCGTTCTTTTCTAAAAATAGTTTGTCTTAAGCATTTCACTTGTTGCCAATTCTAGGTTTTACTATGATAACCGTTTTTCTTTTGTAACGGCTTTAATTAAAACTACCGATTTTCCTTAACTTATTTAAAACACATTTGCATATCCATTTTTTTAAACATAGCTTGTGCATTAAAATGTATTAATATAATATTATGTTCTATTTTGTTGTGATTACCTAGTATTTGATTTTATTATGGTAAGATTTTTAAAATAATTATCTATATCTAAATCCTTAAGATAAAATTAACAAAAGAAAACCCGTTGACCCATTAACTTTTCTCATGTACAATGATATTGTATTAATACACTTTTTTTACTGGAAGACAGGGCTTTCTTTGTATCCAATCATACGCTAATCTCCATATTATTATTAATAATATAACATTGAAGAGTCGTCTGCTGTAAACCCTTTTCCGCATCCCCAACAACGCCCCTGCCCTAACCCAGTCGTTAATCAACACTGTGAGCGAACAGCTGACCAGCTGATGGTGTGACCGCACCCGTCATGTTTTGGCTGTGCGTCTGTATTTGTTAATGCCTCTTCCTACCAGATTAGCAAAAACAATAAGTATTTCACCATTAGAAAAGATAACATGTAATAGCACCGACATCGGCACACGAACCCGATTCAGAACAAACCAAAGCACTTTCCGCGGAGCATTAGCAGAAGTTCAAAGTCATCACAACTCGGCAGTACTAAGGGGTACAAATTAGATTTTACTTTCGTGTCAATATTCATGAAACTCTTGACTTTCGACGGGTACACAAGTAGCGCGCAAATGGTGACGGAACTTTGTTATTAGGAGCCCCCGCACACTCTTCCTAAAAAATTCAAAATTGAGAGTCCGGACCGTGAGCATAATGAGCGAACCGCTGGCATTGGCGAGCGGCGGCGTGGTGGATCCACCGCCCACTTCCGCCTCGGTTTCGAATCTGCCGACACCCACAGTTGCGCAGGGATCGAGATCCAACCAGGGCATGGACCTAGAGGTAAGCAGTGGGTCCAGGTCCAGTTACCCATCGTAGTCGGCCCTGGCTGGTGAAATTACGAGAATATCCCTCACAAAGATTCCCATTTCCCTTGCCCATTTTGCACGAACAACTGCGCAATTGACTCGCAGCCGCTGGTTAAGTAATTTTCGGGAGAGAACACCTGACATGGATCACCCAACTAGCGGCTAGAGGTGCCCATCGAACTCACTACACACTCTATCACACTAGCACCTGCCCGAACTCACTTGTGACTTTCATCTCTCACCTGCAGGATCCCAGAAACAAAGGATTTTTTCTCTGGCAATGGTTTTGTAACTGGACATCCAGCTCACCGACCATGCTACGCGCCGTAGAGAAGAAGATACTTTCGTACGTGAAGCTGCCCTACCGCGGTTTCTTCGTGGACATTGGGCCTGCGGTAGGCGAGGCGGACAAGATCTGGACCATCAGCATGAACACTGAGTCCAAGGAGGTGCCTCTGGTGCTGCTTCACGGCTTGGGAGCGGGAATTGCCTTGTGGGTGATGAACCTGGATGCTTTTGCCAAGGGCCGACCCGTTTACGCAATGGACATCCTCGGATTCGGACGCAGTTCGCGACCGCTGTTCGCTAAGGATGCTTTGGTGTGCGAGAAGCAGTTCGTCAAGTCAGTAGAGGAGTGGCGACGGGAAATGAACATTAACGACATGATCCTGCTTGGTCACTCGATGGGCGGCTTCATTGCCTCCAGCTACGCCCTTACATACCCGGAGCGGGTCAAGCACTTAATTCTGGCCGATCCCTGGGGCTTTCCCGAAAAGCCCTCGGACTCGACCAACGGCAAACAAATACCGCTCTGGGTGCGGGCTATAGCTAGGGTCCTTACCCCGCTCAATCCGCTGTGGGCACTTCGCGCCGCCGGTCCCTTTGGACAGTGGGTGGTGCAGAAGACGCGGCCGGACATCATGCGCAAGTTCCAGGGCACCATTGAGGAGGACATCAACCTGCTGCCGCAATACATCCACCAGTGCAACGCGCAGAACCCGAGCGGCGAGTCTGCCTTCCACACAATGATGCAGTCCTTCGGCTGGGCCAAGCATCCTATGATCCATCGCATAAAGGACGTTCGTAGCGACATACCTATCACATTTATCTATGGCTCCCGCTCGTGGATCGACTCCTCATCGGGGGAAAAGATCAAGTCGCAGCGCGGCAGCAATATGGTGGACATTAAGATCGTGACGGGGGCTGGCCACCACGTTTACGCCGACAAGCCGGACGTCTTCAACCGTTACGTGAACGAGACCTGTGATATGTACAAGGTGGCCGGCGGAAAGCTGATCACGCCCCTGCAGCTGATCCGCGAGTCCACGGAGTCTGACGAGGAGCGCGAACCTAGCCTGAGTACAGCAAAGACGGTGGAGGTTCAGCCAGAGGTTCAGCCGATGCCCCAATCTGTCACCGCCGAAAACACATCCACGCCCACCACCGACGAACTGGCAGCCAATGTCAAACCGAAGTGAGCAGCAGCAACAGGGTTAAAGGAAAAACCAATCACAGCTCGCCTGCCAGCATGTATCTATTAGCTTAGTGTCTTTGCCTAGTATTAAATGGTCATCTTATTTACTAAGCCGCTATTTTTACTCTCTATCAATCAGTTCAACTTGGCTAACTGGAACTAAGCCATAGTCGTCCAGTTCTAATTTATATTTTTGGAGATTTCAAGTTTACTAATTAGCTTAAATAAATTTGTTACAAATGCAATCGAGTGTATTACATTATAGGGAAAAGCCTTAATGGTAAGTTAAAAGAAGGTTTTAAACTTTAAAATTCCATTCCAGACCTTCTTCCAGCCTAGTATGACAAGAAAACGCGTTAAAATGTAAAGTTAGTTTATCTAGGAAAAAATCTAGGTACTACATTTTTAGCTTATAGAAAAGTGTAGAGTAGAGTATAGAAAAGTACAAAAAATCGAACATATGGATTGTTCTCGCAAACAAGTACCTCTTTAGCGACAATCGTTTACTTGTGCTGAGTCAATCGAAGTGCAAAGGTCACTTCACGGGCACTGTCACCGCGCATGAAGCTTCATTGATAAGTTGGCCAGCCAATGGGGGATTCCGAGCTCCGCCGAAAAGATCTCTACGTATGCGTACCGACTCAAACAAACATGCGTCAGACTTGACATCGATCCGGAAGAACCCACACTTGCCAGTTGTTTTTTATTCTTTTGGTTTGGGTCTTAGGTTATCTCGAGGTAGCTGATAGGCCCGACAAAACAATGGAAATATATAGGTGAAAACGGGAGCGGTTCTACCTCTCTTGGGTGTGGAAATCTTTGACTTTATCCACAGATAATTCATAAAAAACAAAGAAATTAGAAAAAAATTTAAGTTTTTTGGTTTTATTTTGTTATGTTTTAAGGCCGGTTATGTATCTTTTCAAAAAATTTTATGATTTGGATAAAGCCGCTTGATTTTATAAGCCTTATCTAAGCCAATGTAAAAGTACTTTTTCAAATTAACGTCTTAAAAAGGGACTGATCCCCCAAAAAATTAATTTAAAATGTTTAAACATTGTAGAGCTGTGCTAATTAAATAACAACAGAAAAAGCCGTTGATCCCCCGAGATTTGTTATCAACTGACTGGTAAAAGCTTCGCTTTGTTTGCACAATCACTGTGTAGAAAAATACAATATAGAATTTAATTGAGTGGAAAAAGTTCCTCAGACAACCATGTACATTCTTTTTTAAATAGCCCCGCCACTGATTATGACAAATGCAATTTACACATATACATAATATAATGCTTATCAAAACGCATAGCAAGCAAAAAACATTCGGCTGATAAGTAAGCAAAAAGTTGGCATAAACAACTCGCAATCAAACAAAGAAACGATATAGCTTATACATATATATTCCATAGGTTCTTCGGAGAAAGTCCCAATAGGATCGATAATGTTTACAATATAAGTTTTAAGTATATATTTTTTGTTCGATTACTTGGCATCGGCGAAGCCCACACGATCGTTGCCCATGTCGAACTCGGTGTAGTATTTGCCAATGAAAACATCTCCCAGTATCCACAAAGGTCCATTTGGCGGGGGAATGTCCATGCCCATAAAACCGGACAGGCAGATGGTCTTGCCCATCTGGGCCACACGGAGAATGTAGTCCTTGCCCTCCAGCTCAAAGGTCTTGCCGCCCAACACAAACTTGATTACCGGGAGATTGGGGATCAGATCGCAGGAGACAATGTACTGGAAGGAAAGACCGGTTAGATTTATAACTTTAAAGCAACACCCTGAAATCACTTGATACCCACCTGTCCACCGATGATTGGAGTGCCACCAATCTTCTGGTTAATAGAGGTGGCCTCCTCCAAGGGAGCAGCAATCAGAGAGGTGCCCGTATCCGCAATCACCTGGCATCCGCCCTTGCATAGCTGCAGATCGCCAATGGAGGCCGCATCCATCTTTATCTGCCAGTAGGCCTTACGGGTAACGGGCAAATAGGTAAATTCACCAGTATAATGGTTGGAATCGGAGCCGCCGAATATGATCTCACCGCCTTCGGGCGAAGCGGGATCGCGGTTCAGGTAGAACGAGAACACCGGCGCGGAAATCAGGCCCTGTTCGTACATGGCGTAGAATGGAGGCTTCACCTTGTCCACGGAAATGGAGCTGTAGCCCAGGCCTAGGATACCATCAAACTTGGCGGCCACGAACACGAGACCTGGCTCACTCAAAGCCTCGGCAAAGGTCTGATCCTTGATGTCGAGCCCAGCAATTGAAACCGTATCCGTGGAAAGATAGCCCGACAAGCTTCCCGAACCGTAGTGGATGGCGAACTCAGTGCCGTTCTTTGTGTAGGTTTTCGATTTAGTGGCATCGTACTTGTTGTGCATCAAGCAGGCGATGTTAGTCAGGTGGCACTTCTTGGACGGCACCCACAAGTTCGAGGAGCCGGTGTCAAAAACCACACGGAAATTTTGAGGGGGTGAGCCGATAGCAATGGGACCATAGTACTGGGCGTCCATGTAGTTGGACAGCGGTTCCGGAACATCGCCTCCGCCGTATTTAATGCGCAGTTGCTGCAATTCCGTACCTACGTCGGCGAAGTGTCGGCGGGCCGACTGGAATTTCTTGAGCGGCACACGCAGAATTCCGGATCTTGTTTGCGAATTCGACTGGACCACGGCCAGGAAGGCGACTAACAGCAGGGCAACCTTCTGCATTTTTGATTTCAAGTAATGTGCACCACTAGACTGACAGCTAAAAATGCAATGATCCACTCGCTGCAGTTAATTAAATATTGCGGGACTGGACAGTAGAAATGATTCAGCAGAGATAAGGTACTAAATTTTACCTCACGCGAGGTGCTAATTAAAACAATACCGGAAAAAAGTCGTTATTTAAGACGTTTAAAAGAACTATTTTAATTTTATTTGTAAATGGCGCAAAAAAAACTCTTTTCAATTAAATTAATTTCTTGTTGTTAACTACATATATATTTTTCAATCTGGTGGAATTGCTGTCAGGTCACTCCAACTCTCGTTTTTTTATTTATTTAAACAAAATGGACGAAGTTGGCCAAACTTTGTTTTCTTGATAAAAATTTATTAAATAACCTTTTTACAAATTTTTTGCAGATACTTTAAACTAAAATAATCTAGACAAAAATTAAGAATATTTTAAATATATGATTTGGATAATTAATAAATGGCAAATTTATTTACCGATTTTAGAAATATACATTATTTTTTTTTTTAAACGCAAAGATAAGTTTGTATGTTGTCAAAACTGCAATGACAGGCGTGTAAGCCGTGGTCCTGTGTTTGCGATTCAAAGCGTCTGTGCGATAAGGGTATTAGAAAATATCGAAATCAGGAATGCCCTTAATAAATGTAAATTGAATATAGCTCAAGATTCGATAAGTTATTGCTTTGGATTACTACATCCCTGGTTTGCAGCCCGGCAAAATTGCGTCTTTGGTGAAATTAAAATGATAGCAATTCCTTAGGCACGATTCTGTTGAAACGTCATCATGTCATCCATTGACAAGTTGTCTATTCAGGGAGTCCGGAGTTTCGGCTCCAACTCAGAGGATCTTCAGGTAAGAGCTTGGAAGGCCATTTAAGACCATTATAGTCTGAACTCTTGGCAACCCGTAGAGCATTACGTTTTCATCGCCGGTTACCCTGATTTTGGGCGAGAATGGGTGCGGAAAGACGACTGTTATAGAGTGTCTAAAGTATGCCCTTACTGGCGAATGTCCACCGGGAAGTGATCGCGGTAAAAGTTTCGTCCATGACCCCAAGATTTTCGGACTGAACGAGTCGCTGGCACAAATTAAGATGCAGGTCCGCGACAAGAGAGGCGCCCAAGTATCCATCTGCCGCACTATGAAGGTGTCCAATAAGCGCAACAAGGTGTCCTTCGAGACGATGGACTCCACCATTAACTTCCTTAGCGGCGCTGGTCAGTCGAAGCGCGAGAGTCATGACTCTCTGAGCGGACGCACCGTGGACATCGATGTGGCCATCTCGGACTTCATGGGCGTCTCGAAGGCGATTATCAATAATGTCTTGTTTTGCCATCAAGAGGACTCCAGTTGGCCGTTGGACGAGGCAAAGAAGCTGAAGGAGAAGTTTGACGCTATATTCGGCATCACCGAGTACAATAAGGCTTTAGATAAAATCATAAAGCTGCGCAAAGAGGCCGTGGAAGAGCTGAAGATAATGGGTAAGTTATATACACCTGAAGGCAACAAACTTTGGTTAAATATACACTCTTAACAGATGCCAACATGAAGCATGTGGCCTATCTCAAGGAGGAAATGGAGGTTAAGACCATGAGCCTTCAGAGGGCCCAACAAAAATGCGACGTTATAGAGGCGCAGTGCAGTGAATGCGAGGTGCAGATGAAGCCTATTGAGGCCAGGTTGGAGGAAATCCGAAATGTAGAGTTCGAAATTGGAAAATACCAAGCGCAGAAGGTCGAAATGGACACCAAGTAAGTTTAATCAGCTCTTAACCGGCTTTAAAACTTACTTTCAACTACTTGATAGGCACAAAAACTGCAAGGAGCAGATCACCACCATATCCCGAAAGATCAAAAGCCCCTTTGAGGGTTCTCTTGTTGAGTTGGAACTGGAGATCAGCAACTTCGATCAACGCATGTCAGAGATGAGACAACAGCGAACAGAGGCGGAGCAGAATGTTTCCCAGCTTAAGAAATCCAGTGCAACTGAGCAGGATAAATTGGGCAAACTGGACAAAAAGCACTGCCTGGCCAAGGAGCGGTATCAGAGCGAGCAGACTTGCAGGACACAGCTACTAAAACGGATCAAGGACTTCTGCCGAGAACTACAGATGCCCATCGATGGTAATCTCCTTGAGGAGCCCGAAAAGCTGGTGGAAGTGCTGCAGGACATCGAGGCGATGATTTTGAGTAAGCACTGCGAAATCGCGGAGATCGTTGAGCAGAACGACAACGCCGATCGAAGCAGACAGGCTAAGATCGACGAGTTGCGCATAGAGCTAACCAAATCGGAGCAAAGTGTGATGGCCCAGGAGAAGCAAAGAGAAACCAGCAAGCGAGAGGGCGAAAGCCTTCGGGTGGATATCAAAAAAATCGAAGGCTCCATGCAGGAACTAAAGAAGCTGGAGAAAGAAATTGCTGATGTAAATGAACTGTATGAAAGCGCTACAAAAGATTTGGACCAGCAAGCCATGAAAGAGGTCATCTCCAGGAAGAAATCCAGTATTGCCGAGAAGCAGTTGTTGTTTAAGAAGTTGGACGAGCAGTTAACGTTCTTGGGGTCCATGGCCAAACTAGTTGCCGAAATCAGTCTTAAGCAGAAGGAACTAGAAAAAAGGAACCAGGAAGTCCATCGCGTGCGCAACCGTCACGCGGATAACTTTGGCAAATTCTTCAAGGAACCCATAAACAGCAATTATCGCCGATCGGTGCAGGGGGCCTACGAAAAACTGCGTCACGAGATCAATGATCTCAACGAAAAGGCCAACACGCAGAAGCTGAGGGAGCAGTCGTTCGAGATAAAGCGTAAAAATCTCATTGGCGAGATTTCCCGCATGGAAAAGGATCTCAAGGAGAGCGAGGAGTTGATTTTTCAAAAATGTCGCTCAACTCCGTACGAGGATCTGCTGGAACGCAGCAAGACGGTCATTTCCAAACTACAGTTCGAACATGGCGCCCTGAAATCCTCTGAGGCCCTTTACAAGAAGTGAGTTTTCGAGATGGCGCTCGTTGAATTATTGTATTTAACTACTTTCTCTTCCCAGGTACATACAAAAAATCGGTGAAGAGCCCTGTTGCCCTTTATGCCATCACAATATGTCTGGGGATGAGGCCTGTGACTTGACCATCGAGCTAACCGATGAGATCCAAAAGTTGCCCGATAATATCATCAGAGCTGAGAAAGCTCTAAAGGCAGAGCAAATGAAATACGAGAACTTACTGCACATAAAGCCCAATATTCTTAAGGTTAAAGATCTAAAGGAATCCTTGCCCCAAAAGAAAGAGGAACTGAAAAAAGTAGAGGAGTTGCTCGGAGATAGCGTCAGCGAATATGAGACTTTGCTGGCTCTGATTGGGGAGCCCACACACAATATGGAGTTGGCGAATTCTATGATGGGTGATATGACACTAATAGACGAGGCTTTAAAAGACTCCTGTCGGCTTACAAAAGATCTGGATCAGCAGAAGGTGAGGTTACTTACATTGGTTAAGATATAAAAAAAAAATACTTTTTATTTAGGCCAAATTACCAGCTTCTTATGACTCGAGTGTATCGATGGATGCTCTGCAGGCGGAGAAGAGCGAGATTTCCAAAAGTTTAGAGGACGACCGCAAGGAGTTAGACTCCACTCAAAATACATTCCAACAGCAGATGGATGCTCTAAATCGTTTGCGGGAAAAGAAAAATAGGTAAAGCTATGCGCTTTGTAAATCCACCAAAAATATATTGTTTTCTCTCTTTTGTAGCTTAAAAGACCGGCAAATACATCTCCAGGAGGGTTTGCAAAGTCTTCCACAACTTAAGGAGCGTCTGGATACGCTCAATAATTTTCTTAACACAGTAGCTGTTGAAATAAGTGAACTGAAGGCCAAAATACACCCTCTAAAACTAAATCTAAAATCTGCTATAGGTGAAAAAGAACGCTTAAAGGAGACCGAAAAGGTCAAACTAGCTCAGTTGAATTCTAAATATAATTCATACAAAAGCACAGATCAGGACATACAAAGGTAGCTAGAATAAACACTCTCAATTTGCTTAACCCTATTTATATTTACTTCTTAGATTGAATAAAGAAGCCCAGGAATATGCCAAACTGGATCTTCAAAATGAGATTACAAAATTGGATGAAAATATAAAGGGAACCAGAAACACGCTGAGAAAATTGGCAAGAATGGAAATACAATATAAAATACTATATTCAAATTCAAATTTGTTTTTATATTTTATTTTCAGGAAATCGAGGTCTCTTTAAAAACTGATGAACTGGAAACTCTAAAAACAGAATGCCTTAACCAGCTGACCGTTGAACGAGATATGAAGGACAACCGTGAGCTGAAACAGCTCCAGGAAAAGGAATCCAAACTGAGCGAAAACTGCAAGACGCTAGATAAGCAACTAGGTAATCTGGACTTCCACAGCGTTCACAGGGAGAAAGTGGAACTGACAAAAAAACGGGATAAAGCTACAGTGAGAAAAGGTGAGCTGCTGGGACAGCTGGGCGAAATAAACAGCCAGGTTGACAAGTTGAAGCGGGAAATCAATGAGCCCAGATTCAAGGAGTCCCTTAAAAATTTCCGCAAGGCCAATTACGAGCTGATGGTGACCCGTCTTAGTATCGAGGATTTAGGCCAACATCGTTTGGCATTGGAGTGGGCCCTGATCCAGTTCCACGCGGAGAAAATGGAGAAGATTAATCGGCTGATACGCGAGTACTGGCGCATGATTTATCGCGGTAATGACATAGACTATATCCAGGTGAAGACTGACGAGGTCAGCACGGAAGCTTCGGCAGACCGCCGAAAGACGTACAACTACCGAGTGGTCCAGTCCAAAAACAACACGGAGATCGAGATGCGGGGGCGCTGCAGTGCTGGTCAGCGCGTTCTAGCCTCCCTCATCATCCGCTTGGCGCTGGCTGAGACTTTTAGCAGTAATTGTGGCGTCCTAGCTTTGGATGAGCCCACCACGAATTTGGATCGCATCAATATAACCTCACTGTGCGATGCCCTAAACTGTATCGTAGAGGAACGCCAGAGCCAGTCTAACTTTATGCTCATCATAATTACCCATGACGAGAATTTCATCTCGTCGCTGGGGAAGATAAGCACCTACCATCGGGTCTTCCGCAACGATGAGTGCAAATCGGTTATTCGAAAAGTGCAGGTTGGCTAAAAAGTGTGCCTATCAAAGAGTGCATTTACACCAGTAAAAATAATTACTTTTATTATCGCTGTGTGTTTACTGAAGAATAAAGAAGACACTGTACTGGCACAGCAAGCATGTTGCACTTTAAAACTGGTTTTCTTTATCTAATATGTTGACATTCAAATGAAACAAAATATTTATTAAGAGAATCAATAATTTACTGTTTAAAACAAGTGAATTCATTAATTGGGTTTAAGCAAACCCAAAACACAACAAAAAAAAACAAGAGAGAACGCTATAGTCGGGTGCCCCGACTATCAGATACCCGTTACTCAGGTAAAGGGAGTGCGAGGGAGATGGAGATAGAAACTTTGATCACGCATAACTTTTTAACGAATGGTCCGATTTGAAAAATTTCTTCTATATTTCGATAGGTATTGATAAACACAATAAAACTGCATTTTTACTTTTCCGAAATATCTAAATTTTTAAAATCGTATATAAGCGATTGTGGGCGTTAAAGGGGGCGTGGCACCTTTTTGAAACAAACTTGCGCTGCGTAGGAACTCCTAGAATCTGCATGCAAAATGCCAATCTTCTAGCTTTTATAGTTTCCGAGATCTCAGCGTTCATACGGACGGACAGACAGACGGACAGACGGACATGGCTAGATCGACTCGGCTAGTGATCCTAAACAAGAATATATATACTTTATAGGGTCGGAAACGCTTCCTTCTAGCTGTTACATACTTTTGCACGAATACAATATACCCTTTTACTCTACGAGTAACGGGTATAACTAGCAACAACACTTACCAAATCGTAACAGTAATCACAAGTGCGCAAAGCAAACAAATGCCAACGGTTTAAATTAAAACGGTTTAATTAAAACTTATAATTAAAAGATGTGATCCACCTCTGGATCTTAGCAGCATTAATCCATTCCTAATTAAAAAACAAATTGACTTCACCTGTGGCGGTGATGTTAAAGACTGCAACAAACTTAAAAACGGAACACTACTTATTAAAACAAAAAATCAACAACACACTAAACTCAACCAAAGGTGTAATTTATTCTAATGACCTAAGAGGAATTGATGAAAACACTATCCAACAAGAAAGGAAAGCTAACTTCGGGCGGAGCCGAAGTTGATATACCCTTGCAGAATATTCTGTAAATTATATTCTCCAAAATAATTCATATGATGCATTCTTAATACTCATAAAAAATCCCAACTTCCTAACTTTAAAAACACCAAAGTTATGGCATTTCCAATCGTTCAGTTATATGGCAGCTATAAAATTTAATCGACCGATCCTTATGAAATTGGTTGGATGGATTGATTGGCCAAATATAAAACCCCTACAAATTTCCAACTTCCTAACTTAAAAAACCCAAAAGTTATGGCCATTCATAAAACGGCCAATTTCTAACATATCCCTAGATTTCGCAAAAGCCTTTGATAAAATAAGTATTCATTCCCTCATCCATCAACTCCAAAAATGGAAAGTAGGCCCCCGAATACTAAGTAAAATCATAGTCAGGACGAGGACGGAAGCTAACTTCGGCAAGCCGAAGTTTTAATACCCTTGCAGACTTTGCCGAAATTGCTAAAAAGGAAAAAGTAGCGAAAGGAATAAGGTATATTGTTCCTATGGGAGCTATAGGATATAGACGTCCGATCGTCACGCGCTTTTACCCTAATCAAGGTATGCATAAAAAAATACGATTTGAAAAGATTCATGTCAATAGCTTTATCATCATATATCCGATTGTTCCTATGAGAGCTATTGGATATAGACGTCCGATCGGGGCGATTTTAAAACTTGATCTGCGTACACATGTTTTAGGACGAGTGTGAAAGTTTCAGATCGCTAGCTTTTAAACTGAGCTCGCAAACGGTATTGAAACAGACGGACATGGCTATATTGACTCCCCTATTGATCCTGATCAAGAATATATATACTTTATAAGGTCGTAAACGTCTCCTTCACTGCGTTACAAACTTCTGACCAAAATTATAATACCCTCTGCAAGGGTATAAAAACGGAGTCTCACTTTCCATTGCTTACCCACTTGACAACGGCATCCCACAAGGCTCCCCATCTATGTTATCCTATTCCTAATTGCCTACAATTCCCTTTCTAACATTATTTTCATCCCTAGACAATTTTTAACACAATAAAAAAAAAACCCTCTACAAATCTGACATCTGTCTTCCAAAGAATTAAAGAATGGTGTACGACCTGCATAACAATACCTCCTCCTGGTATAACAATATCGTTAAAAATACTCCTTCCAGCTTTTCGTATTCGCACTCCAATCATAACAGGAAATCTCAAATAATTATAAACCGAATTCGACTAAGACACACCTCACTTACAAACTCACATTACATGGACAGATCCCTTCCAAACATTTGCCCATATTGCAACAGCCAACATTTAAACATCGACCACATTTTAAGCTCCTGCCTCAGCTGCTAATGCTCTTAATATAGTTAGTTTATAGTTGTAAAACTTAAGCTAGCATTATATAAATAAATATAGATTTAACAATTTTTTTCTGCTAATCCTCTACCCTAAATGGTATTTTAAAGCTAAAAATTATTTTATTGCCCTAAATTAAAGGAAAATTGGTTTGACTTTAAAGCCTAATACTCAGATCGACGAAAACCGTACGCCAGTCATGAGAGAGACCGAGAGGCAAACAGCTGGCGGCAGACTTGTCTTGCCAACGTAGTTGATAATATCTTTTAAAGGCTGTTTCCCGCAAATACGATATTTGAATTTCAACTGCTTGTCAACAAACCCAGATTGACAGTAAGACCGTAGCACGCTCAGTTGTGATGAACTCTCAAAATATATTGGTCACACTGGCAGGATTAAAGTTTTTACGCTAGCGGACTCGTTTGTCGATCTGAGTACTAGGCTTATAGCTATGTCAAAAATTAGTAGCAAAAGCGTTCAGCGACTGCATTCACTTAAATTAAGGGGTTATATACCTATTTTTGTCGAAAAAAAGAAAAATTTGGTTTTTTTTTATGTATGTAGCAATTTTCTTTATTACATGAATGATTATATTTTCTGAAAGTTCATTTTGTTGACAATGTTTGTGCCAAAATTTGTGAACATTTTAAGGGATGGCTGTTTCCCTTATTTATTTAAATATTGATTTGGTATTAAGCCTAGTATCCAGATCGACAAAACAAGAAAAAACTTTCCTTTTTTTCCGTTTTTTTCCCCCCGGCCCCCTATTAAAAAAAATACCAGAAAAGTAGCTGCAATGCGTAAAAACTTTAATCTTTCCAGTGTGACCAAAATTTGAGAGTTCATCGGATTTAAGCGTGCTACGGTCGTACTGACAATCAGCTGGGTTTGTTGACAAGCAGTTAAAATTCAAATATCGTATTTGCGGAAAAGAGCCTTTAAAAGATATTATCAAATACCTTGGCAAGACAAGTCTGCCGCTGTACAAAGAAGTTAAAAAACAATACAATTTAAATTTAACAGTTGTTTTTTTTAATTTTATAATAATTATTTGCTAATTTAAAGTTCATAGCTGCACTTTTATTGTGTTTTTCGTACATTCTGGACCTAAAAAACATTTTGCTCTGACAAGAGGCACCCCAGATAGTATTAATGTTATTTTGTCCTCACATGTAAACACCTGCAATCGACTTTTGTGAGTTTTTTGAGTTTTTCCCTCCATTTCTTATAATGTTCAGTGAGAAGCGCACGCCAAAAGATTAAATTTTTAATCTTTCCGCTAGGGTTCACCCAAAGTTCATTTCCGCAGACTGGCAACGCTATGAATTTTCTGGTATTTTTTCGTCGATCAGACCGAAGTGAAAAAAGGCCCAAAAGAACGCCAGCTGTTGCTCGCTCTCTTGATGGCTACGGTTACGTCGAGTGATACTAGGCTTTATCAGAGGTGTTCGACAGTTAAGCCTAGTATCCTGATCGACAAACGATTACGCTAGCGTAAAAACTTTAATCTTTCCAGTGTGACCAAAAGTTTGAGAGTTCATCAGATTTGTTGACAAGCAGTTAAAGCCTAGTATCCTGATCGACGAAAACCGTGCGCCAGTCATGAGAGAGAGCCTTTTTTCACGTCGGTCTCCTGATCGACGAAAAAAATACCAGAAAATTCCATAGCGTTGCCAGTCTGCGGAAATGAGTTTTGGGTGAACCCTAGCGAAAAGATTAAAAAATTTAATCTTTTGGCGTGCGCTTCTCACTGAACATTATAAGAAATGGAGGGGAAAACTCAAAAAACTCACAAAAGTCGATTGCAGGTGTTTACATGTGAGGACAAAATAACATTAATACTATCTGGGGTGCCTCTTGTCAGAGAAAAATGTTTTTATGTACGAAAAAACACAATAAAAGTGCAGCTATGAACTTTAAATTAGCAAATAATTATCATAAAATTAAAAAAAACAACTGTTAAAAACAAACAATAAAAAAATGTTCGTTTGAATGCTTGCCTCATTTGTTCTGCATGTGTGTGAAGAGGCTATTACACTATGTTAACAGCTGATAGAGCTGCCACCCCACCACACAGTTATGTTGACACTTGGTCCCTATTGGCGCGAATGTTTTAAGATTGTGAGTTACCCTAGATTACTGGAACGCCAGTCAATGATTTCATTCATCTGCAGATTCTTTTGCACCACACGATGAAACGAGCCAAAACAACAAAGGCAGGCCCCCCCAAAAAAAACTCCAAAAAGCAAACAGACAGCCCCAAAGAAGACCCCAAAAGTGGCCATGAAAGCACAGATGAGGAGGCTTCTCCTTCAAAGGCTTCTTTTGTTTCCAAGCCGGACTACCAAAACTTCGAACAGTTCCTAACCCACCTGGAAGTGCAGCGAGCCGATACGGCAGCCAGCATCCAGGAGTTTTCCTTCCGAAAGAAACGAGTGCGGGTTTTATCGAAAATCGAGGATGTGGAGGAATCCAGCCAAGGAGGGGTCGTGTACTGGATGTCCCGGGATGGTCGCGTTCAAGATAATTGGGCCCTGCTCTTCGCTCAGCGTTTAGCTCTCAAGCTAGAACTGCCTTTGGCAGTGGTTTTTTGTCTGGTTCCCAAGTTTTTAAATGCCACTATAAGGCACTACAAGTTCATGATGGGCGGCTTGCAAGAGGTGGAACAGCAGTGCCGCACTCTGGACATTCCATTCCACCTGCTAATGGGTCCGGCCGTGGAGCGCCTGCCGGAATTTGTGAAATCCAATGATATAGGAGCCGTGGTCTGCGACTTCGCCCCGCTGCGTCTGCCGCGCCAATGGGTCGATGATGTGGGCAAGGCGCTCCCCAAGAATGTGCCACTTGTACAGGTCGATGCCCATAATGTGGTCCCACTGTGGGTGACTTCTGACAAACAGGAGTACGCTGCTCGCACTATTCGCAACAAGATCAACTCCAAGCTAGGGGAGTTTCTCAGCGAATTTCCACCGGTGGTCCGGCATCCCCATAGATCGCGATGCAAAGAGGCGAAAATTGTGGACTGGCCAGCTGCCTTTGCCAAGCTGGAGTGCGACATGGATGTAGACGAGGTACAGTGGGCACAACCGGGTTACAAGGCTGCCTGCCAGCAACTCTACGATTTTTGCAGCCGTCGCCTGCGTAATTTTAATGATAAACGCAATGATCCCACGGCAGATGTCTTGTCCGGTCTCTCACCTTGGCTGCACTTTGGGCAGATTTCAGCCCAGCGTTGCGCTCTAGAGGTGCAGCGCTTCCGTGGCCAACACAAGGCTTCGGCGGATGCCTTTTGCGAGGAGGCCATTGTGCGTCGTGAGCTGGCGGACAACTTTTGTTACTACAATGAGCACTACGACAACCTAAAAGGTCTGAGCTCGTGGGCGTATCAAACCCTGGATGCCCACCGCAAGGATATAAGAGATCCCTGTTACGGCCTAGAGGAATTAGAGAAGGTAACTGCAGCAACATTTTCAATAAGCTTTACATTAATAAGTTAGTATTATTTTTTAGTCCCTAACGTACGACGACCTGTGGAACTCGGCACAATTGCAGCTGGTGCGCGAGGGTAAGATGCACGGCTTCTTACGCATGTATTGGGCCAAAAAGATTCTCGAATGGACCGCCACCCCGGAACAGGCGTTGGAGTATGCGATCCTACTGAACGACAAGTATAGCCTCGATGGACGCGATCCCAACGGCTATGTGGGCTGTATGTGGTCCATCGGCGGTGTCCATGATATGGGATGGAAGGAACGCGCCATTTTCGGAAAGGTTCGGTACATGAACTATCAGGGCTGCCGGCGCAAATTTGATGTCAACGCCTTTGTCATGCGTTACGGGGGCAAGGTGCATAAAAAGAAATAAACCTTGTATGTCTTTGCCTTAGTTTTAAATGCAATCCAAAAGCATTTTTGTATTTAACCATACTTCCAAGGAGAGGCTTTATAAAATATGACAAAATTATAGCTAGCGGGCACAACTTAGTCCTTTTCGGCGATCTTGGTGAGGTGCTCTTCGATCTCTCGCTCGTCCAGGATGCGGAAACTGGGATCGGTCTTGCTGACCACACCGATCTCGATGCCGTTGGGCTTAAAGTCGATGGCTAGCACGCTGGACAGGCAGGTGATGGCCAGCTGGATAGCCTTCTCCTCGGACAAGTTGTTCTTGTACTTCTTCTCCAGGTAGCTGTTGGCCTCCAGCGTCTTGGCGCCTACAGAGCAAGCCTTAAATCCACTGTAGTATCCAGCCGGATCCGTCTTGTAAACACTAGGGCCGATCTCATTATCGAAGGCGATCAGCACCATGCTGCAGCCGAGCGGACGCATCTCGGCGTTCTGAGTGTAAACCTGGTTGATATCGGCAATTCGCCGGCACAGCACATCCACGGGCATATCATAGCCGTACTTGTATCGAAAGTTGGCAGCCTCGTACCTAGCCTTCTGCACCTGCGAGCGGGAATCAGCTGAGGGAGAAAAAAGAATGGAAGAGAGGATTTTATTCAGCCATCTAATAATTAAAATGAAAGGAAGCAAACTTCGGCAAGCCAAAGTTTATATACCCTTGCAGTTATTACAAAACGATGCTCGTGAAGCTGATAAAGAATATATATACTTTATAGGGTCGGAAATGTTTCCTTCACTGGGTTGCAAACGTTTGACTGAAATTATAATACCCTCAGCAAGGGTATAAAAACACAAAAATGTCGGTCGTCCAAATTATAACGACATTTAGGCAGAGCCTTTTCGTTGACAATAAACTTGAACTCTCATCCTTTTCTGTGGTACACACATTTCAATAAGGTTAAATATAAATATAATCGGATCATAAACATTAAAGTTCAGGAAGCTTTTTGGGCACCTGTACATTTGTCCTGATCGAAAGTCCATAACCTGCCTGAGAAAAAGTTTTACATCGAATTATCTGAGAAGCTCCGATTATAAATAGTCTAACTCGGTACCGTATTAAGCGGGATCTTTAGTTCGACTTATAGTCCAACTCAGTAGCCAATTTGACTCATGCAGGGGTCTACAAAAATTCGAGTTGTGCATACCCATGCGTCCTGTCATGGCGCATCCAATATCCTTGGTAATGCGGAAAAGGTGGGTCACCGTTTCGGGCACGATGTTTTTCTCGGTGACCTTCTTTTGGGTAGCCACCACGGCACAGTCGCCGCTCTTCAGCGCCACCGTGGTGATGTTTTCCTGGGCGATGGCCTTGAAGGCGTATTCTGCCGGGGTTTGGAGAATATCAGATTGGATGCGGAGGAGTTGTGAGAACCAGAGTACTCACCCACTTGGTAGAGGCGTCCCTCGGGCGAGAAGATCGTGATGTGTCTATCAAAGCCGGCTGAACTTCCGCGAGACATGATGCGTTTTTCTTTTTACGGCAACTGAAGTTAATTTAAGCCGGTTAAAATCGATTCAACAGCTCTGCTGGAAACAACACACCGTTCGAAAAACAAGAATTTGCTTATTTGTATAAGGCAGAATAAGTCGCTTCAAATCGAAACTACTGTGCAAAATTCAGATTGTCATTCTCAACCCGACAATGGGCCTAAAAAATACCAAAAAGCAACGCGCGCTGGGATTTATCGGCTATCGATTATATTGAGTACGGAAAAAAGCTGATCTTATAAATAGCCAAATTATATTGGGTATTCCTTAAAAGCCTCTTTACACAGCTACCTAAAATGATGCAAGAAGAACAACTAGAATAACTTGACCATCATTCAATTATTACAACTTGATAAAATTAATAAGAAATTGCGTTTTTATTAGCAATGCATTAAATATTATGATATAAAATTGGAAAGCATAATTTTAATCTTTCATAACCTATTAATAGTTTTAAGCGAGATATAGTTTTAAGTTAGTTAAGAAGCAAGGTACCTATCCTAGCCCCTAGGTTTTAAACGGCTCATTTATATTTTAACCGTCACAAGAGTAGAAGGATATATTATAATCGTTGAAAAGTACGTAACAGGTAGAAGGACGCTATGAAGTGTATATATTCTTGAATCGCTGTTTAGATCCCGGAAACTATACAACCCTGCAGTACCGTTCATCACCATTTAATCGCTTTTTCATCACCAAAAATTCATCACTGATGAATCTTCATACAAATTAGTGATGAATTTAACATTGGCATGTCCTAGGAGTTAATCAGTGAAAAATTCATCACTCTTTAATCAGTAATTCATCACTCTTTTTTCAGTTTTTCATCACTCTTTAATCAGTAATTCATCACTCCACTCCATTTTGTCAGCTAATTTTATGGGGGAGAGAGACAGAGTAAGAGAGGGATATGGAAATTTTACTGCGTTTCCTACGATCGGGGACTGAGAGTTTCGACTCTGCCTGCGTCGCACTCGGCTCTGCCGACTTTGCCTTTGGCTCTGCCGGCGTCGCAGTCCGCTGCTGATTAAACGGTGATGAATTTTTGTAGTGATGAATTTCGGAACTGCAGGGAAGCTAGAGACTTATAACATGCAGATTCTATCTATGTATGTATACTTATGTATATTCGGGCTATCGACACAAATTTTAGAGTAATTAAGTGTATTTCAAGTTCATAAATGGTTTTCTATTTTTTTATACCCTTGCAGAGGGTATTATAATTTTGGTCAAAAGTGTGCAACGCAGTGAAGGAGACATCTCCGACCCTATAAAGTATATATATTCTTGATCAGGATCACCTCCTGAGTTGATATAGCCATGTCCGCTGTCCGTCTGTCCGCGTGTTTCTACGCAAACTAGTCTCTCAGTTTTAAAGCTATCGAGTTGAAACTTTGCACACACCCTTCTTTCCTTTGCACGCAGTATATATTTTGGAACGGCCGGGATCGGCCGACTATATCCTATAGCTGCCATATAACTGATTGATCGGAAATGCCATAACTTTGGTGTTTGTAAAGTTAGGAAGTTGAAATTTTCTATGGGTTATATATTTGGCCATACAATCCGACCTACCAAATTTCATAAGGATCGGCCGACTATATCCTATAGCTGCCATATAACTGATTGATCGGAAATGCCATAACTTTGGTGTTTGTAAAGTTAGGAAGCTGGGATTTACTATGGGTTTTATATTTGGCCAATCAATCCGACCTACCAAATTTCATAAGGATCGGCCGACTATATCCTATAGCTGCCATATAACTGAACGATCGGAAATGCCATAACTTGGTGTTTGTAAAGTTAGGAAGCTGGGATTTCCTATGGGTTTTATATTTGGCCAATCAATCCGATCTACCATATTTCATAAGGATCGGCCGACTATATCCTATAGCTGTCATATAACTGAACGATTGGAAATGCCATAACTTTGGTGTTTTTAAAGTTAGGAAGTTGGGATTTTTTATGAGTATTAAGAATGCATCATATCAATAATTTTGGAGAATATAATTTACAGAGTATTCTGCAAGGGTATATAAACTTCGGCTCCGCCCGAAGTTAGCTTTCCTTTCTTGTTTATCATTAAAACATAATAAATTCAGTGTGTGGCAAGTATAGCCTAAAGTTAATTAGTTTTGGAAAAAGAAATCTTTTAGTGCTATAAGATATAGTTTACATAAAAAGGGAACAAACATTCGGAGGTAATAAAGTTAACTTAAAATGTAATCTTTGTTAGGGAAAAATAATGAATAAGCCTAGCTAAAGAAACTAGTGCAGATTTTTTTTATTATTAAATATTAAATATATACAATTAATATCAAGGAACAGCGGGCTAACTAAGGGGACAGGATATTGACTTAATTATTTTGGAATTTGCAAGAGAGATCTTTCGTAATTGCTGAATTATGATGAAAGATCCAATAATAAGTCGAAGATTTTGTAAGTGCAGTTTGCCTAAATAAACAGCATTGATGATATTAAGTTATTTTTGTTACCTTTCTGTAGTTTTTCCTGATTTTTAAGTTACATTTGCAGCTTTTTTCCTACAGATAAACGCATATGTAAACAAAGAAAACTCGCATATGTGTAATTCGCTTGTACTTAGTCTGCGTTTTGCCAAACCTAGTTTTTCTTCCACCGGCTTAGCATATTGCTTTCTCGATTATTCTGCCCAGTTACGAACAGCAATTTTTTTTTGAGTTATTAAAAACCAATGAATGTCAGTACAGAAATTGTGGGCACATAGCTCTCTAAAATGCGTTAATAGTAAATTTAAACTTGAGCTGAGGAAAGTCTGTAAAAACTTTCGAAACACCCAAAACTCCACCACTAAACTTGTTCTGACCTATCGACAATCGATAACAACGCGGTGCCGTGAGTAAATGGCCGCCCACCTCTAACTGGATATAACGATTGGGACGAATTGGAGGTAAATATTTATCAATAACAGCGGGTGCGCTGCAATTGCGAATTGTTTTGAAGCCAAGTGCGAGTCGCCGGTAGCGAAAATGCACGAGGATGATCTAAAGAGTCAGTTGACAATTGCGCGGAACGAGATCAACAATTTGAGGTGCGTTTAAGACACTTAAATGGTGTCCTTTTGTGACTGGTAAAGTTCAAGTTCACACCGATTTTGCCTTGACCATGATGCAGGCAGCAAGTGCGCAACCTGCAGCATGTGCAGCGCAAGGACATCGAAACGATAAACCGTCTGCTGCAGGACTTCCGTTGCGAGGGCTGTGCTAGCAACAACAAGAGCGCCAAGGACAAGGTCGCCGGCGAGAAGCAGGAGCAGCCGCAGGAGCCGGGACAAGGTCAGGTGCGTTTGACCCTCCCACACAACAACAGAAAGACACACAACAACTTCCAAACCCATCCTCCACCGCAGAGCAATCAAACCAATGGAGAAAACAGCTCCGGAGAGGACTACGCCCACTTCCGTCCAATCGGAGTGATCCGGACGGCCTTCCCGGAGAAACGAGCCGTACCCAGGCAATCGATTGTGGGCAGTCGCCTTCGCGGTATCATCCAGCTTAACGACGGCGTCTTCACCAATCCGGAGCACTCGCTGGAGGGCCTGGGCGACTTTTCCCATCTGTGGCTCATTTATCACTTCCATCGCAATAATGCCCATCCCAAGGCCAAAGTGGCGCCTCCGCGTCTCGGTGGCGAACGGGTAGGGGTGTTCTCAACACGGTCTCCACACCGCCCGTGTCCGATTGGACTCTCGTTGGTGGAGATTGAGAAGATTGAGAACGCCACCATCAGTTTCTTTGGCACGGACATGGTGGACGGGACCCCAGTGCTGGACATCAAGCCCTACATTCCACACTACGATGCGCCATCCTTGAGCGTAGACTCAGGTACGTTGGGTGACGGTAAACCGGGAAGTCAACTAAAATTCTTGCCCCGGACAGGACGCAGCTCTGTAGGACCCCATGAGAACAGCCTGGACTTTTACGACTCCCGGCAGGAGCCCGACGGAGAGGAATCTGACCTGGAGCTTTACGGAGCAGCTGGTTTTACCGGGAATGCGGGCATTGGAGCAAATGCCATTCTGCCGCCACCGTGCGCTGTGCGAGTGCCCAACTGGGTGGTTGCAAGCAATCGTCTAAACGTAAACTTTAACGAGCATGCCGAGGCCCAGCTAAAGGAGCTGCAGGTGGAAAAGCAGTGCATCGTGAACATTTTGGAGGCGGATCCGCGCTCTGTTTACTTGCGCACAAAATACGGATCGCAAATATTCACCTTCCAGCTGCGGGAGGTCACAGTGACGTGCAAATTTGATGACAAGGCCGCTACGGTGACTGTTGTACAGGTCAGGCGCAATGAGAACGTGCAGGTTACCGCCTTGGACGGCGATCTGCGCAGCGCCTAACTTACGGATTATTGCAATTGATATTCGTTTATGAACGATTTGTGTTTAGATTAAGTATTTCGTGTTGGGGAGCTTTAACCTTTGGCGTTTTAATGTTGATTTAGGACACATGACATTCTTAAATATATGCATTAGGCTTGTTTCCCACGCTAATTTAATTGTTTTCTTTTAACTAACTAACTGTGTTGTTAAAATATAAAGATCTTAACAATCTAATTTATACTTTTTTTACTTTCAGCATTATGGGCGATTTGAGCTGGAAAGACTTTATGAGTCAGGCTAAGCAGTTCCTTAAAATTTCACAGCAGTTAGGCGATAGCTGGATGCTGGAGGAAAAAGTATGTAGCCAAGGTATTTCGACAATGTATATTATTTAAATAGTTTAATTCCTCTTAATATAGGACTCGAATGAACCAAATACCTTCCTTAAGTTCAATCAAAAAATGAAATGCCAAAGCGAAGAGGGTTATTCAGAAGGGTTGGTTAATGTGGAGTATCATGTGGTCTACAGTGTTTCCTATCAAGTGCCCATGCTCTTTTTCCAGGCACACAGATCAGGTATTTAAATTGAATTGTAAACTAAGCAGTATAAAAACTTATCTATGAATTTACAGATGGAAGTCTTCTGGACTTGGAGGCTACTTGGAAGCTGTTTATGCCGGAAACAAAAGCCAGAGGTCTCTATCAGATACTCACCCAAATGGATCATCCCGTGCTTTTTAGACCTTTTATGGCTCTGCATCCGTGTCGCACCGCCGAGGTTCTTAAACAATTCGGGCAGCCCAGTGACAATCAGGTTCTTACCTTTATTAGCCTCTACGGACCCCATGTGCAGTTGCACCTGAAAAATGCCTACGGCCTCGTCCAAGAATACACATAGTTTGCATTTATTGGTGGTTGTTTTAAACACTGGTTATAGGAGTATACATGTGTGGATAATATGGCATATGTAATTTACAGTTTTACATTCAATTGCTACTTTAAAGTGGTTTGACCTTTACATTGAATACGCAAACTCTTTTGGGATATAGTTATATAGCGAAAACTCTATATTTTACAGCTGAAGCTACACTTCAGTGGTAAATTTAAATGTAAAAGAAAATCCTTTAATAAATCTATAAAAGGAACCAAGCTTTGTACACTGACTATAACTCCGCTTAGGGGATACATTGATCTACTTACGCATTAAATATCGTATGCCTAACGCTGTATATAGTTAGCAAGTTCCACTTGCTCTCTTTCTTAATTTCACTGGCAATATCAATTAATAGTTGTTCAATTATTATTATAGTATCAATATAGAGCTATTTTTTAGACAGGTATACGCTTAAACCTAATTGTACTGTACACAAGCGTGACCTTAGTCGAGCCGCTTTGCTTTGCATTTTATTAATGTTAAGTGGTTCATTTATAATTAATGTTAACTGGCTACTGTGTGGCATTAGCGGCACCCCGGCGCTAACACAAAATCCTCCTGTTCCTGGTGAAACATAGGACTTGTGGGCGCGGGGAATCGCATTGAAAATGTTTATTTGCAAAATTAAATCGATTTTTGAGTAAATTACGTTGGTTTTGCAATTGTAATCCGACAGAATACACATTCACGTACATTGATAATATGTTTCCTATTGACAGGATGTCGTGCCAAAATTCTCTAAAGGAAATTCATGAGTGATTATTATGGCACAAGGAGAACTTAATTTGGTCTGGAAAAATGCCCAAGATATGATTCGTCTAAACTAGATACTATGTTTAATTTTCAAGCAAGCAAGTTTGTCGTTGAAATGAGCTATTTTTTTACTACTAATTGGAACTAATAGTTTTTCTTATTCAGGGAACACATATTTACGAGAATATGCATTTTACATTTCATTTAAGTTTCCTTCTATAGAAGGTGTATACCATAGCTTTTAGTTATTTTTAAATAAGTACTCTTATATTTTGTTTTAATATATTTACCTAAATATCATTATGGATATACCATTTAACAAACAAGACTTTTTTAACTTTATTTTACTTTATGAGATTTGCACTATTTCCTGCTTCGTTTTTTTTTTTAAATTTACATACATACGGTCGTAAAATGTTTATAAAAGTAAAAGAAAATTTTGGGAAAACCAAATTAAATATAGTTAATATAGTTTACTTATTTTAAATGGAATGTGAGATTACATTCTGAAAATTTAATTTGGTGGGTATTTTTGGCCCTCCCAATATTTATTCCTTGCCATGTTGGATTTTGTATGCTAAAAACGTTTTTGCGTTTAATCTATGAGTATTGTATTTGTAAGGACCTTATTGGCACTAAGCATACATACATGATTATAAGAAATATGCACGTTATGGTATTATTAAACATCCAATTCATTTCATCTCAATACATGTGTTCATACATATATAAAATTTCGTTTAAAGCTGCACCATTAATTTGACATTTGCATATCAAGTTACATTTGTTTTATCTATATACAATATAAAGTACTAAAAAAAAATAAAGTTCGCAAATCAGTGGCGGATGTTCCCCAAAAGTAATTTCTCGAGTCGGAAGTCATTGATATGTTTCTTTTTTGGGTTCGGCACTGATCGTATTATATCTTCGACCCTTGCAACACCCGCCACTGGTAATGACGGATTAAATTACTTAGGCCTAAGGCATAAAATTCGCACTACAATGCTGTTAGTTTTGGTTTTTTTCTGGTTGTTTGGTTGGTCTCATTTCAGTTGCATAATTGGACAATTTTCGCTATGTTATCGTTTTTAAAGAGTTATTAAAATATCCTGTGGCACTGTACACCTAAAGCCTTTGCACGCTGAATCGGGGATGCCCCGATCTCGTACTGGTATTGCTATATACAGCTTCCGCACTCGGATCCCATTGGAATGGACTTGACTCGGTTGTATATTTGGCTACTCTAACACTATATATAAAGCTCTGAAACTCACTCGACATACATACATATATACGAATACATATAGCACATCTACACTATCATAAGGGGAAGCCTTAACCTAGGACAAACCAATTCGATGCTATCGTGGGTGGACTTGGACTAAAGCTATTGACGCTAGGCTATGTTGTGGACGGTGGTGCTCCTAGTGACGATCCGGAAGTCATCATCCAGCTCATCGGCGGACTCGGGGGCATTTCTGCCCATGAAGTCGCTCGATGCGCTGCGCCTGAATCAGCTGCACAGTAAATTGAAGAAACCGCGTCCCTTCTCTGATCGCGGCGCCATCAGCATCGGTACCTGGTTCTTGTGGGTCACCTTGATCTGGGTCGAGGAAATCCAATGTGTTAAAAAATCGTTCAAGCATAAACTATTTCCAGCTCACCGTGCAGGGCATCTGCATCCAGGGCTCGCCATCGATCTGCATAGGAAATGTTTTCTTCGTCTTGATGATCACCTCGCTACACTGTGCCAACCGGCGACCCGAGGCTCGAAGTCCAGTTCTCACCTGCCCCATGTGCAGGCAGTTCTCCAGGCCAATCACCTCGATAAGGCGATCTCCAAAATCTAGAATTGTAAAAAAAAGTCGTCAATAAAAATGTAGTAAGTCGCTCAATAGCTATCGACACCCCAAAGATTTTTCAAACCGAACCTATATTTGAATTTGTAATTCGTTAGCTGATTAACGGGTATTTAATAGCGTTCTGACATGCTTTTTGAGAAATTTGAAAACAAAGCCACAGACAAATAAAAATATATTTAAGCCATATATATTATTACTAAATAATATTAAAAAACATTTCTTTTACTCTATTTATAGATTTATATTTTTATAAACAAATTATCTTTATTTTGTATGCTTTTAGTTTAACATTGATTACAGTTTGGTTCACGTAAATAATATAAAGGTTTAATGTTTGAAGACGTCTGTTTAAGGATATCAATCAGAACTTCCAGTAGTTCTGCTTAACGTAAAGCAGTTTAGTTAGACCTGTTATATTTGTATACCCTTGCAGAGGGTATTATAATTTTGGTCAAAAGTGTGCAACGCAGTGAAGGAGACATCTCCGACCCTATAAAGTATATATATTCTTGATCAGGATTACCTCCTGAGTTGATATAGCCATGTCCGTCTGTCCGTCTGTCTGTTTCTACGCAAACTAGTCTCTCAGTTTTAAAGCTATCAAATTGAAACTTTGCACACACCCTTCTTTCCTTTGCACGCAGTATATATGTCGGAACGGCCGGGATCGGCCGACTATATCCTATAGCTGCCATATAACTGATTGATCGGAAATGCCATAACTTTGGTGTTTGTAAAGTTAGGAAGTTGGGATTTTCTATGGGTTTTATATTTGGCCAATCAATCCGACATACCAAATTTCATAAGGATCGGCCGACTATATCCTATAGCTGCCATATAACTGATTGATCGCAAATGCCATAACTTTGGTGTTTGTAAAGTTAGGAAGTTGGGATTTTTTATGAGTATTAAGAACGCATCATATGTATAATTTTGGAGAATATAATTTACAGAGTATTCTGCAAGGGTATATCAACTTCGGCTCCGCCCGAAGTTAGCTTTCCTTTCTTGTTTTAGCTCACCTTGTATGGCCACCGAGAGATCCGCGGAATTAAAGCTGGTGGCCGAGAACTCCTTGTCGCCCGCCCGGAGTTTCTTGCTCTTGCCGAAGGGACCGGCGCTCTTTCGGATCCGCTTCTGGGACAGGTGCTCGCCCCACAGGTTGGAACCGCCGTGTGTGTATGGGATGTTGAGCAGGGCCACACCCTGCAGGTGGGGTCCGTTGGCCAGGTCCAGAGCCACGCCATCGCACTGTAAATATGGCGCAAAGGTTGCACCAGCATCCGATAATAAATCAGCGTTGACAGGAAACCTCTATCCCTCCCACTTTTCCACCCAACCCCATCCACTTACCACAATTTCGATGCTCTCGTGGAGATTCTTGCAGGATGCCGCAAATGTCTCGGATGTTGCATATTCGAAGTACCAGAGCTTGTTCTTCATGCGGCTGTTGAATTTGTGCGGGTTCTTTTCCCTCTCCAAGTGAAACTTGACGCAGATGGCGGCATCCTGGGGAAATAGAAGGAATGCGGGGGGGTTTGAGAGCAAGGCCAATCGAAAGGTCATCTGAGAAACGGGCCATTCAGGGTCACGTTCGGTTTGCATTCGACTGCGATTCCTATTTCTTCTTTTCATTTCGACTTTCCGAGAAATCTCAAACGGATTGACACCATGGCTGCCATGGCAATGCACTGGGATTGGATTGGCCAAACCGCATAAATGTTAATTAATGTTGTGGCCCATAAGAGATAAGAAATCTAATTAATATCAACAAACGGCAGGTGAGATTAAAGCTTCTTATTTCAGTGGGTTGCAGCAATAGAGAACTTATAGAAACTTCTTGGTAAAAAAGATTTATCAAGAATTTTAAGACTTTGCAGTCGCAAGCAATGTTTTAATCCAAGCGAACAGCTGCGACAAATCCATAGAAAACGAAAACGAAAACATACATATCTTGTTTTCAAATAATTGGAGTCATATTTTTATACCCGTTACTCGTAGAGTAAAAGGGTATATTGTATTCGTGCAAATGTATGTAACAGGTAGAAGGAAGCGTTTCCGACCCTATAAAGTATATATGTATATTCTTGTTCAGGATCACTAGCCGAGTCGATCTAGCCATGTCCGTCTGTCCGTCTGTCTGTCTGTCCGTATGAACGCTGAGATCTCGGAAACTATAAAAGCTAGAAGATTGGCATTTTGCATGTAGATTTTAGGAGTTCCTACGCAGCGCAAGTTTGTTTCAAAATGGTGCCACGCCTCCTCTGACGCACACAAGCCACAAGCTGTGGGCACAGTTTTGATGATATTATGAAAATTTTTATTGATTTGTATTTGTTTCGTCAATAAATATCGATTGGCCTAATAAAAGTTTGCCACGCCCACTCTAACGCCCAAAAACCCATTAAACGCTTAAGCCTGGCTAGCGCCTACATTTCCGTTTTTCATGGCGCCATCTAACGGATGACTTTGGAACAGCTGACCAAGGTGCTTAACAACAGAGTCAACGTTAATTCTCGATAAGGATTTCTGGATAGCTGAGTAACGGGTATCTAATAGTCGAGGCACTCGACTATAGCGTTCTCTCTTGTTCGTTGTATGAACTAGTTCATTAACTAATTACAATACGAAATGTTATTCTCTAATTCAAAAAATAAAAACTGATAAATTTTTAAGTTCCAATTTAATCTTTTTTGAATTTATCATTAATCAACCACTATAAAAAAATACTATAAAAATGATTAAAAAATAATTTTAAGACATAAAAAAATATTCCCCCTAAAATGCTAAAAAAAAGTTTATTCTTTTAAAGAACAAAATAAAACTCTTGCCGTGCCTTTATCAAATTTATAACACGTCCGTCCCATTTATTTTTATAAAGTTGCACTACACTACATTTCCCAATTAAAGTGCCCTTTTGGATAGATAATAAACAATTTGTCCTGACTAATCTATTGTCCAGTAGTGCTATTTTTCTAGCCACATATGTCTGTGGAAACTGGCAACTCCATTCCACGGAGAGCGAACGAACGGCTTCATTTTAATTTCTTATGCGGATATTCGGTTGAGTGCCCGCCCCGTGGGCCGAAGTAGCTCATACGACACGTTGCACTTACTGGCAACGCATTTGCTATGCATGTCGTTCGGCATCACAAACACAGGCACGCGCGGCTTTGGCCCTTCGCGCGCCGGATGGAGGGCACGTGGTGGCGGCAGGACTTTCAATTACGGCCCGTTGGTTACACAGCAAATAAGATTTATTACCGCTCGACGTCAAATTGAATTGTCAACATGAGCGAGCGCCTGCCAGAGCTTAAAATCGAAAATCGACGAAAAACTTTTTAATTAGCTCCAGCCGCATCCCGTTTCCCCGCCTTCGGTGTCACTTTATGCACGGCCCGGGCGGTAAACTAATTTAGTGACAGGCCAGCTTATTAGCATGCCCCGACCGCACCACAGCCATTAGTTGCAGGAGATGGGGCCACCAGCTGACAGCTTGTTTGCATTGGGGAAAGTTGGCCGATGTTGCCCGAAAGCCGGCAATAGAAGGTGGCATGTTGGGAAAGCTGGCACTACAAAAGGGCTGGGAGGTGAGAGGTTAATGAAATAATTTGTATACCCAGGCAAATCCCGATCTGCCATAGATAAGCCGAAATATCTTTAAGGCCTCGGGGCGTATGAACAACTCAGGTACAAAAGGACAGCCATAAAATGCGCATCCAGCCCCATCTCTGCGCCCTGATACATAAAACTTGAGCCAAAGTCGAAGCTCCGACAATTACACATTAACTCCATAACAGCCTCCAGTTGGCAATCTTCTCCACCTTAAACAGTGGTGACAGGTTTTTAGAGAAAAACAACTCCTTTACGGAAGCAGCTAAAACAGTTTAACTTGACAGAATTTTTGATAATTATGTTTTCAATTATCTTTAAAATATATGATAAACTATTAATTATTCATAGAAAAAAGGTTTTTTAAAATTGCACAATTGCTTTTACTTAAAATTCAATATTAGAAAAATTATAATTTTGGGATATTTAAGTAAAGCTAATTTACTGATTCTGATCACCTTAACTGTTGTAGGACCTTGAACAAGAATTATAATTTTTAGACTTAAATGAAGAGCTGATACCTTGTATGAAGCTCGAGAATTCGCTAGTAAATGCGCAGGAAAAGGAAGTTTTTGAAAAAATCCAGATTAAACGGCTAAATGCTGAAATGCCAACTCCCAAAACTGCCGGGAACTCGTACTTTTATCATCGTCGCACAAGTTGGCGCTCAACGTCAATTGTTTGACGTTAAACCCAAGCGTCAGCGTGAAATACTTTTCATGCTGTATTACTCGACGAGGGTGGTGGCCTTACTCCCGTTTTCCCCGGGGATGCTCGCTCCCAAGGAGCTGTGCCACTTGAGCAGTCCCTCGTAGACCAGACACATGTTCATGTACATGAGTGTTAAATGGATTTCGTGATGGGCCCAGGACAAAGAGCTCTCCGTGTGAAATGTGTCCGACAAGTAAAATCCCAGCAGCAGGAGCGGCAATAACATCATCGCCGACAGTTTTGCTGTAGTCGCCTACTGTTTAAACAGACGCACATCAAGTCATAAATAAACTAACACGCAACGCACACAAAAATATACGGAAACCCAAACCCAAACCCACCCACACGGCACACGTTTTTATTTTGGTTTTGGTGCGGATTTTGTGGGATCTGGTGTGCAATTGCCGGGGCTCTGTGGCAGGAGCATTAGGCTGATTTCAGTGGCGCAGGGGAGCGCAAAATGTTTGCACAAAAAGGATTTCGGCTTTAGCCGCCACTTGACAAATGGTGTGACCTTACGCAGGCCAACACCTACACATCCACCGCCCCATCCTGTACGATTACACAGCAAAATACAAATGGCTACTGGGTAATCATTGAATATTGAACTGACAGTTAAGTTGTATTATTTCCAAAGAGACACTCTATATAATTGTATTGCAAATTATTTTAAAACTTTGTTCTTTTATAAATGTGTCAGTTTTAGGTTGAATTGGCAAAATATTTAACTAGCAGTTAAGATTTTACATTTTTTCTAATACTCGTATATCGGTACCCCAAAAACTTTATGTACTCTTTAATCATAAACTGGGTAATATAGCGAGAAAGAAATGTTAAATGTTAAAAACCCTTATATTTTTATAATAACTGGTAAGGTAAAGTTCAACATATTTTAGAAAAATAGTTGCTCGAAAATCAAGAAATATAATGCAAATAAAGCTTTACAGATAATGAAATAAATAAATTTAAGGTGTACCTCATTTGCTTGAAATGATCTGAGATTGGCCCTTGTGTCCTTAATGTTTCTGTGTACCGTGGGCGTGTCTATACACCGCTAACACAACCAGGAGGCAGGACATCGTCTTGCTGACTTGTACCACATTTCCGTTTTATTTGGCCTTCATTTCATTTCTGCGGCCGTGCTGTAAAGTTGTCACTTAACTTTTCTTTATGGCCCTCTTAAATCCAGGACTGATAAACGGAGTGCAGGCCACTAAAAGTGCGAGTATCTGTGATTCCTCTGCTCTTTTCTTACTTCTCGGTCATTTTCATATCTCACATCATACTAAATAATTCAAAAGCCCCTACGAAACTTTGCAAAGTTTTATCCTTCCTCCTATTTATTGCACAGGATGAGTGTGGGTTGCGGGTATGCTATATGTTGGTCCCTGGGGCGCAATCTGTTTCTTTTTCTTGACTTTGCGGTGTTTGGCGTCACCTTGGGCAGTTACTAATTTAACACTTGCTGGAAATTATAATGAGACAAGTTTCGTTCTGGCCACAGCTTGGGCATCCATTAATTTAAACGTTCTCGGCTATTTGGGAATGTTGCGGGAGTTTAGTAGTGGGCCACTAGCTAAGTGAATTTGAATGTGTAGCCTTCCGTTCGGGACAGTTTGATTGGAATTTTTCCGGGTAAAGCAATGGCATCTATTTGGTCTCAAAAGCTGGCAAAAGAGCAGACAAACAGTGCAAATTGCACCTGCACCTGCACCTGCCAATCCCATGCACTGCGGCATCAATGATGCAAATGCGCAGCTGATGATTGTGTGCTTAACTCTGCCACCTCGTTTGCATACTCCCGAGACCCAGCTCAAACTGCGAAAGTATCTGTATCTGTATCTGTGCCTGGTATCCTGCACCTGAGCCTGCACCTGCATCTGCACCTGTATCTGTATCTGTGGCTGTATTTGTATCTGTATCTGCACTTGTGCCTCGGGCGTGTGGCATTCGACTTTTGTGGCAATCAGCCACTTTGCATGCGCAATGTGTTGCAACGCGGCAGAGTCTTTGACTAATCGCTAGACACTATTCTGGTTTCCGCCCGAACTCTTCTCTTCTTCATTGAAACTGAATTGTTTCAGTTCGGCTCTCTCCTTGGTTATGAATGTATCCACATAAAAGCGAGTTCCTCGGAAATTTGCATCTGAAAGAGCACTACCTACCCGAAGGTTATTCATTTGCGGGCGTTTTTGGGCTTTATTTTGGCGAGGTAAATCGGAAATGTGCGGTCTCCTGCCCAAAACGCTGAATAAATGATTCTGACGTCTTAAATGAATTATTGAACAGCCCCGAGTCGCTTCCCTTCACAGCCAGCAGGACATTGTCCTTAATATTATTGGCCTTTAAGGAATATTGGGACTTAAGTGTGGCGATTCCGTCATACGACACTTATGGAAAAGTCGTCGTTAATGCAAAATGATTTAGGAACTCATCAAAATTTTGGTATTTTAGTTTATATTCATACAAAATTATTTAAATATATTCATTAAAACAAAGCCCTTGCTTTATACGTTTAAGCCAGGTGATTCGCAAAGTTTTAATCTACACGGTGTCACTAAAGCCGATTTAAGATCAATAATAAGGGCTGAATCCTGTAATACTCTGATAAGTCCCAGCATCCTAACACAATTTCCTAAATTTCTCATTATTAATTCCGTTTTGATGAAAGGTACAGCGGCACAAAGTCGAATTTTCCGGCAATCAGTTCAAGGCAAAGGCTTAAGCTTTGTGACGCGATTTTCTAAACGAGTCAAATCGAGCTTGTCATATGCAAATCCCATGTCAACAGCCATGACAGCTCGACCTTACTAATTACGAAAATTGTAATTGCTAATAGTTGTTCTTGTTGCAGTGGATGTGGCCACAGCTGACGATATGGACCTGGACCTGAATGCGACCTGGATGCCAAACACGAGTAGAAATGGCATGACAACTGCCGGCTTTGCGCCTGACATGTGACGGAGTGAAACCGGATCCAGACACGATGGCTTTACTCGAAGCAACGAACCGGAATCACAACTCTAGGACCTGCAAAACGGGGAGTGCATTTTACGGATTGCTGTGTTACAGTTAAAGAAGCAGACTGAAGAGTTCAAAACAGAATTGTGGTATATTTTGTAAGATCGAAACATAAAACCAGCGGTTTTAGGACATACATTAAAAAAATCTATATTTTTCTAGGTTGGGAATGCAGTTGAGTAGTTTCTTAAATATATTATTTTATTTATTTAACTAATTGTAAGATTTTCCAAATTTATGCTATTCTAAAAAAAAACTTTTTGAGGATAGATCGCATTGTGAATAACTTCAATCGTTACGTCTGTTTTCAGTCTAATTTTATTTTTTAACTCTTGTTCTGGTAATACAAGGTTATTAAACTTTTCCATACTCGTTAAAAAAAAGAAATTTTGTAAGGCTTCTAATAGAATGCAAAACTTTAACAAATCTAATAAGACAAATCAGCAGGTATTAGATTTTATACGAATTCTTTCACGATGTGATAAAAGGGTATTTTGTTACATCCCTAAAAACAACTGCACCGAAAAACCTAACCTTTTATGCTCTCAGTAAATTGTCGACTTAACATTGAATACTAGTGTAATTAATTTTTATTAGTAAACTGAGGCCATTCAAATATAATATATAAATACTATTTTCTTTCAGTGCCTACAATGAAGCGTACTCACCACGCCGACGGAAAAATAATTGTTGATAATGTTGTAGGGCACCGTGCAGTCCTTGTCGGACTGCACTTTGATGGGCTTCTGTTGCTCGAACTGGAGATGTTGCTGTGCCGGCACACTGGTCGAGGCACTCGGTGTTGTGGGTGTGATTGGGGTTGCCGCGATGCTGCTGCTGCCATCTCCCCCGTTGTCGCCCCTGCCCTCGTCCTCATGGTCGGACAAATCCAATGACAATGTAATTTGCTGTTTAAGGATGTTGTTTTGCTTATTGTGCTGGCTATTATTATCGCTTTGATTATTCCCAACTGGCGTTGCTGTTGCAGCTTCCTCGACAGCATCCGATGCGGCTCCTTGTTGCTGCTGCTGTTGCAGCTGTTGTTTGTGCTGCAGCAGCAGCGTCTCAAGTGATTGCTTTTCCGTTTCGTCCGACCTCCTGGCCACGGACTTTGGCCGGACTTCGTCATCGGCATCGGCATCGGCATCGGCAACGGCTTCCGTTTCCGCATCCTGGTTGCCGTTGCAGGGACTGCCGCTGCTCGTGTTGCTGCTGCTGCTGCTCAAGGTGGATCGAAGGGTCTTTCGCAGGCACTGCGTCTCGAACGTGGACATCGAAATGCTTTTGGTCGTGGTCGTCCGGGTGGTCGTGCTGTTACCGAACTCCACCGTGGCCGTTTCCATTTCCATTTCCGTTTCCGTTTCGCTGGCCATCATAATCGATGTGGTGGAGGCGGCCCTGGCCGCCTGCTTGCTCTGCCGCTGAACTTCCTCGAAGCGCTCCATCAGCGACTTGTCGACCACAACACTTTGCGACAGCTCAATCACCTTCTGCATATTCGAGTGCAGCGTCACCTGCAGCGGAAAAAGAGGGAACTTGGCTTAGCAGTTGTCAGCTGGAGAGCTCAAAACATGTTGTGGCTTCGGGTTTTGCGGATTGCAGGTTGGCTGCGTCAGCATCACGCCTCCCAACCAGCAAAATTAGTTTGTGAATTGTTTCGCTTCCAGGGGGTGAGAGGGAGAGAGGGGGTGAAGGTGTGCGTGGTAAGCGCTTTGTGGCCAATAATTGGATTTTCCAGCTGGCAGAGCCTTGCCACGCCCACCAAAGACTTTTCTGGCTAGCCAAGTATGCCAATTCGACTTAACTCGTAGAAAAAATATTCTTCGGCTAGTCCCTAGGCCAGATAATATAATAAATTAAACAGGAATTGCCCTAAATTTAATGGTTTGTGGAATATATTGACATGACAATGCTAGTTAAACAAGGGTCATAAAATCAAATCTGTAACACAGGAACTTAATTACAGGGTCTTTTTCTGGCAATAATGGAGCGGATAATATGCGTGCTTAACAATTTAATTTGTTATTTACAATCCTTAAAAAGAACCTTTTACTTTTTATAGTGATTATGTTTTTTTAGAGCATGGGTATATTTTCTTGTCGAACTATTAAGAATACTCATAATTAAACTGGTTTCAAATTTTAAAGTTAAATTTAAATTTCTAGAAAGTTTGATTATTAGGTTCATGTACTACATTTCTTCAGCCAACTACTTACTTTTGGCCGCAGGTCATCACTCTGCGGCGTGTTGGTGACCTCGATGCTCCATCGGTCCAGCATCACGGTGGATGCTTTTCGGATCTTCTCCATGAGCTTTGGGATGTTCTCGCCCTCGTAGCCGCCACCCCATCGGAGGCAGCGGGCCAGGTCGTTGCCTGTCCCAAGCGGAATTACTCCAATGGCAGGCTGGCTGGCCAGCTCGATGGAATCTGCAGAACAACCAATCAGTCAATCAAAAACATCAGTCTTAATATTCCAAAATCTATTTAATAAATGAATCTTAAAACAATAAAAAAGTATATTTTGTCAGGGTTTTCGTGGGCTTAGTATATTTTAACTTTTTGAATGCATGAATACTTTTTTCAATCGGTTTTGACGGTTCTCATCTTAGCAATCTTTAAATACTTTCTGTTAATCTGTAAGACTTCACTCACTTATAAAATATCGAATCGTTATTTTTGCCTTCATATTCTGTGAGATTTAAAACTTTCGCTTTTCTTGTAATCAAAATAAAAAATATTATGCAGTTTATCATCCATTGCTTTGACGACAAACCTGCAAGTCGATCTTTTTGGGGATTTTAAAATTTTTAAAAGTGAAATAAATAAATAATATAATATGCTAATATATTCGGAAATTATTATTAAGGCATTAAAAATTGTAAATAGTCTGGGACTATTTTGGTTTTTAATTTTTCGAGAGTCATTCCAGTCAAAAAAAAAAGAGAAAAAGGGAAAGAGGGAAATGGCTTTTTCGACTCCGCTAGTGACCCTTATCAAAATTTTTTATTTATAGGGTCGGAAACGCTTCCTTCTAGCTGTTACATACTTTTGCACGAATACAATATACCCTTTTACTCTACGAGTAACGGGTATAATTAGAAGATTTTTCGGATGTTTATTTTTCACCATTATGAAAATATTTAGTAATTTGACTTCATTTTTTATGGTGCACGAGTATGTAAAGGAATCGAAAAAGATGGTATTAAAATAAGGTAGGCAACTGAGACCTATTTTATACATAAAGCTATTGCAGAAAAGGTGATCAGATCGCCAGGACATGTATGATCCCGCCCAGCCGTGCACTTACCCATGGCCTCTAGAACCCAGCCCACGGTGCCGTCGCCGCCACAGCAGATGACCCTGAAGCGGGGCAGGTCCTTGAAGAGCGTAAGTCCTGGCAACGAGAGCGGAAATCAATCACCGTGCTTGAACGGCCATCACTCACACACACACCCTCCTTGGGCCCGCCCTTGGACAGGTCGTACACCTGGCGCGGATTGAGCATGTACTGGAACTTCCGCAGGATGCGATCCCCCTGGCGACCGCCGCTTTTCGGGTTGACGAACACCAGCAGCGGGCAGCTCAGCTCGTCCGGCGGCGTGATTTGGAAGTGGGTGGCCTGGTGGTGATGCATTTGGGATTTCTGGTTACGATTGCGGTGGAAGGCATAATAATGGATGGACACAAAGCAGCAGTTCCAATTGTTTTGTTTTTGATTGTTTTAATTTTTTGGCGGAAAGTCAATTTTGAAAGGGGGTTAGTTAGCCAATTGTAGGGGCTTATATAAATACTATGTCAAATATTTTAAAAATTAAATATTTTTTTAGTATAAAAAAATATTAGACCAAAACCTTTGATTAATAGATCTTGTTCTAAATTCAACAAAAAATAGCTTTAAATTCACAAACACATTTTAAGAACTAAAAAAACATTTTAGCTAGATCTAAATATAGTGTTTAAAGTTACTTAAATAAATGTGTTCGATTTATTATTTATCTTAAAGATAGGAAAGCTTGATAGAGCAGGTGGAGCTTATAAGATATAAATATTTAATATTTGTGAATGTACCTTGTGGGCCTGGTTGACGGAGCGCTGGCGATCCAGTACAGCAGGACAAATGGCCGTGGGCGGGACAATCAGCTCGGCATACTCCCCCAAAGTACATTCCTTTTTCACCGACGAAGCGCAGCGGTTGTGGAGCTATCGAGGGGACGGGATAGGGAATCGAATTAAATTAGTCCGAGCGGCGGGCACCATGAAAATATATTTTAGGAAATCGCGGCCTCCTACCAATTTCACGCTTTTAAATTTAATTTCCACTTCATTGCTGGCCAAAAGCCACTTATGACGGAAAAAGAGACGGGGTGGCTCTCAAGCGTTTATTTCGCCTTAATGAATCCGATTAAAAGTTTGTTAGCGCCGACTACTCGACCCGCGGTGCAGGAAAAATGGTTAATTTTGGCCTAAATGAGATTTAGCGCGGATTTTCCTTTCATTTAAATACTAATTTGGCTGAAACGTTTTCTTGGCGTTTTTTCTAATGGCTGCGCGGCTTCTTCTTTTGCATAACATTTTTTTCACAGCATCGGACTTTGATTTGGAGTTGGTCATCCACTGATGACTTTTTTAATTAAATAAATCGATGGGAGCATCGAAAAAATGTTCTTGGCTATAACAAGTAAACTGTAATTAAACTTATTTCAAACTTTAAAGGAAGTCCTACGGTTTTGGTTTAAATTGTAAATGTCTGCTTGATCATTTAATTTATATTTTTTTATTTTTCTAAGTATTGAAAATGTATGTTTTATCAAAAGCGCAATTAAAATGATCTAAAAGTAATTAAATATGAGGCTTTAAAATGCAAAGATGACTGGAAAATCCAAATCAAAAGATAAGTATTTTTTCGCAAATACCTTTAAATTTTGTGTGCCCACTTTAAATTGACATTGATACTTCGGCTTAAGAATTGCAGTGGTGAAGAATTTCACGCCGGAGGACAGTATGACAACCACATTTGCTTCTTATCGCGGGCAAAACTTTAAGCACACACAGACACATCCACTCAAAATGCAAAGTTATTGACTGTCAAAAGCGTCGGCAACGTTTGGCTTACAAAGTATTTGCCGATGCAGCAGCATCCGAATCGCAGGACCAAGTTTCCCGACCTCCGCTCCCGCCGGCGGTCCTCCGGCAACAACAAATTCGGCATTATCTCCGCTGCACTTGTCAAAGACACAGGACACGAAAGTTGGTGGCATGCAACGGCGGCAGCAGCAGCAGCGCGATTTGCTCGGGACGTGACAATTTGCCAGCCATAACGAAGTTGCCAACTCATGTGCGGCCCGGATCGGATCGGATCCGGGTGCGGGAATCGGGGGTGCCGGGTTGGAAGTGGTGTTGCTGCCGGGCTGCAAATCACAGCTGCCGACACTGGCTCCAACAAAACTGCAGACGGAGTGCTGGGCCAAAGGCTGCCTTGTTTTTCCGAGTAATTGGAATTTTTGTTTCGAAACAATGCTGGCAATCCCTGGCGCAACAGATCTGATTTGGTCTTGTTGCGGATTGATTCTACCTCGATTCACTTGTTTTTGAAAATCATGATTGCAACCATATCTGAAACCGCCAAGCGATGAACTGTTTTTGTAGCCCTTTTGAAAGTTCGATGTATTTTGTCTAATCCATATTCGCAAATAAATCACTAAGTTAAGTTCTCATTTAAATATTATTTGGCCAATAAAACTTTCACGGATTTATTCCTTTTTTGAGAAGAGGCAGTCAAGTACACTTATCCATACATTGTGTCGATTTTAACCAAGTACATATAAACTGAAAATCGGGGATCTCTAATTACTAGTACGCATTTAAAGTGGTTGGTAAATGGTAAGCCCATCAAGAAACTAAATGGAGACCTAATCTTCTTCAGAGGGTATTATAATTTCAGTCTAATATTGGCAGGAAAATGAGAACAAATCTGTAAGCTTGGTGTTTTATATATATTTTGAAATTTTGGATCAGCAGTAAGAGAGTAACTATCCCAGAGTTAATTATCAAAGCATAAGGGTGTTTCAAGCTTGTGATTAAATTTGGAGGCTCTACATTCACCTGCATTCTTTGCGCATTAGTGCATTTAAGGCGGTAAGACAGACTGAAAAAAGACGGACATGGCTGAATCTCCTGGTGTTTCACAACAAGAATATATATGCTTTATAGGGTCCGAAATGTGCCTTTCACTGCGCTAAACTTTTGACTGATATTATTACCCTCTTCAAAAGTAAAAAAAAATGCGTTTTAGGGTGTGGGCATTGGCTTTAAAGTTTATCAATCATACCGACTGTTTCCTTAGATCAACAAATTGTGTTTCAATTGACATTACGTGTCGTATGAGTAATAAAACGGCAACGTGACGCAAAGCTCAAAACTTGAAATAACATTTTTGGAATTTTAAACGGGTAGAGTATGATCGTTTTTGTTGGACCACCGTAGGGGGCATGTACGGTGTAAAATATTTAAGCTCTTAAGGTCAAACCCGTCCACACCCACTCACCATCATGTGGCACCAGCGGCAGGTGAGTCCTGTAATGCCGTGGTAGGCCTTGATCCGCTTGCGGCACTTGGAGCATCGCCCGTAGCAGTTGCCCTCCACCCAGTGGTGCAGCAGGTCGCCGCCGCACTTGGGCTTCTTCGACTTCACGTAGGTGGTGATGCAGGAAGCGGGGGCGTGCTGCACGCACCGCTCGTGCACCGTGTACTTGCACACTGTTAAAAATAATAAATATTTTTTATGTTTTTCAATAAGCTCTATAAACACTTCAGCAAACCGAAGTGGGTATACCCTTGCAGCTATTACAAGAATAAAATATTATATAACTTATATTTCTAAGCGTATATCCTCAAAGACAATACTTGTTTCGATCGTTCCTATGGCAGAATAGTTAAAAACGGACAGACGGACGGACGCACATAAGGGCATAAGGACAGCTAGATCGACACTCCTGGTGATGCTGTTCAAAAATATATACTGGTAGGGTCGAAGACGTCTCCTTTACTGCGTTGCAAACTTTTATCTGAAATTATAATACCTTCTACAAGGGTGTAATAAAAACCATATCTTTCCAAAATTAAATATAATTCAACAATTATTAAAACCTATGCTAAAATTATATCCTTATATTGTGTAATTAAATGGGGTTATTGGCAGGTAATCAATTATTATTAGTTTTAGCTAAAAAGAAATAGTTTACCCTTAATACCCCATAATAGATTCCTAAAACAATAATGTAATAAATCGAACACTGCCGATTTTATGGCTTCTGCGTGGTGTAATGGCCATAAAGTTACTTTGGCAAAAGCTGATGCCGTTGAGATAGACAATTTCCTGTCGTCGGACTCCACTACACCGAGAGATTCTTCGTAAATACCCCTCACAGATACTCACGCACACAGCAGAGACCCTTCTTGCCGAGTCCCACCAACATGTTGAGGCAGAGGTTGCAGTACGCCGGCTTGCTGAAGTGCTTCAAGCGCCACACGTGGATGCCGTCCTCCTTGAGCGTGGTGCTGTCGACACCTGGGGAAGATTTAGTTGGAAGTGTAGGGGTTGCAGGTGGAAATGGGGGAGGGTGTTGGGGCGGAAGGCGAGTTGTCACTTTGCATAAGCGTATGGAGGGGCGGCAGGCATGCCACTCCGCCTGCAGCAACTCCTCGTTCCCCCGTGCCACTTGGCCAAATGACTTGATTATTACGGCAGCAGCCAACCAGTCACAGATCAAGGCGTTCAGACGGCAAAGGCGCATTTAGCAGGGGAGCGAGGTGCAGCCACACAGAGAGAAAATATAGCCACCAATCGGGTATTATATTTATCGGTTTCCAAAATAAAATGTGGGAAACTTAAGAATCAATATTGTTTTTTATTATAGACCAAATCTCGCAGTGTGATCTTTTATAAATCGAAAACGATTTGTCATTTATTAATAATTTAAAAAAAAATATTTAAGTGAGAAAAACTTATATGAGTATTAGCTTAAAAAAAATGATTTACGATTAAACTTATTTTTATACTAATTTGGGGTTAAACTCTGAATTTATTTAACAACCTAAGTATCTCACATATTTGTAAAGGTTTTTTTATCCTAATAAAATAGTCATTTAAAAATCAGTAAGCTACGTTTTTTTGTATGAAAATAAATAAATTGAAAATATTTCATTTTAAAATGGTGACTGTGTGAAAAATTTATTGGAATTCTTTTTACGGGTTTCAAAAATATATGTGTTCTTTACATGAGTTTAAATTTGATTTTAAAGATATATTTTTAGTAGTAAGAAAAGGGATGTCTAGGGAATATTAATTAATATTAATTAATATGCTATAGATTGACAATGATTTTATGAAAATTAAAATTACATTTTTGTTACTAAGAACGTTTTTTGCACTTTTGTTACTGAAGGAAACAATAGCGATATTTTCTCTTTGTGCAGAATGGAAAATTACCCACCTAGGAGCACGAGCAGAGGAATGGTTGTCATCCCGCCCCGCTGCCATTCGTCCAAGGACACCGTGCCGTCGGCATCATAGTCAATTTCAACCATCATCTCTTGCAGTATCTGTAAGTACAAAAAGCGATTGCGGATTGCAGTGAGTGGAGTGCAACCGAAAAAGGGTTATTTTAGAAGAAATGAAATTTAACGGAAAGCTAACTTCCTGTTTGGAATGCACTTCTCCTCGGTTCAGGGCAATGAAGACTTATTGCCTTGCGTTGGTTGGCAAACGCATTTCCGACAGAAATACAGTATATATTTTTAAGAACATCACCAACACATGTTTAACGCTGCTAACAGAATGACTTTAAAATGTCCGAAGGTATGCAATAATTATGTGTGAAATAATGTTATTCATCTTTGGTATTTTAATGCCCACTTTTAAGCATTTCAAAATCCAAGGACTACCAAGACTAGAAGAAATCCACACAGATCGATGCGGGAGAAGCTCTAGCTATATTAAATATTCAGGGTGGAGTGAAAACCTAACTTACAAATTTATTCAACTTTCCAATCCTTCTTCCTTTTCTTGGGGAATTTCATATTCTTCCGGAAATGAATGCCAGAATTATGCAACTCATTAAGTGCTTTGATTATTTGCGGGGAGCAACCGGAAAGCGAAAAGGATAAAATAATGGGGCCGAAAGGCTGACCCAAACTTGGCTTCTTGTCTTAAAATATTTTGATTAAAATATTTTCTGTGTCTGCCTAGAATTTAAAGTATGCGGCAGTCATAAAGTCATGACGGCAATGGAACTGGAGCTCTCGGTTCCCGAGCAGCGGAAAAGTAAGTCGGTCGAGGGCAGGGCAGGGCAGACACAGGCGGGAAATGCGGCTGGAATCATTCCGCTATAGCCAGGGGTATTTTGTTAATTGAGTTTTGTGGCGCTTTGACTTTATTTGCGGTCGCAGTTCTTTCTTGTTTTCCCTTCCTTTCGGTATATATTTTTTGCTTTGCCTGTCAACATCGAGGGGCTTTCTGGCTGTTAGGGGAGGGGGGACGCTTTAAGCTTGTTCTTTTTGCTGTTGGTGAAACTATTAAGTCGCCTATGCGATGTGGTAGCAGCGGCAGCTCCACAAATTGCGGTTGAGTTGAAATGGAAACCCAGGGAACACATAAAGAAAATAATATATAAAGTATGCATAGATAATATTGTATTATTGAAAAATAAGAATTTTATAATTCAACTGTGGGTAACAGTGCAGCAAGAGAATATTATGTATAAAGGCACCTCTTTTGTTTGATTAACTTTAATGGTTCTAAACTTTAGATGTGTGAAAAGGGCAATAAAATCAGTTTCTCTCAAAATGTAAACGGAAATAATTTGACTTACTTTGCACTCGTTTAAATGAGATTTTTTGTTTTTAAATAATAACGAAAGGTTCACAAAAGGCCAAGCTATTGAGCTTGCAAACAAACAGAAGTGTAGGCTTTAATGGCTAATCGATAGTTAATTAAACTATTTTCTTCCTGTGTGGCTAAGCTCGGACTATCGCCGAAGTTGAATGCTCAAACAATAAAGGGAAATTAATTTCAAGTGTTTTTTCCGTCGTGTTTTGTTTGGTGCTTTGTTGTGTTTGCTGCTGAAAATGTTGGTAAGTAATTGAAAAAGTTTTATTGGACTGGATTGGGTCAATGAGTAGTTGGGTTCCGAACGGGTTCCGGGGTTCGTGACCGCCAAACAGACGCAGGACGTGGGTGTTGTAAGTGGGTTTGCCGATTGCTGTGCATCGATATCGGTTGCAATTCGTATCGCGTAATGAGTTTTTAATGTAAGCCGGACTTAGCCGGCACTCACCGGACGCAGTTCGCTGACATCCCAGCCGAGGTACTCGGCCACGGCCATCATCTGATTGACAATGGCGTCCATTTCGGCCGTGTCCAGGACTCCGTTGCTGTCCGTGTCGTACAGCCGGAACATGACTGCAACGCAATGAATAAATAAGGAGAAGCCGGATCGAAGGTTGCAGGTCGGTCTTACACTCCAGCTTATCCTCCGGACGGCCAGCCTCGAGCAGTGATAAATAGCAGACGACGTCCTTCAGCGGGACCTTGAGTGTCAGCGGATCAAAATGGGAGAGTTTTCGCGCCAGGAGCTTGATGTCGCCTGCAAGTGAAAGAGGGGATGAGTGGGTGGGTGGGGAGGTACATGTGCAAGTGCAAGTGCAAGAGCATTCATTAAGTGACAGAGTGGCCGCCCCTCATTATTCTTAATGCCATCGACAGCTGACAGCCAGTTGCCATTATGCTTAATGTTAATTGCCAACATTTGACCGGGCCAGAAGCCAGCGCTTCGTTATGGCTCTTAATGAACTCCAGCCTCGGAAAATTCTGACGCAATTTACTTTCCAGTTGAATGTGGGAGGCAGGCTACTTGCCTTTAATGCTTTGAGCCTGCGACCCAAAACTTTTCTCATCTTATGCTCCAGATACTTCATCTCGCTTAACTTTGTTTTGCTATAATTACAATTTTATACACCTTTCTCCTCGCTTCCCTATTGATTTGCAGTCAATTCCTGCGTAATTACATAATGAGTTCAAATCAAAGCGCTTTGTGTGGCCCAGCAAATTGTTTAGAAATTTTCAAAGGAACTTTCGTCTGTTTGATTTCTTTGTGTGTGCGACAGTATGAATGGCTTCCATCTTTTATTATTTTGACAGGCCATTTGTGTGTGCTGTTGATGTTGTAATTTATATGTTAATGCAGGCAGCGCGGGAGTTTCCATCTAAGCTAGTCAAACACCCGAAAAGACATGGAGATGATTGTATTTTAGCTAATTATGTTTGCCCAGTGTCGGAACGTTTGTCGGCAATAAATTAAAATATATACGTAAATACCGCACACAATGCTAATATTTGCCCTTCTTCTTAATAACTAAATGAGGCTGTCGGTTCGCGATGAGTGCAGGGAAGTTGTGTAAACAGGGCTGAGTGTGTAAGCAGGATCAATGTCAACTTATTTGCCGGCCTACATTTGGACTAATAAATTTAATTCCCACACACACAGGCAAGCGGAATACAAAAAGCAAAGCAAAACTAATCCAATTAGCGCTTAAGGCGCTCAAATACACACACATACACTCGGCGGAGGAAAGCGAGGCCCTTGTTGTACTTAATATATAATGCTAATAGGAAATTCCTGACTGGGCCTCGTCCTTTCGCCTTTTGCGTAATTTCCTACACCGAAAGAGAAATCGCCATCAACATTAAACTACATCAATGTGATCCTACGGGTTATACAATTTCATTAAACAGATATATTCATCAGGCACACGCGTATTGTTGATTTGATACTTCAGCTTTTATTTTAAAACTAGTACTAGAATTGACACTAGCTGTAGTTTTACTGTAAAAACCAGTAGAGAGATTTTGGTGTACCTCGATACTGACCTCGTTGTTGGACAGTTATTCTAAATTTTTTAAAAAATTGTTCTAAGGGATTCTATTGAACTAAATAAACATTTATCCATGTTTTCAAGTGGCGTACAAGATATGCAGTTTAATTGTGAAAATACTCTTTTTCCTGTGTATTCCCACCCTCTGAACTTTCAGGACAATGCCTTTCAATTGCTGGCAAAATGCGTGAAACTGTTGGCCAGCGACAAAAAGAAAAAACGAGAGAAAAAACGAAATTTACGTTCATTAATCATTCTCGTACACATTTCAAACGAAGCGAAATGAATGAAAGCAAAAAGGAAAACAAAACGATGGCTGAAAAAAGGCGAAAAAATGCTGCTGCATACTTTCAGGCCGCAAGTGCGCCTCGCTTTGCCTGTGTGTGTTCGAGTGTCCTGGCTGTTTGTCTTTGTGTGTGAGTGTCTGTGTGTGAGCAATAAATGTTAATTTAACGCAGGCTTCGCATTTTACGAGTTGCGACTTCGTGAAATGCAAAAATGTTTCTAATTGGGCGTTGATTTACGACACGATCCCCGAGACAAGAGTCGCTCAGCCTTATTTTTCTAACTTTTCTTTGTTGTTGTGACAGGGGAGGCGGAAGAGGAGAGGGGGCGGAATGGGAAGTAGGCTGACTTCCGGTGCCAAGTTTCGACTTTTCAAAGGACTGCAGCTTGGGCGGCGGTCCACGTTCATAATTTATGAACTCATGAATTAGCGAATGTCTGCCTTGTTTTCCTTCCGCGCTGATATTTGCTTTTAGTACTCGCCCCACTAATTAGCAAGTTCGTGAGAACGTTAACTAAGCAAATGGCAAATAAGCAGAGGCTTTACAGCTTGGCTAGTAATCCAGACGAGCTGCAGTTACGCCAATTTGGTTAAACAGGTATGGCAATTAACTGCAGCGCTCGAACTATCTTAGATGCATACCCATTAAATACATATAGCTAGGCATTGATATTAGGTATATGTTTAATGTTGTATATTAATGGTGGTTTGAGGGCTAAACTTAATGGCAAAGTTCATTATCATTTAACAGATAATAGTAGTAGCAAAAGTGCTCCTATTCAAGCTTTTTAAAAGGTATATGATGAGTTCGGCCAGGAATAACCATTATTATTGTATAAACCTAGTTCTAGGCTTATAGTGCTTCTTTTGCATTCCAATCCAGCCACTTTACCCCTTTCAACACTCAGAAAGCAATCAAAAAGTAAGTTTTTCCTGATCAAATAGAGCGTTCTGCACATAGACGGTTAATTTTAGCATTTGCATTGTTCTCTCGACCAGTATGTTGGCCGGCCAATTAGTTGGTTGTGCATTTCCAGCTGCCAAGTCGCCCACGTCCTTCCGCACCCCGCACACATCACATGCTGATTGCACAATAAGCGTCTTAACTGGAAGTCGCATGCACATTGTAATTTCAGCGCAGTGAGCCGAAAGGGGTGCGCGGATATGGGCAGGGCAGGGTGGACAATATGGAGCAGTGCCTAATTAATACTCACCATCAATTTTGCAATTAACCGAATTGTTGCTCTTCTTGGAGGAGTTGCGGGACATCTGCGAGTGGTTGGTCGCCGAGTGGGAGGGACTCGAGTCCACGGACCGACGGGCCGGATTGCTGGCCTGGAACATGCTGGGTCCGCTGGCCAAGGGACTCGGCGTCACGGTGAGCATCGGATGGACGCTGCCTGTTAAATGGACCAGCCAATAAAGTGGATATATAGAAGACGTGCCGTGAAAGCAGAAGAGTTCCTTCTGTACTCGCAAAAAATTGCCAAGACTTTACGAAACTAATTCTGAAATCACAAGCCTAAATAATCGTTACACGGTTTTAAAAAATTAAGGAGTTTGACAATGGAACAATTATACATATTTTTATACCCGTTAGTGTATTGTATTCGTTAAAAAAAGTTTAACAGGTACACGGAGTCGACCTAAACCATGTCCGTCTATTTGTCCATATGACAAGCTGTTGAGACAGCTGCAACCAGAAATCACCAAACTCTGTAGAGCTTTTGAGTGGTATTTATTCAATATCTGCCTAGGCACCAAACATTTTCCAAATAAAAAAGTTTTTTTTAGGAGTCTTAACAAAATGAATGTCAAATATAATTGCAGTGACTTCTGCAAACAGACAAATATGCCTTCGTGTACGATTTCTACAACTTTTGACTTTATACAGAGTGATACAACTGATACTCGCGGCATTCCTATTTATTATAAAATATATTTACTATTTTTCTTAAAACCCTTAAACAAAGTGTAAGGCTCAAAAACGTTTAAATTTTTGTTATAAAAATAATAACTTCAATTAGCATTTAATATAATGTGTTAAGCGTTGTTATAATTTCTTAGTTTACTTAAAATTATATTTAATTTAATATATTTAAATATAAATAGTTTAAAAGAAAATTTGTTTGATTTTTTAATTGGTACATTTTTAGTTATTTACCAATATAAAAATTAACAAAAGGAAAAAACATGTACTAACGATATCTTTTTAGAAGGTAAAAATTGATTTTGCTTTATTATACTAAATTGTAGGTGTTGTTCACCGTGTAACGATACTCACCCGTCTTGCTGGGATCGTGCGAGAGATGTCCGCCCAGTGAGTGCTGTAATTTATCCGTGATGCCATGGATTTTGTCCACAAAGCTGCTGCGGGTCTGTGCGTGGCCGTCGCCACCGGCCACGCCCCCTGCGCCTCCGCTGGCGCTGCACTGCGGCATCAGCTCGGCAATGCTATTGATGTTCGGTATGGAGCCTAATTACAGCCGAGCGATGTGTGTGCGGGGAGGCCAAAAGAAATGTTCAGCGATTATTCACATACACACGGAGTGGGTGGCATGGGGGGTGGGGAGTGGCTAGTGCGGAGTCGGTAGGGGGAGGGGGAGTGACAAGGACGATCTCTTACCCTTCGTGTGGGACGTGACTGGCGCACAGGCGGCCGTGCTGCTGATGGCGGCCATTTGATTAAGTGCCCGGCCATGCAGCTGGGCCTGGGTGACATTCGGCTTGAGGAAGGACACAAACAAGTGCTTGGCCAGGTCCAGCGGCGCCTCGCAGTCGAGGAAGGAGTCAAGGAAGCGCCGGAACCCATCGAAATCAATGTCCTGCAAAAAGAGTTTTAAAGTATAAATGAAGCGAGCCCATCCAATGATTTATTGAGGCCTTTGTCTTTTCAGTTTTTAATGAGCTATTAGAGCGCATTTTATGGTCTAACAAAAAAAAAAACAATAAATAATTAAATCTTTCTAAATTGTATATACTATACACGCCATAACTCTACAAAATAAATTAATAAACTAGGGTTCTAAATTGAAGAACCAGTATTTTAGATTCCAGAAATTCCTAAGATTTTTTTCTCTGCAGGAGTATGTAATAAATCTACCGCAGGCCATTCGCAAGTGACAAGTTAAAATGTGTGCAAAACACTCGTCGTTGCATAGTTTATCCACTGCCAGCATCCTCTTTTTCAGCCAAGTTTTACGAGTGGTATCGGGTTTGTTGTGACAGGGAAGGGGGAGTGGCAGATGGAGGGGCGCAGAGCTACTTATGCAACATAATATGTTGACGTTATTATGGCGAAAAAACATTTTGCGGTTGCCTTCAATGGGAGCCTTCCATTTCTCACATTTTCAGGGGGGAAAGGGAAAGGAGCCAGCGCCGTCATCGACTTTATTACCGTTGACAACGGAGCGTATGATTAATAAATGCTCGCCATATTGTGACATATTCAGAGATGATTTTCTGCGTGGCAAGTGAAGCGCAAGTACATTTATCTCCCGACTAAATAATGGTGGCAATGTATGAGGCAGCGGTTCATTTGGTGGCCTAATTGAAGGTCAAACATCACTGAACCATTTCCAGTAAATGCCCCCACATTTAGCAGAGATTCTTGCTTTAAAATTTCCCATTTTACGCGCATGGAATACATAATTATCTGTGGGCGAATCGCAAGCCATTTTATTTACATTTGTCCAGTGCACAAAATTCCCACATAAATCCGAGCTCCGTCTGGAAAAGGTTCCATCGGACTCGCACGTGCCGGGGAATGTCCCCCAAAGATCTGGTGCCTCTCTATTTGCCATTTGGAAATGGGTTTGGGGCCATCTTTTTATGGATGCAGAACGGAACCTGGCGGGGCAAATTACATGTCAACACCACGTGTAATGTCAATACATTGACAGCTGCGGCGCGATGCTTGAGTCAACAAAGCGACATTGATAGACGCCGGCATTCGCAGACGTTGATAGACGTAACGCCCCTAGCTGCACACGGCAGCTTTACGGATTTTACAGTTGCCAGTTTCAGTTTCGGTTTCGGTTTCGGTTTCGGTTTTGGTTTGGTTCCGGTTACGTTTCTCGGCCGGGGATAACAGCTAATCAAGGATAACAGCCCGACGGGGATGCCCGTGCGTTGGGTGCGATTAATTGCGCAAGAGGCAGCGAATCGTGTCGCAAGTAATGAAACAACCAGCTCGAGCTGGGACGCAGAATATATCTATTCTGCTGAAAATATCTGCCTTTATTATCAGACTCATCACGAGCTGCTGCTCCTTCTGCCGCTCTTTTGCATCGTTTTAAATTTCTAGACATAAAACAAAGTAAACGAGCCAGAGCTAGTAACATTAAGAGTGCTCTGAGGTTTGGACTTAACACTGGAAAAAATGTGAAACAAATTTGGCAATTGCTTATTATTAAAAAACTTTGTGGTTTAAAATAGAGTTGACAAAATATGGAATTACAAATGTATTTATTTTTTAATACAACAAGTTGGCCCTATATTGATTAAAATGGTTAGTGATAAAAACTGTCAGAATGTACAATTAATTGATTGGTAGCTATAAAGCTAGGATCTTTCTAAGATATCTTTTGGGTTGAGTATACTAAATAAGCTAATAAGGTAAGAAGTCAGGGTTTACCAATCATTACAGCTAAAGTTTTTATTTTCCGTGTCCTTAACCACTTGCTGGTTTTTGTTGTTTGTCGGATCCTTGGCCATAATGAAACCGAATACAGGCAAATGGAAGCTTACACTCGTGACGCTGACTGGCACAACACCATACACCAGCATCTATGGCTATGACTATAGTATATAGCTGCGAAGCCACGAGTGCCAGAGCAAACTCCTTAAAGCCGGCGAACGCAAATGGCAACGACACGCCTTAGTGGAGAAACATCGGCATATTGTAAAACCCAAACACAGATACTCACACCCACAGCCACACACATAAATTACAACCCAGTCACACACACACAGACACTATAATAATGGCGCGAATCGCGCTAGCAAAATTTATTTAGCCAGCAGGAGCAACGAGATACGCGTGCGAAGAGCTCTCCCTCTGCTCCTCACTGTCTCCTTCTGAGGGCTTCTCCCTTTAACTTGTTCTACACGTACGGTTAAGGGGAAAAAAATAGAAGAGCTTGCCAAATTGCCAAAAACACTAAAGCGTGTCAGTTAATTACATGACTTTTTAGAAATTGATTTATTTTAGTCGTAAGATGATCTGTCGCTATCTGTGTTTTAAATAGCTTTTTTAACCTTTAAAAAGATTTTTGTTTAATGTTCCACATCATTTTTGTATCAGTCGACCTTTCATTAAACAAACTTTCCGATTATGTAGTCCCCATTGGAGATGACCCAGAAACATATTGCGATCATCAACGTATTGTCAAAGAAATTTTGAACCAAATCACAACAAGCATTCCGTACAAATTTGGTTCAAAGAGAGAAAAGGGATACCCACGAAAAAATAATAAAAACCTCCAATTTTGGATGTTAAAGCTTAAAACTTGAATTAATTATGGTAAAAGTTTATAGTTTAATTCTTTGTATTATTATTATGTTCGGCTCACATTGAAAAAATGCAGGCAGCAGCAAAGTAATGAGAATATTAGATATTTGAATGCAATTCCTTCGTGACTTTGGCTACTATTCTCTATTCTCCCCTGAATTAGTCCATCAATACTTAACTTGTTTTCATTAAACTATCATAGTAAGTTTTCCGTTCTGCGCACTGTATAATTTTGACCTTGACTGTGTATGTGGCTTCATTCAATTCCCATAGATGCGTTATGTGACGCTATGCGTGAGTGCGTGGCTTAATGAATAAATATTCGGGCACATTTCGGGCGTTCGGTGCGTATGCGTGATATTCATTACACTCTCTAATCACACACACGCACGCAGAGTCGCGCATACGGGCCATTTGGCACCCATCTTCACTCCACTCCGGCGAACATAATCTGCGCTTTGCATTCATTATGCATCGCAGTGTTTGGGGCATAAATTATGACCATATGGGCTCTAAATCACATTTTCGCACTTCCGTTTTTAAAGCTCGCAAACAGAGTGGCCAATTGTTGGGGAAAAAGAGCGAAGAACATATCATTGCCACCTGACGACAAGCTGCCTTTAAACAAACTTAATTGAAGCAGGCGGACCCTAAACCAATCCTTGAGTAAAAGAAAAAGCCGCTGGAGCAGGGGACCTGTAAGCAGCTTTTTGCCCGGGATCGAAAGAATGTTGCCAAGCAGCGCAGCTCTCGTGGCGTCTCAATTCATTTGGCCCACTGAAATATTTACGGGAATTACTTTTGTTCGGAAAATTCCCAGCAATGACAAACAGTGAGTGCTAGGAGTACGCAAACATCTCCAGCAGCTGTGTGCTCGATATCAAAGTGAATTCCATGGGAATCATTCACTCACATACGAATCCAGCATGTGGAAAAACCAGGGGTAAGCCGGAGTGACGGAAACTTAATTATACCTTTTCCATTTTGTTACGCTGCAAAAACAAATGATAAACCAGAAAACGAAAGGAAATCTAAGACTGCTTTTCGTTTGGATATGCTTCTGGCTGGAATGATTTCAAAGTCTCAAATTAAAAATGTATATTACCATGCCAACTGCAAGCCCTCTGGCTCATGTCCATCCCGTCGGTAAAACCAGAGTGATCTGGGTATTTGGATTCGCTAGTCCCCAATGAAGGAGTAACAATTTATGCAGCCACTGCTCTAACCAAATTGATGGCGTTGCAGGCAGTTTCAAATTAATTTAGTGTGTATAAACTTGTCAGGATATTCATTCAGGGACAAGGGTGGCCGGCTCACTGTCTACCTCTGTTGGGATTCAATTTCAATTTGGCATTCAGGCGTAAACTTGAAAAGTCTGTGATTTATTGTACGTATAAGCAGATTTACTTTCAATCTTTTGCCCCCACCTGGTTGCCCTTTCCTTTTCCCTAATCTCTATTCTGTAATACAGAATCTGTATGCTCCTCAGTCCAAGAATACTTAAAAAAAAACCTATTCATTTGTGAAATAAAATCTCGAAATCGAAAATCATCGATGTAGAGTCAGTAAAATAAATAATTAAATCACATGTATGTATGTCACTATTTTTTTAGATTGGTAATTTTAAAAATTTTTTTTTAATAGATATATCGTAATTAAATTATTATCCTCGCAATTAGTTTTTAATAAGAAATGTAATTATGTTTCAAAAACAATAACTCTAGTATTTTAGAACTATGTAAACTAAAACTTGCACTTAAGAATTCAATAATTACCAAAAATGCAAAACCCAATAGTTTATTTATCTTGATCATAAACTGTAAATCTCTTTTAAAAATATATTTAATACATTTTCATAAATAACGCACAAATAGGTATCAATTTTCCTCAGTGCACACATGTGAGTTTCCGTAAGCTAAGCTGAATCGCCTTTCATCGGGCTTCCCAAGTCGCCAGGTTGAGAATTAAAGTGTAAGACGTAACCCGAGCCGAATCAAACCGAGTCCTTGACTTGTGGTTTGAGCAGGGTCTCCCTTCCCGCTCCTGCTCCGCCGCTTCCCCTACCGCTTTCAATTAATTGCAGAAGCGGAGCAGGACATCTTGGCAACACTTACCCCATCCGGAATGCACTTGGGCGCGGAGGTGGCACTCGGCGAGCTGAACTCCCGCAGTACGTCCTGCAGCTTTCGGGTGGAATCTGCAAGGAGTAAGACAGGTGAGAGGATACAGGTGAGCAATGTAAGCCAGGGATTATGCAAAGTTCAGTTTAGCAGGGCTGCGCGGCTGGCAGGACACGCGTCAATCGCTCGACTGGCGCCACGAGAATGGAATCGACGTCTTGAGTGGGCCAGCCGAGGTGGACAGGTGCTTTTCCCCAGGTGACTCAGGTGGGGATCTGCAGCGCAGTCGGGATAATTAACTAATGGAAAACAAGTGGTTCGTGCAAGTAAATGCGGGTGGGTGCGGACGGGTTGGATGACTTGGGCGAGTTGGGCGGGTTGGCATGCCGCAAACGCCCGGAATAAACTCCGCGGGAAGCCTTACGCCGAAATGTGGCGCCCAGAGTTTTATTAACCTAATGAGGGCTGTGTGTATACCGGTGTTCAACCGCAATTGTGCTGAGTATCTACACTCAAATGCAGTTTCAGGTTCTGTTTCATGGCAACGACTGCTGCAGCTGACACTTTTGATGGCTTTCGTTCGGTGCTGCATCGCAGGCTGAAAACACTTGACCGCACTCTAATAAGCACCTGCAGCCGCACCCATATATCCTGTGGACTGCAACAATCGCAAATTGCTATACGGGTGCCGCAGGCAGACCTAAACACAAAAAGAAGTCTCCTTTCATTCAAAAAACATTGCCAAATCGCTTTAAATGATTGGATATGGGAGCTCTTCTGTTTAGTCTACTAGCTCTTGGTCCCAATTTAAGTAAATTTTTTAATTATCTTATTTTAATGGTAATATTTTTTAAGTGAGGTTCCAATGGGAGCTATATGATATGACTTGGGTGGAAGTTACATCCAAATAGATTTGACGCTGAATGACTAGCTTGTGCAGAAAAGGACAGACGGACGAACAGACGGAGAGAAGATTATTTCTAGATCAACTCTCCTGGTTAAAGGGTCGGGAATGTTTGAAAACTGTAAATTCCTAGTATTATTTTTTTTTTTGAGTGCAGTTGTGACTTATGTATTCACTGTTAATGCTCCTGGCGAACTTCTTTGAAGTGAAGTGAATATTGCGCTGAATTCAACAACGCTACTTCCATTATCCAGGTAGGGCTTAAAAGTGGTACTGCTCACCACCCAGACTCAGTGTGCTTTCTGTGCTAGATTCCATAATCTATAAGCTCTGCATTCCCGTTTGCCGTTCCGAGTAATTCCCTCAGCCAGGCAAACCGGCGGATGAAGTGAAGCGAAGTGCTCACCCAAAGGTAAACTACTTTGCCATGTCAAACAGCTTTGCTGCTGCAGCAAAGAATGCAAACAGTTTCAGACATAACTCAGGGCGATGTGGACCAGATGTGTGGAAAGGATGTTGCCTCAAAACCGCTCTTTAAGATGCGCTGCTTGAGCTTCAGCTGTCAGAGAAATCTGCTGAATTGCAAGTGCAAGCCATGCAAAAATGTAAATGTATCTGCAAGCGGTTTAGTAAAAAGGATCATTTTAAAATAGTATGTTACCCTTTTTTTTAAAAAAAAGTACCTTTTACAGTTGAATTTATGATAAAGTTTTTTAGGTAATATTTCTTAAAATTTATGGGCTAGGCTCTTTTTTTAATAATGTTTTAAAATTTTTAAACAATTTTGAAGTTTTTTAAGGTACACTGCAGCTTATCTTTATATATTTAAAATAAAATTTTAGGAGTTTATCGATCAATTTATTTTGAAACATATATAATAAATATAATCTTGCAGTACTAATAAAAATGTATAATTGTTTAACTCAAGCCTATAGTGACTATTTATAAACGAATTTATACAATCCTATTTATGCTTCTAAATTAATCGAATTGGTTGAACGTATAATAACATTTTAGCACGAAATTACCCTATTCTTCATAATTATTTAAATTTTCCGATTCTTGCTGTGGGAGTTATATGATATAGATATACGATAAATATTCTTTCTTCAAAAGAAAAGAGATTTTGGCAAGGTTAGAGACTAGTTTGCGCAGGAACGGACAGCCTGTGTAAATAGTGTACTTTTTGTAATTTTTTGTAACAGAACCACAAAAACCAACCATCATTTCTGGAGTAAATTGCCAATGTATGCATGTAGGCTAACCTGATTTTTAAATCCCTTTTAGGTGGTGGGCAAATTAAGGGAAATGGCAATGTTTTAATTGGCCAATCTATCAGGTCCGGGAAAAGTATAAGGGTCTATCAAATTGGCCATGATTTGCATTTGCCCAGTTGAAAATGAGTGTTATTGATTAGCTCATACTGTATATACTGTTTTTTACTTACATGAAGCCAGCTCCTGCAGCTGCAAAAATTCGCGTGGCGACAATTTATCCCATTTCGGTGCTGCGATGCCAATATTCATTTTGCCTGAAAATATGCAATGCATAACAAATGGTGACAAATTGTAATTTCCATAATAATGCGGGGCAGTATGGGGGCGAAGGAGCGGGAATGCGAACGCGTAATTTATTGCATTTGCATTTCGAATTCGCAATGTAAGTGCCAAACTATCGACAAAAGCCCCATACATCGCCACAAAAATACGTGGGTTCTGCGTACGTGATTGTGGCATCGGCAATCAATACATTTTACAGAGTGTGTGCGATGAAAACTAAATTGCTTTAAAATATTATCTCCCATTTCTGCAAACCCTCGACCCTTCTCACACACTCCCACACATCCTGGCTGATATTTTTAGCCATTCTCTAGTGGCTCTGGACAAGAGGGTCCTGTGACGCCTGTCTAAAACAGAAGAACTTCGCAATCACATTGGCCCACATAGACATAGCTTGCTTCCGATTACAAGTCATTCCCTGGTTTAAAATATTAAATCATACAAATTATTTATTAAGAATTTGAAAATAATTTACTGTAATACCACAAGTTAAATAAAAATAATATTAAAATATTATTAATAATGAATGAATTTGAACGTTACACAAAAAAACATAATTATAGTTTCTTTAAAACTTGTACACAAATTTAATAAATAAATCCTTAAAAAATTAGAATACATAATCATATAATCAATCATATATTTAATTCAATGATAAAAAATGGTCTAAGAAAAATTGAGTTTTAATATGATTGTTATTATTGTTATTATTCGACATAAAACAGATTATCTAAGTTCATACTATTCTTAATCTATTTAATGACACGATACAAAAAAAAAGGTTTTTTATAGATGTAACTGATTATATCATTTAGTTAGATAGTGATATGATTTTAAAGATTTCCCAATAATTCGGTCTTGGTAGGCCATTATCAAATGTTATACAATTATTTACCTTTACTGTACCAGTAATGGGTTGGACCGACTATTAGACACATGCATGTGCAATGTACTCTTTTTCAATTACTGCGAAGTGAAATTGAATTTTTCCCACGACTCTTAGTGCCTCCGAATGCCCAGAAAATGCCCCACTATGGAAACTGGCAAATGGAGTGGGTGCGAGTGGCCATTAGCCAATTTTAGTTTCCGCCATATGCCTGCTTGTTTGTAAGTGGGTGAGTGTGTGTGTGTGTGGGGTGTGTCGCCTGCCGTTTGACACGTCATTACTGGCATCATCATCATCATCGCCGAAATCATCAACACATCATCATCATCATGCTCGTTGACATGACCATAATCACGTGCCGCGGGCTAATCAATGGCATAATTTCCCCGCGGAATCTCAGTCACAGTTGTGACGTCACACGAGTTGATGGCGTTTTGGGTAGCACACACACACGCACGGCAATCAAACGCCCACGCAAACACAGATACGGGCAAAGGTATGTATGTGTCAGCCACAGACAGACTGACAGGGGTATCTATATATCTATGTATACTATATATATTATAAAATAGAGGGGGAATTGTTTTTGATATATATGCTTATATTTGTTGGCTTGGCTTTTCTGCGTTCTCAATTCGCTTGGCATTTATTTTTACTCTCTGGCCATTTAGCGTTTTTATTTATTCATTTCACAAATCTTTCTCTAAAGCTTTTGTCTTGCTGATGTTATATTTAGATGGCTATAATCAACTGATTGACTAACTTATCATTTTATCCACTGCCGAGCACTTATCAAGTAAATTGTGGAGATGGAAAATGGCAAATGGGAAATGGAAAATTATATTTCACGAGCGATTTCCGCTAAGCGCAGAAGTAGTTTGTCCCTTTTTGCTCGTAAAATCTTAATAGAGACTCGTCCTGCCATTATTCACAGCTCATTTGTCCTTAATGCCCGGAGCGCGTTAAGAGTTCCTACAACGCTCGGATAATAAACTAATGAAAATGCAAATGAAACACACAAATAAATAGTGCAGCATACATGGCGTATGCGCATTCTGAATGCTAATTGCGCCGTTAATGGTGGGTGTGTGTGTCTGAGAGTGTTTTTCAGGCATCATCATAAAATTCGCATTCTGGGAAGCTGGTTATTTGGATATCAGCTTGCTTTCTGCTCGTAATGGCCCTTGGCCAACGGCAAAACTTCAGTAAATTGGCTCGGATTTTTCTGTCTTTGTCGGTCGATGGAAACGCTCATCCTGCCGCCCTTTGACATCGGAGGAAAAAAATAAAAGAGAGAAAGACAAAAGGGGAGTTCAACGGACTCTCAAGTACTGTGCTTTTTATGCTGTCCACATAAAATATTATTAGATTATGCGTTCGCTTCACTCGCACACAATGAGCATCAGATTCCGATTCAGCTTTTCCTCGTACATATATGTATGTATATGTTTATGGGTGAGTTGGTCCTCTTATTGTTTTAGCCGAAACAAAAACGCCATAAAATCTAGCACATAAATGTCCAACACAGAACCATTTTCCCTTCTTTTTATGCTTTAAATTGGCCCGCCAAATCATTATACATCGACGGTCCACCGTCCCTCTATCTTTGGGTAGAACAATAATAAAAGTAAATCAAATAAAACAGCAGCATATTGCGTTTTTTATGGCCTTTAGCATTGTTGCCCTGTTTAATGGCCGCCGCACTCTGATCACAGACCAAAAATCATTTTTCTCCAGCACATCAATAACCATTTTTTATTCAAAAAATAATCCACCCACTCCAGTTAGCCTTTGAATTTTAATTAGTTCAACAAGATTTGTGATTTTATGCAACACTCAATCAAGACACATTTATATACATATTAGGAAAGCCGTTTTTTATAATCATTGCTCTAAAGCAAATAAATATGGATTTAAATTCAATCAGAAAAAGAAATATGAATTCGGTAAACAATTGTTTTTAAAGAACTCAAAATTAATCAAAAACAATAATTAAAAAAGATTTAATTTATATTTTTCCCCAAACATACATTAATTCTTGAATGGAAATGATTTTATATAAAACATGCAAACAGAAATTAAAATTTGTATTTATCAAATTTTTGTGAAAACCAATTTTGCCATAGTAAAATTATTTTTTGTTTTTGAAATGAGACATTAAACGACCTTGTAAATAACTGGGAAAAGCTATTGAAAATAACCCTATTTCTGAAAGCTGTGCAAAAAAGAAAGTGTTTTTTCCCATTTCAGAAAATGTACTTGGTGAAACGTGCTTAAGGTGATTAGTGCAAATTTGGACAAACTATTATTTCTAAATAAAATATATCACTGTGAGGCTCTTATCAAAATGAAAACAAATGTGTCTGTAGAATCTGGGAATCATTTTAATTTTGTTAAACATCTCGATATAAAAATACGTTCGTACGACTTTTTTAAGAACCCGTTATTATTTAGGGGTTACATTATATATCGAAGTAAAATAGTTACAAATTATCGACGAAAGTTGGATAAAATATAGATGTGTGATTTTTTTAAAACGTGCAACCCGTTTGAAATCGATTTAATTAATATTTTTTGCTTATTTTAATGCGCAGAAAACTATGATAAGCCAACAAGATGTAGATTTGTATTAGAGCTTGTTTAAGAAATAATAAAATGTAACCTTCAAATTAAATAAAATGTTTTTTAGTAAAACCTTACAAAGTTTTTTTCGGAACAAGTACGTTTTTTTCAAGTTTTAGAACGCAGCACTATGCGGCAAATGACCGCTTTATCTGACATTTGGGGTATTTTTAAAAAATGTTCCAATCGGAATATATTAGTGTGAACGTATTAAGAAAACATATCAGTAGTATGCCTCAAACTCAAAATGTTAATATTTAACAGTTTTATGTTAGCAAATTGTTGTAATCACATACAAACAAACGCACCAACTCTTGAATATGGATTTCCCAGGCTTGGAATATATTTTAAATGTTTTTAATAACATTTGTTAATTTTATAAATGCACCTTAAGCTGAATTTTGAGAAACAAATTTAAACTTTGGATAGTATTTTGGAAAAGAGTTCTGCATTATTTTGAAGTGCGTCTAAGTGTATGTTGTAACGTTGTTAATTCTGGCTCCATAGCAGTTAGTCTTATTCTGCACTTTTCCGCACTATTGGTGGTGCTTATAATAGTTTCTTAGATCTATAGTAACATAATACAAATGACAGATAAATTGGTCATTTACCCCATAGTGCGCTGTGTTCAAGAAATTATGTGTTATGTTCAAAGAATTACACAAATATTTCGATGTTTTTCAAAATAATATCCCTTGAGTTAGTTAACTATATATATTTAGCGAGTCCTAAGCTCATATAATTTTATTTTACTTTTTTATTCTTCTCTTTATTTTGCTCGATATTTTAGAAATTAATAAGCAATTAAAACAAAAAAATATCAATTTAAGAAAGTTTAAAACTACATTAAACTACATTTCAAGATGAAGGAGACAACCTATATAGCCGTAGAATACCAATAGTCGGAACAAATTAGTTAGGGACAGTTTCTCGTCTCACATTAAAACACATTTTACTGCAGATAAAGTCAATGAGCTTAAATGTGAGAGTTAATATTAAGAGGAAACCGGACTCCCTGTTAAGTATTTTCCAGGCCAAGAAGAAGAGAAGGCATTTTAGACCAGAGTTGTGCTGTTGTAATCATAGTAACCCTTTACTTAAGCTTCAGTTGTATGCTTGACAGCACTACGTTATGTATTCTCGTTGAAATTATTATTACAAGTTTATCTGGTCTTTATTTTTTTTCGAATAGATATCTGGGACTTTGACAGGGTAACGGGAAAAGGACTGTAAAAGATGTGTTCTTAACAAATAGGCCTTTTCCGGTTCTTACTGTCAAACGTTTTCCTCGAACTATTAATTTGCTGGTTCAGAAAAATGGACTATCTCAAAAGAAGCCCTCTGTTCTAGTTAATAATTTTTATTTGGCAAAACAAAAATTAAAAGGGAAATTTCGGATTCTCTTCGTTATCAGGTTTGAGAAAACGAAAATTTGATAGGCATGAAGGCTAAAGTTAAGTACAA